ATATACTGATGCCAGTTTAACTGGTTGGGGAGCTTATTCAGAGGGTCAAAGAACTCATGGTTGGTGGTCGAAGGATGAAAAACAGAAACATATCAACTATTTGGAGCTATTAGCCATCTTTCAGGGTCTGAAATGTTTTGCAGGAAAATCACATTCATGTAGTATTTTACTTAGAGTTGACAATACTACAGCATTATCATACATCAATAAGATGGGTAGTATACAATTTCCACATCTGCATTTATTAGCTAAACAAATATGGCAGTGGTGTGAATCTAAGAATATATGGATATATGCCTCATATATTTCCTCCTCTAATAATAGGGCTGACGTAGATTCTAGAATTGTGTCACTTGACACAGAATGGGAGTTGTCAGATGCATGTTTTAACTTGATAATAGAAAAATTTGGAACTCCTGAAATTGATATATTTGCATCAAACTGTAATCACAAGTGTGAACAGTATATTTCTTGGATGTTAGACCCAGGTTCTGTGACATCTGATTCATTTACCATATCTTGGCATGGATTAAAATTTTATGCTTTTCCTCCATTTTCTATAATTACAAGGGTTATCAAGAAGATAGTTTCAGATAATGCAGAAGGGATCTTAGTTGTACCCTACTGGCCATCCCAGCCTTGGTTTCCTTTATTTTTAAGATTAGCCAAGGAAGCACCAATATTTATTGGGCCTCAAGATAATATGTTATCATCACCTTTCAGAGATACACACCCAATGTGCAAGAGTCTTACCCTGGCTGTGGCGAAATTATCCGCAGGGCCTTCCTGTTGAAAAATACACCTGAAGAGGGCATTCCAACGATATTAGAGTCAATAAGCAAGAGTACTAAACAACAATATAATTGTGCATACAAAGCATGGTGGGAATTTTGCTCCAATAAGAAAATATCATTATTTCAGGCGGGAGTACCACAAGTAATTGCCTTTCTTCAAGAAAGATTACAGGAGAAGACCCACAAGTATGGAACTTTTAATTCATTTAGATCTGCTCTTTCTTTAATCCTACCCGGAAATATAGGAAGTGATCCCCAGATCAAACGGTTTTTGAGAGGAATAAGTCGTATTAGACCTCAGAAGCCCAAATATAATGTCATTTGGGATCCTCAAAAGGTGTTGACATTCTTGTCTACTTTTTGTCCTAATGAAGGTGTGGCATTGGGAAAATTAACTAGAAAAGTTATTACACTTTTAACCCTTACCACAGGGCATCGCCTGCAGACCTTCTCATTGGTGAGGACTGAGAATGTCATCATAACTGAAGAGGGGGTAAAAATTTTCATTCCAGACATCATCAAAACCTCTGGGCCAAATAGAGAGCAGCCTTGTCTCAACCTACCATTTTTTCATGAACAACCTGAATTATGTGTTGCAAAGTCAATTATCAGTTATATTGAGGCTACAACGCATTTACGCGATTCATCTCAAGAATTTCTTTTCCTAACTTTGCGTCCTCCGCACAGAAGAGCTACGAGCCAAACCCTAAGTAGATGGGTAAAAGAAATTCTGACATTATCAGGTATTGATACCACTATGTTCAGTGGATACAGCACTAGACATGCTGCCACATCTGCAGCTAGAAGGGGAGGAGTTTCAGTAGAACTCATCAGGAAGACTGCAGGATGGGCACCCAGTTCTCAGGTCTTCAATAGGTTTTATGATAGACCACTTCAAGAAGACTTCGCTAGAACAATATTAAACCCTATATAATAAGTAATGAGTACTTTTCTGTTAAAACTGCATTGTAACAGACAATAAATTTTAAAATACTTTCTCTAAACGACTACCTAGTCAATTATAAGTGATCTTGAGGACGAAGCGCCGAAATATAATTGAACGATCAAACGAACTTGTGAAGTTCGATCGTAATTATATGAGGCGCTTCGTCCGAAGAGATCACGCCCTCCCATAATAGAATATTGCCCACCCAAATTTTAAAATTTAAAAAGCTTTGAACTTAATGACTTGTCGATAAGATAGAAACCCGCAACAAGGAAGAAGGAATGACATACGACATAGAACACTATCCTTATTCTTCTTCTATTTCTTTTTACTATGTGCACCAGCCAGCACCGAAAAGCGCTACTACCTAGTCAATTATAAGTGATCTCTTCGGACGAAGCGCCTCATACAATGAACTCAATACAACTGGAAGGGATACGATCGTTCTCTCGAATAGCACAAAGTGTGTCAGGGGCAGCTGCAACAAAGATAGCATGATTTACGGATACCTGTCCTCTTCCAACTCGTGTTGTTTAATGGTGGATTGGTGTATAAATTTTCTTTTATCTAATAATTAAAGTAGTAAAAAATGTTTTCTGTCATCTACACAGGCAAGAAAGTGAAGACATAAGTTCATTGTCTTAGTTCATGTGAAATACGAGGTGAAATATCTATTCATTTGGCGTGTTTTGTTGTAACAAAAGGACTGAATTTGTTGTTGTGAACACTGAACTGATTGTTGAGAAGGTTTGTGATTAGTATTGATAAACAATGGTGATTTTTTTGTGTCGCCTTTGGATGCAAGAAGAATGAACAAAACAAAAGGAAATTAGCATTCCATGGGTAAGTTGAATATTGTTCTCAGATTTTTGAAAAATATAGTTCATGAAATGATCATCAGTTAGGTTTACAATGTCCAGTCTCAGAATATGTTCAAAAACTATACCTATTTTATTTGTCAAAGTTAAATACTTCCATATTGATATTGAGTAATATTATTTATTGCAGTTTTCCATTCAAATGACCAGACATTCTCGAATTATGGATAAAGGCAGTTCCTAGTGAGAATTGGACTCCAACTAAAAGCAGCAAGCTTTGTGGGGAGCATTTCCTGCCAACAGATTATTCAGGCATACCAGGTACTGCTAGGTTTTTGAAAGCAGATGCTGTACCCAGTATATTTTCATTTCCTCAGCATTTGTTATAAAAAAATGCTGATTCCCCTAGGAAAATAAGAAAACTCATAGGTACCTAGTTGATTAATAATGAAAAAGAAGTATGTTTGCACCTATTTAAAATAAAAAAACTAGCTAGTAATTTGTTCTCAGGATGCATCTGTGGACGTTCATAACTTGGGTCCAAAGGAAGAAGTTTCCCATGTTATTGACTTTGACTTGCCTACCACTTCCAGCTCCCAAGTTTCGAAGTTGATCAATGAAGAAACTCAAACTGTTTCATTAGAGAAGAATATTGTATTGAGGAGAAAAGTGAACACACTGAGACAAAAAGTAAAAAGGAGAGACCTAAAAATTTCAAACATGAAAGAATAAGTAGTTCAATCAATTTCCAACAGTGGGTATAGTAATGACAATTAATGAGTGACCTAATGGAGGAATGGGAACCTATGAAAATTATGCTCAAAATGCACTCATCAATACCATTCAAGAACCTCTTTTCAAATTTTTCCTATCGTTTTTCTCTTCCTTCTGATAGTTCTGAGACATTGTGCTTCGCTCACCCTGTACAATATATTGTGAAATTTGAATAAAAATATATAATTTCAATTTTGTATTCATTTGACTTCCTGATCCTGTAAGAGTAATATTGAAATTTCATTTTAAAGTCAATAAAAAAATCAGTAATAATTTTTTAATGATTATTGATTACAACATTATCCTTTTTCCTAAATGAATATTTTTATTTAATCACGTTTACTCTTAAATAGAAGCAAAAAACGAGAAAATATTTCAAATTATGCGAGCGCTTCCCATTAGCCAACACAAGATAGAGAGAGATAGGTATCCGTAAACACTGCGGGTTGCCTGAAAAATATTTTTGCCTCACTCGTCGTTCACAGTGGGTCCCTTCCAGTTGCTTACATACATTTCATTGGCCTCATATAATTACGATCGAACTTCACAAGTTCGTTTGATCGTTCAATTGTTCTCTATCAAATCAAAACAAAAAACAACACTAAAATGTGTCAACTGTCATGTCAATCTCCTCCAAACTGCTGGATTCTCAAAAAGCGATTTAAAAGTGCGCATTTTATTACAACAGTTTGATGGATGTCCATCAACATTCCAGCGGAATTTTGCAACAGTTTGATGGTTTCTTCGATTCATGCGCAAGATAAAATGTTGGAATGAAAAACGCACCCATAACCACTGTTGATTAAAACGGAACATACCCCAAATTAACGCCACTCTAGGCCTGTTCGTTTGTATTGCTGAACTTGCTAAAGTTGTTTCCCATTGTTGTCTCACTTCATGGCATAATGTAAACAGATAGAAAAATATCTAGTTTGGCAGGTAGAGCACGCACAAACGAACAGGCCTTGTCACTCTACTCATGTCAATATTGTCTTGACATTGACGTTTTTGTTTTGATGTTTTGACGTTCTTGTGTTTTATTATTTATTTTTATAATTTGAAAATGCAAAACCAATAAAATAAGTGAAGTCGTGAACGAGATGAAAATAACAAAACAAAAGTACATGATGATGATGATAATATGAAAATAGTTATAATTTTAATATCAATTTTCAAATATTTATTTACATCCACATTTCAATTCACATGATGCAAGATGTAATTACCTCAGCTCAGATGTTATCATGATGTTATTACCACAATTACCTACCTACAAGAAAGTGTCATAATCATGCCAGCACTGCCAGCAGTACTTGGGGAACATTACATAATTCCATGAAAAAATGATAAAAATTGGTAATAAATTGGTTCAACTTATCAAAGGTCATAAGGTCAAGTTTTCATAATCATTTTCATTTCCAACTATAACTTCATCACATCTGTATTCACATAATTTAAACAAAGTGATTAACAGGTTAGGTTCTTTTTTGAATTGGTTGGAAGTTGTTGTTCTCAGTGGAACTAGATACATATTGAGATATCATAAGTGCCTTATAATTACTTGGTAAATGTTCTTTATTGATTAAAACAAGGATTGTCCTTCAGCACAGCCAATACAATCCCTTTCAAACTACAGTTTATTTATTCATTTAGGTACATTGCATTGAAATGGCCAATGAAGTTCAAACAATATTGAGAAATACAGATGCAGTTTGTTTTGATGTGGATTCTACAGTAATTCAAGAAGAGGGTATAGATGAGCTAGCCAGATTTTGTAAAAAGGGTGAAGAAGTAGCTAACTTGTAAGTTAACATAATGTTCAGTCATTGATTTATAAGGGAACATCCAATTCTTTTAAGGACAACCCAAGCTATGTCAGGAACTATGACATTCCAAGAATCTTTGAGAGTACGTTTGGATATTATACAACCAAGTCTATCACAGCTCAAAGAATTTATTAGAACTAAGCCTGCAACACTGACTCCTGGAATAAGGTACCTAATCCAATGATTTATTTGAGTAGCATTGACCAGTTGAGCTAGTGGATTTTTTTTTTCATATACCTAAACTCTGATCATACAACAGAATTATGATATTTGTGATAATTAATTTTCAATGAAATTAGGGAGTCAATACTAGGTAGTCATGCATCAGGCATTCTCACAATAATAATAATAAAAACCCGAAATTCACATATTCTAAAATATTGAATGAGCTGTTGAACAGCAAAGAGAAAGTAAAGTCAATTTACAATTCATGTGTAAAATATGAGTGAATAAATCTCTCAAATTACAAAATGGTTTTCCATGTACAGACTAACTAACAAGTTAGTTTTCAGATTCCTTCCAAGTTTCTATCATGTCACCAATAAGGTGATTTCCTGAATTCTCTCAAGTGTTCAGGTGGTGGAAAATTATTCCAATATGTTGTCAGAATGATATCCTTACATTATCCTTCACTTTTAGAAAACTGAAATCTGAATTGTTATGACTTCAGGTTGTGCATGGCATCAATGAGCCCAACTGAAGTGTGCTAAAACTGATTTGCTTATTCACCTGTAGTAGGTAAATGTGTTTACATATGACCACAACTAGGTATGCCACTGAGTTATTGAAATTGAAGCTTCAAAATATTACAGATTAATCAAGAATAATTTGATTTTGGTAAAACTGCATTTAGCATGTGATGGGTTTTTTTTCGAAATTTTTTTGTTGGGACCTACTATTTATTGAGATATTTCAAAAAAAGTTCGAAATTTCAACTCCTTTTTCCCCTTGTGTTGGATGCATTTACAGGTACTTGCTCTTCTTATTTTGTCATTGGACACTATATATACTCATGATGTACTTCAATGACACATTTTTATACAGAAAATTCAACAGGAAATATGATTTTTATGGCGAGTTTTTCATATTCAGTGAACAAGCATACCAGATGACATCTTCCTTCTTTTCACTAAATATGGATAAATCACAAGAAAATCATATTTCTGGTTGCCTCAATAATAGAAAAAAATGTGTCTTACATTGTGATATATATAAATTGTCCAATGATGGAAAAAGAAGGGTAAATTGTTTTAAATTCAATCCAGAAGACAGGCGGAAAAGAAGGTGAAAGGACCCGCACTTTTTCTATATGTATAAAAATGGCGTTCTGTCGAATTCTCTGAATTTCTGGTATATTATAGAACTTGACCTAATGATCGAATATGCCGAGTCCCAATCCGATCCTATGACCAGTTTTTGAGATACAGGGTGTTGAAGTTGAGAAATGCCCCCTTTTCATCTACCCATATCTCCAAGAAAAGACAAATGAATAAGAATTTTCTGCTAGCAGTTTTTCAGTTTAACCTTTAGGTAGAAGAACCATGTACAGAATCAACCAAAGCTAATCTTTATCACAGGGTGATTCACGTCTGAATCATTGTGTTATTTTCAATTTCTGAATATCCATACTACAATTTGATAAAAATTAAAAAATCAAAATTATCATTCCATATGATTTTCTTACATGAAATTTATTCATTTTATGTATCAATTATACATGGTGTTTCGTGAATGCTGATGTTTGGAAAATAAAGATTAATGAGCCACCTCTCCTATTATTTGGTTGATTTAGGCTATTGATTTTAATGTTTGAGGACATATTATGATGCATTTCATAATATACAGTGATTTATTGATTGAAAAAATTCGATATATCGATTTTTTCCCAGGCCTAATTTGTTGCATTAAAATTTTAGGAAACTGGTAGACTTGTTACACTCCAGACAAATACCTGTGTTTTTAATTTCTGGTGGATTCAAAAGCATTATTGCTCCCATAGCTAGTCAACTACAAATTCCATATGAAAACATTTTTGCCAATAGGATGAAATTCTATTTCACAGGTAATAAGTATTCTTTTTGGATTATTTGATATAGGTAGTACAAAATCCACAGAGGCCTTTAAATGAAAACTTCAAATTCTAGCTAGGTATTCCAAGTCTGTCATACTATGCTTTATTTATATTTTCAAGGTGAATTTGCTGGTTTTGATGAAAATGAACCAACCTCAAAGAGCGGTGGAAAAGCGAAAGTGATTGAACATTTGAAAAAGAAGTTTGGATTCAAAAATTTAGTTCTAGTAGGTGATGGTGCCACAGATCTTGAAGCATGTCCTCCAGCAGATGCTTTCATTGGTAATATTTAGATATTAGAGTACTTTGATGTTTCAGTTCCATTTCACTATAACTCTGAACTCTGTCATCATCCTTATACATTTGTGATGAATAATGAGCATTCTCAAGTATTTATATACTCTTAATTTTAGGATATGGTGGAAATGTTATTAGACATACAGTGCAAGCAAATGCCAAGTGGTTTGTGACAGACTTCAATGAAATAATAAATGTTATGATGTAATGTAAATGAAATAAATACATTAATATATTATTTTCCAATTCATAGACTCATCTCCAGACTAATGCTTACATGCATTGGGATGTTTCAACTTATTGCCGTTTTTTCAATATTATTCCAATGATAGCAAGAAAAGTAAGGAATATAGAATAATGTTCTTATATTGTTCTTACTTATATATTAAACATTATAAACACATGTCAAATTCCTACAACTTCAGTTTTGTTCTACGCCAGTGACGCCTCTTGGCATTGTATCTGAAAATGAAATTAATTGAATGAGCTGTGTACCACAATAAAAGTAAATTTAGTAAGAAAAAATCAAGTGGAGAATGAAGGCTATTTGAGGGGTCAATATAGATCAATCAAATTAGGGTATATAAACTGTCAAAGAATGAACTATACCCATTAACATAGCAACACACTAATGCATTGTATCTTATATATCATAAATCATCCCTGTCTCTCAGTTCACCTTAGAACAGGAAAGTGACACTTTGTTCAAGGGTATGCAAATTATTTTGCAATATTAGCTAGTGTATCTTTTAAAAAGCATTTTATTTCCTGGTGACATGACTCATAAGCTCAGATAAGATTAATGCCACCTATTCCCAAACTGCTGAACATACAGATAATGACTAAAAGCTGGTTCACTCAAACTCTAATTGAATGAGAAGAAATCTCAAAATTTATTATTCCATTTTAATCTTATATAAACAGAACAGGTGGTGATAAAACTTCTGAAAGCAAGAATAATGTATTGAGACATCTCCAACCAATGACTGATATAAATTTGTGAAAAAAAAATTACTTTAGATAGGAAACTTTTTTGACCTGCTTACACAATTCTTATCAAAATGTGGTCTGCTAATATAAAGGACAGTTGACTCAAGATGAACCATGTAGTGTAGAAGTAAAAATTGTGGATTCATGCAGTAACATTAAACAATTATCAAGTAACAATCATAACTTAACAATTAGCACTCATTTTCAATAAAGGTGTTTATGCAGACATTTAACAAGTAATAGTTATAAACAGCCAACTTTCTTACTTTAATTGAATAATTGAACCAGGTTTTCCTTTAGTGCTCAACAAGTATGTGGATTGGTTTAATCAGAGAAAGCATGAGATTGGTCAAACCAAATTTCTTATACTAGAAATTAATCAAAAACTTTCAACTTAAAAAAATAGCAGTCAATAAAATAATTGTGAAGAAAAGTAACTCAGTCACTTCTAGCATGGGTGCTTGTTGATTTGGTATGCATAGATGTTGATATTTTCATCACTCATAAATTGGTAATTGTAAATTGATAAATGTTACTTGATAATTTATTGTTGAACTGGAATTCCTTGGATTTCCTGGGGATTCTTGGAATTCCTTGTGAAATTGAATTTTGGTGTACACAATTTTGACCGCGGTTTACCCCTCGGGTCTCACCCTCACCTGATTGTGTTTCCAGTTCTCATACGAACCCACTGAGGAATGGGTCTATTTTGCTTCAACTTCTTGGCGAGTTTTCGCTTGATGATAAATGTCTTATGGGCAGACTGAAAAAAAAATAAGGCAAAAGTTGAATGACTTGTTATTTTTCAAGAAGTTAAGGGGGATACTTCTTTCAAATAAGATGGAGATTACATAAAAATATCAAAATATTAAAATAACAAAAATTACCATTGCTGCTCACTCAATTTACAAGTCAAAAAGAAAAGATTTCACTGAATAATTGACATGAAAATAACAGATTGGCAATGACATTTGACATTGACAGAAATCCTGGTGCTTTAACTGCTTTCCATTTGTTGCACCGGTGCAACTTTTTCTGCAAAAGTTTTTTGTCTCCCGCCGGTCCGAATTGAATCGGCTGTGTCAAGTCATTCGTTTGACCTCAGTGGTGATACCAGAATGGTCACTGGTTGACTCGACCTCGACTCCAATCAAAAGTTTGCGTGGTACTCTGTGGGCAGGTTTGTTGACAAGTTTGTTGAAACGTGACCGATATTCCCAAACAGCTGATTGGTCAGACTGATGGTCAGACTTTATACTGAACGTATTGATCATTCCAGAACACGTGATTTTGACATGGTTTCTTGAGGGGCACACAAACTATCTGTTAGGTTACCTTTGATGAGTATAGACCTGGCCATCCCTGTCATATCCACCAAACAAAATTATGAAATTCTTTCTGATTCCAACTCGGATTCCTCGGAAAATGATCCCACTAATTCTGGTTTCATATGACAAATCTTGACAAAATACAATGTTTGCCCCTCAGCAACCTGTCAAATGACGTAATTCTGGAATGATTAATGTGCCCGGTCAAACACAGACTTTGCACAGCCATAGCCTTGAGCTCATTGTTTTGAGCCGCTACGAATTCCACTCGTAAACCTGGTGGTACCCTAGTTTCGCACCAGTTTTGCACTTGCACTACGTTAGAGGTTAGATATCGAATTCGTCTTTCTGAAAATTAAAAAAATATGGATAGAAATTATGTAATTGCAATATTTAAACTAAATGAAGAGGTATATTTACATTATCAATGCCGAAGAATGACAAGGCGAGCGAACATATTTCAAATTAACAAGTTTCCAGTATATCCAGAGTAGTATTTATTCATCACTATTTGATGATGATATTTGCTGTTATTATTATTTTATCGAAACGAGGAGAGAAAATCCCAAAGAATCAAGTAAAATGAAATCTACCACCTCCTCGATTAACCTACAGACAGTATGTGATAACAAGTTGAAACAAGAAGCAAATAAAAGCGGATGATGTCGCCTTCGCGAGTATCCAAACGTGCCGCGATTCAAACTGATCTAAGTTAGTGGCAGAGCGTCAATACTTCCGAGATGAACTTCAATACTGTCTCATATATCATTCCGTTATCAGATGACGGTAGAAATCCGCAGCTGATTCTCCTATTGAAACTGCACTGCCTTCGCACGATCAATTAGAGCTCGTGCGAGAATTGTTGCACTGAGCTCTAAACTGAATGCTCCATAGTTTCCCACTGGGATTCGAAACCTGCTACCAGTTTTATCAATAGAATACAAAATATGCACTCACACCAGTTTGCACGCTTCTTCCATGTTTACTCATCAAGTTTCAAATGACAGTAGTGACATTATTGACAGCAGCGCTAGCGCTCACACTGCTCCACCTCTCTGAACTGTGAGCTGACCTATACGCTTTGCGTCTCGGTTTACTAACTAATCTCACGACACGAATGAATCACTTCACACCTCGGTGTTTTATGGTAGTATATTACGTAATATGTGTTGTAAGGAGCATATTACGTGCGGCTAGTGCGTAATTCCATGGGTGCGTTGCGTTGCTTTACAACACGCATTACGTACTATACTTCACCTACTGCTATATAGTACATCAAAAGAGTCTGGACATGACAGTTATGTCATCCGCTGTTGACGGCGATAATCCTTGGACGGCGATTACGCGATCATGACATACCTATACTGGCGGAATAAACGAAAACTATGCGATGTGCTTACTGTGAGTAAAGAGCTAATTACTGAGTCTGTATCTCGCGTGCTCTTGCCTACTTTCTATAGTTGCCGTAGGTAAACTATTTTACCATGTTATTCATTATTGTTGCATTTTTCGCCACTTTCCTTGTTTTCATTTGTCATCCGACCGGATCAATGTGATTTGATTCTTCTGTTCCCTGAAAATTCGCGGAGCAAATAAATCCTGCTCGATGTGATGAAGATGTGATCTATGGCCTTCAGTCAAACGAACATTCAATCGATCATTGCTCGAAACAAACGAACATCAAATATCGCTGACATCACTTTCCAGCAGGGTGAGCATGACAAACGAACGCCTCGAGCCATTTATCGCGATTTCATTCGTTCTTGAATTTGAGTGTGAATCACACCTGCTCAAGACCAAAGGTTCTTTCGTCTGCTTTTCAGTGTCGTGTAAAATGCACTGCACTATGAATCAGCTGATATTTCGTGCAGCTACACCAACGAATTATAAACGAACGAAGAAAATTGAATTGAAGAGGAAAAGTGCAATTTTGAATTATAGGTGGAGATAAACTCCACTGGTGTGAAATGCACTTCTCAAAAGAATGCTCAAATTCGGTGTAAATTACACGAAGTGTACGAACGTGCTACACTTTTCGTACAGAAGAAAGGGCCTATGGAGTGTTCGAAAGTGTTACAATCAGCGTGCAAAAGAAAAGGTCAATCTGCTTCCTACAATCTTCAGTGTTGCCAATTGTGTTAATTTTCTAGTACATTCAATTTGGGCCGATTTGTTATGTACAAAATCTCAACAGGACTGTACGTAATTTGACTAGATAAACCTTTATATAAACTTACCCATTTGTACATTTTCTTTCCTACAATTTATTTGACATTCTCCTTAGGGAATTAGCAGTTTTCCAGTTGGCAACACTGCCAATCTCTTTCAGTCAAGCATGGCGTTTGTGTACAGCGTTAGTGCGTTGTTGTCAATTTTAGTTTCAATATTCCAGTTTTGATGTTATTTTACCGATTTCGAAAGGAATATTCAGGTATATTTGTACCCCTATTTCGTGTAAATACATAAAGCAAGTGCCTGAATTGCTTTTGATGAATGCAATTTGCCAATATTTTCTGTTGAAATTATGACCTTGAAACGTCGTGCCAGCCCAACATAAATTCCATTGGCGGCGCGTTTGAAATTCATATTCTGGATCTGTAAGGGGAATTATTTAAACATTTACTATGGATAAGTCTGGAAGGATCAGAGAAGCAACTCTGGATGTAGTTATCGAGGATAATCCAGGTTCACCTCAATATATGATACAAAGAGTCCCTGGAAACGCCCAAATCCTCACTTCAGAATTATTGCAACAGCAACATGGACTTGTGGTTGATCTTGGAGGAAATGATTTCATTCCAGTTAGCTATTCCTCTGAGGATTTGCTCTCACAGGATTTGACTGAAGAGGATAGAAATCTAGCTGCAGCCTTGGTGGCTGTACAACTTAGCCAACAGCAAAAACAACAACAAATCCAAGATAGCACTTTGCCATCTCTTGTTGCAGGTAAATATAAGTTTTCTGGGGCTTGTCTGAATAATGCTCAGTTTGTTTTTTGACAGTAAACAGATAAACTGGAACAAGTAAATTCTTGCACCAATTTCAACATTGAACATATTCCTTGTCATTCCACTATATTCATTAAGGGCTGTATGACACCTGTTAAATTTGATGACAAATATGATAACAAAAATGATGAAAAAAATATTTTCTATGTGCCATACAGTATAAATATTTATGATATCAAAATATTTAGAACCAGTCCTATATTTTTACAAGAATGTTTGCAAACCTGTGCAAAATCAACACCTTTTTCACTGTGACACATAAAAGATGTTTTTGTCATCAAATTCAACAGGTGTCATACAGCCATGTGTACAAGGAGTACAGTGTTATTCATTGAAAAGGCTAACCCAAGGGCTAACCCCTATATTAATGTTATTTTTTCATCCAGAACAAAAAAGTGGAAGTTGAATGCTGTCATGAGGCCTTTCAACAGCCATTATCAGAAGTTTTACAGGTTGATCCCTAAAAGTGTGACAAACCACAAATTGATTTTTAAAAATAGAACACCCTGTTTTTAATTTTTTGATATATATACAGGGTGATATCTTCTATTTTCACTTCTCTATTACCACTTATTTGAGCATAGAAAAACAAAGGTTGTCTGATTAATTGGTGATCACTTGATCAGTTTTGGAATGTATTCCATGAGGAATTCCATAATGATGCAATACACAATTATCAAATATATCTTCATTCATGGCTAACATGATATCTGTTGTTTTTCTAGGATCAAAAAGTGGTGACTGTGACTATATGTTATTATTATTACTAGATCAATGTTGAAAAAACATGATGTCATCTGGTTGAACAGGGCTACAAGCAAAGCTTTGCAGAATTTTGAAAATTTCCCATGCTCCCAATTTGATGGAAAATTTGTATGCTTTTTTTTCAATCATATTTCAATATTGCTATGCTTGGATATGAAACTGTTTTTTTTCTCATCATCAATAGCTCAAAATATATAATATACAGAGTAATACAAAATGACTCTTGCAATGCTTTTGTCAATCAACATGTCTTTTGTATCTATCTGTAAGTTTAGGTATTCCACATTGAACAATATTCAAATAGTCTAAGAGCCTGCTGAAAATTTCAACCATCATCTGGAAATAGCATATGTCCCAAAGGCATGTGAAAACATTGTATTTTAGCAAACGGCACCTGTGAAAATCACTATCCTGAGCAAAATGATTGGCACTTGATCAGTCCATGTATAAATAGTATTTGATGCTATTTATTATTTGATATTTAAAATAATTGAAATTCGGCACCTTCAAAAAATGCCAGGTTTCGATGACTTCATCTGCTTTCTGGCACAGAGAATAACCAGATATTTTGATGTTGCCAAATTTATATCTAGTAATTACATTCACAGAAGACAATGTGGCCATCTGGTTTCTGATACTCACTCATTGACTACTTACATCAGTGTGTCACTAGTGTCAGTCATTGTATCCAAATATTCCTTATTATGATTTCATTTGAACCCAGACTTTTCATGACTCTGGCAACAGCGTGATGCTAGAGTTCACAGAAAAATATCAATGAAGAAAAAGAATTATTCTAACATAACCCTCTAAGGTCAGTCTTGTCTGTCACCATCATCTTCAGAACCTATCATCTAGTCAAATCTAGAGTCACTGGATGCTATCAGTAGATAACTAATACCATACAGTGACTCTAGTCAAATCCATGGTGAAATCTAAGGAATACTGCAAATATTCATGTCATGGACGTATCTTGTTGCTGAAAAAGGTTAATTCACCCAATAGGTCGCGTGCACGATGACCGACCCTGGAGGTAAAACATTGAAACAGAACCTCACTTTTCTGTAAAACATTGAAACACAACTTCACTTTTTCAATTTGTTTACAGAGGAATCAAAGGATTGAAATAGTTTTCCACAATATTTTGGCATACGAATCGTGTTTTTGCGCTATTCATCAATTCAAGCATACCTTCCCATTGTGCTGTTGTACAATGCACAAAAAATGCAGCGAGAAACGAAGGAATATGATTTTTCAGAATACTTATCTCACAAAGTTTTCATTATGAAAGTCTGCCACTTCTGCAATAGAAGCTAATACTGCTGATAGATTGAAAATGTCTACGACACACACGATCATATTCCGTCAGCATGTCAGACCAAACCTCCCGTTTGATTGCAGCAATCCAATCTTCTTGCATTCTTTCAGAAATTTCATGAGTATTTCTGTTAGCTCCTATTGCAGAAGGAATTTCGATGAGAAATCAGAGAATTCACCAAATTTCAAAATGAAAACTATATGTGAGTGACTATAGTAGGTACTTAATTTTTAAATCATAATGTACCAACCAAATTCCTTCGTCTCTCGCTGCATATTTTCGTGCATTGTACAACAGCACAGTGTGGTGGCATGCTCGAATTATTCAATAGCCGTAAAACACGTTTCGCATGCCAAAATAATTTTTAAACAAATAAGAAAAGTGACGTTGTGTTCTGATGTTTCACCTCCAGGGTCAGTCACCTGACAGTTCTTGCACGCAACCCATGTCCACGTCATGGTGTGGAGAAGTTGTCTACTTGAATTTTGTACTACACTCTTTTCTCCTTGATAATTGCATTTCTGAAGCATATGAACACGTTAGGATGCAAAGGATTGTGGACTAATTCAATATTTTCATAGAGCACAACCAATTAATTGATTCACTCTCATTCTTTTTGAATCTATAATTGACTATATATCTGGGGGTTAGACAAATATGACATATCATATTGTGAGGTTGACTACAACGGTGTCAAATGTCAATTGTGAATTGAATCGGTGACACTGTCAGAATTATTCTATTTCAATCAGATCAAAACTGTTTCTCTACTTCTCTGGGTAATATTGACAAAAGACATTCGCCATTAAATGGCATTCGATTTGACAGTCATTGCTACCAACAAGTAGCACAAAATGTCCGACGATATCCAAGTAAAACATGGACGATTGTGAACAATTACTTATTAAGGCAAATAATATTCATTTCATCAATCATCAAAATCAGAAAAAAATTCCAACTGAAATAGAGAAGTTCAGCTAGCTTTCAGATAAATAATAAGTTTGTTTATAAGAATATTGTGTTCTTAATCAAGGCTGGTTACCATGGTAACATTGGTCATATTTTTAATGCCTTACGACAAAAAAGAACAGAAATGATGTCAGTACATTCATTTCTGATAGTGTTTAATAAAATTCTGATAATTGAGTTCCTATTTCCATTTCAAAGAGAATTCGTACGGCGACATCTATTATAGATAGATAGATATAAGATAATCCTTATTTCTTATATTATCTGATTCTTCAGTTGTGTGTTGTGTTCTTTGTTATCTGCAGTAAGTATTCCATCCAGAAAATTGAATTCATTTTTTGATTGAAATGACAATCAGAAATATTCTTGCATTTGTCTTACAGAAATAGAGAATGGATATGTAAGTCAAATCTTATATGGTTTTATTGAATTATTCACGGATGATTAGGTCACGCAGTCACGCGTTTACCCGCATTTTTTATGTTATGAAATATCATGAATTTCAATAATTAATTTAATAATGTTCAGAGCTCTGAGGAAAAAACGGTTTGCAACAGTGAACTAGTTAGAGTTAGTACTTTGGAATAATGAAATCAAATTTTTCACTGAAACAGGTCCATTATTCCCTCTTCAATATTTTTGAAAACTTTCAACAGGTCCTTCCTTTCTCGATTGCATTGTTAACTTTCATACCATGAATGAATTATGAACTTTCTATCAATACAAAGTATTATTGATGGTAGTACCACCAAACACCCAACATCCAAGATAATGTTCCGTTAATCAACCAAAGTTACCCATTTCAGGACAGGTACCAACAATTTTGACAGTGGTTATCTACTGATGACTAAGGTTGTGGTTTATTTACGGAATGCCATTCATTTGTCAAATTACAGTTTTGATCGTTTTTTAAACATTCATGCTCTGCCAGTATTTTATTTTCAACTAGCAGACCTCGCAAACGGTGTTTTGCTATATAGGGTAACTCACGGTCCATGGTACGTTAGACGTTTACGTAGTTGCTCTTGGTCTATCGATATAAAATATTTTCAGCTCTGCGGCGTTGCCGCTTCTATCGAAAAGTAGCAACAACTTTTTTATTTTAAATGAAACACCCTGTATTTTATTGCATTTTCAGATTCTCTCTGAAGAGCTGATTTCATGGATGTATCACACTTGGGGTCTAGCGGAAATGATTACAGAGATATTGGGTGTGAAAAATTGATATTTTCCAACTTTAGGAATTTTTTCTGTCGAAACTATTCATTATTGGTCAAAACGGTTCACATGTCCTTATCTCAACTTTTGATCAACTATCTACATTTAATATAAACATTTAATTGAAACAAATACAGGGTGGTGCAGAATCCAGAATCTTGATCACCCGGTATATGTCCCAATTAAATATCAGTAGATAGTTAATCAAAAGTTGAGATAGGGACATGTAAACCGTTTTGACCAATAATGGATAGTGTCGACAAAAAAAATTCCTAAAGTTGAAGAATGTCGATTTCTCAAACCCTATATCTCAGTAATTATAACTGCTAGACCCCAAGTATGATGGATTGTTGAAATCAGCTCACCAGGGAGAATCTCGAATCTTGAATTTCCCAATTTTGAAGAAAGAATCATAATATCCGACTCCTAAAACCCCAGACGAAAATTTAGAATAGAATCGGTATATAATTATAAAACTCGTTCGGTATATTGGTTCCACCGTCTTGAATTTCCAAATCCCGCCCTTTCCAAATTTTGACAAAATGATCATAATCTCCGACCCCGAGAATCACCAAATACCAAATTTGAATAAAATCGGATCCTAATTACAAAATCCGCCATTTTGGATCCGCCATCTTGAATTTCTTAATTTTGACGAAGGCATCATAATCCCCGATCCAGAAAACCCCCAGATACCAATTTTTGAGAAGAATCGGATTATAATTACAAAACTCGTCCGCCATATTGGTTCTGCCATCTTACATTTCAAAATTCCGCCCGATTTTTTTAATTCTGACGAGAGAATCATAATCTCCGACCTCGGAAACCCCCAGATACCAATTTTGAATAGAATCAGACCATAATTACAAAACTCGCTCGATATATTAGATCCACCATCTTGAATTTCCTTATCGTACCGGGATAAAAAGTATCCTATAACCTTTACCTGGTTCTAAGCTCCTCTCCACCAATTTTCAGCCAAATCGATCCAGTAGTTTCGCAGCCTATTCAATACATACATACAAACAAACAAACACATCTTTCCTCTTTCTAATATATTAGTAGTAGATTACTGCACCTAAATGTCCCTAAAGCGAAGAATGTAATGTCCTGAAATAAAAAAAAGTGATCATACTGAAAATATATCAAATATCGCTTGGTCAAAGAAATTTCCGCTATACAGGTTCAAAATTATTCAATAAATTACCTGATGACTAGAAACAACTTAACTTGGCTCGTCTATTCAAAGTCAAAGTGAGAAATTGGATATTATCTAATGATAGAACATTCTTCACCTATGTCATTGATCCAATCTAGAAAATATCTACTTCAGAAAAATGTTATAACTTTTATTTTCTTTCTTTTCATTGTTTCATTATTTACCTCTTTTGTACGTTTCGGAATCATCTTATATATCAATTATCTTATTTTCTAATAAATAGTTAGGTAACAGTTACATAATGAGATCATATTTCTAGTTTTAGTATTGATTATTTCTTCCATTTATGTCTCTGCTATAGTCGAATGATTCAACTAAACACATATTCTCAATAGACTGTAACCTTCTGTAAATAAACATTCATTCATTCATTCATTCATTATTAATTTACGCGAATCCCTCGGAACTCAACGCAATAATTAAAATGGGAATATTGTTTTCGTTGTGATTTTTAAATCGAAAAATCAAACCGGAAACTAAAACACGTCAACGTCAACTCAAACTTACCGAACTTACCATATAAAATCTACGGTCGTTCTGGTGACAGTGAATCTACCGCATTTTCAAAACTCCTTCATCCATAGAACGGCTAGGCTCTGGCTCTGGAATTCATTGCCTGAGCAAGTATTCCCAACAACAAATAATCTCCAGAAGTTCAAAAAAAAATCCAATACCTACCTCCTGTCCCTATCGCCCCTGGGAACGCACGATGTTCTTTGAACATTATAGGGATTTCCTTTCGTACGCTCCAAGCGATAAAAAAATCCCCTTTTTTCAGGAACCAACCGAACATTTCATATTTACGGAACGGAAAAATGATACCAAGTTGATTTACGGAACATACCCTCTTGAAACCTAGAGGCCTCCCACCAAAACCGAATGAGTATTTTTTTCATTATGAATAGGCGCTCCAAGAGATGAACACATGCCACAGAAATAGTTTTACCCTCGCTTTTACCATTTGTGCGAATAGTGCAAGCATGTTTTTTCAGTGTAGGTTGAAGGAATATGTGTGAAATCAACGATAAGTACATTTTTCTCCGTGTATGCGGTAGTGGTGTTCGAGGTGACGAATTTTGAGCCATGGAACAACAAAGGCAGGTTAGGTCATATCTGGACGTTGGGTGATCAGTGGTAATACATACATTCCACTTAGTTGCTAGTACAGTCGTATTCAATGAAAAAGCGTACAAGTATCAAAAAGAGAGGTTTACGGCATCCTACTTCTAGTTGTGTAAATCTGGCTCAGCTAACGGTTTGTGTTTTTAAGAACCGATGACAACTTTACTGTCATTATTAGGTGAACAATGTGTGCAAGGGCGTCGCCAGCCGAAAAGCCAGGGGGGTCAAAATCTATAAAGAAAATCAATTGAAACATAATCTTCTAGGGTCTTTGCGAAATCGTTGGTCACTTTGTTGACGAATACGTTCAAGTTTTTGAAAATATGTTGCCTGTGTACATTCATCATTGCGAGGCCATTGAGTCGAACTACGGACATGGTGCTCCTCAACTAGGTTCTGATTCTCCTAAGGATACTAAATGACCTTTCAACTGTACAAGTCTTACAAGGTAAAGCAACAAGGATCTTCAAAGCCTTTTTAATTTCAGGAGAAAAATCTGCTCTCGGAAGTTCTTGACTCAAGTGAACGTTATAATAAGTAATATCACGATGTTCTGAATATTCGAGATAATTTTGTCGCTTCATTGTTCACGAAATTGTGTTAGATTTTCAGAACAGAGTGGTACTGGTACTGGTGGGGGACGTCTGCACGTCAGCAACTAGTCCCTAATGGGACCTTTTTGCAAACCCCAAAGTGTTTTCAATGACTGATGTGGTTCGCTTAAGAGAGCTGGCTAACATCCTTTTCAGGCACCGCCCATCAGCTCTCTTTCAGAGTTTTTCGGCTGTGTTTTGTAGGCTAGTAATGTACTCACTACCATATGCGCAGTGGCAGGCCTGCTAGCTATCCTCGTTAACCACCGTTAGAGGCCGAGGTCCTCTAAGCAGCTGGCCTGCTCTCACGCTCAGCTGGTAGTTTTCCACACCCACCTACATACACCGTCCTACTTCTTCTCTGATGCTCACAACCACATCATCATATCTTTCTGCGTGTTCTGTGTAGGCTTTGTTACTAACTCCATGCGCCACTTTAGGAGCAGCACTGTTAATTGGAACGCAACAGCGAATCGTGCAGGACTATCCCCAGCCGATGCTCCGAAACTTTACAATATTTAATTCGTAAATAAAATATTGATGAAAGTTCCTTGCTCGTGCTGGGAATCGAGCCCACGACCTTGCGGTCGTGAGACGGACGCTCTTCCACTGCGTCAATCCCGGCCCAGAACAGAGTGGTACTTTGTTAGACTATTTCACGTTCACGAAGCATGAAAATCTATTTGTCAAAAATGAGTGATTCATTCTGACAAGTACAGCCATAATTATTTCATGCCAAATTGACAGACTTTGCTTCGCTATCCATGGTTACATCGTTGAAAACATCAACGCTGATTGACCAATCAGAATTGAAAGGCTAATGTTTTCGCGATAAGCACACGTTGTCATAATTATTTCATGCCAAATTGACAGACTTTGCTTCGCTATCAATGGTTACATCGTTGAAAACATCAACGCTGATTGACCAATCAGAATTGAAAGGCTAATGTTTTCGCGATAAGCACACGTTGTCTCTGGCTTGTGATTGGTCAGATTATGTTTTGAATGAAATAGTCGTTTCAATGGGCATGGGCGAGTGGACTGATATTGAATTATTGGCATTCAATCACTCCACTGAGTCGTTCGGGGCCTGAATTAATTTTGGCAACACTCCTCAGCTTTTTTATGTAAATAATGAGTCTATGCGTTGTTCAAAATTGTTTAATTTTAGAGCTCATTTCAAACGTACCGTCATGGCCGCCATTTGGCGATACGTCGAATGAATGGTGACGTCAGTTTTTATACTATTTCGTTATTGGTCAGATAATCTTTCATTTCCACTCATGAAGCAAGCTTGTCAAGTCACCAATTATAATCAATTTATCAAACATATTAGAGTCTTGTCGTTGAATAAAACACGAGATAAAACATAATGTGAGGAAGCATGATATTATAGTTCATTCTTGACTTTTTCGAGCAACCATCATGTCCAATTATCTCTTATACTCCATAACAAAATATGATGGTGATATTGAAGACTTGGCAACAATATGCTCAATGCTGAGAATGACAAGGCACCGCCCACAATTCGTGCGCCGTGTTGTCACGTTTTCCCTCAAATGTCCTCTAGTGTGCATCAATATAATATTATTATTATTAACACACATGTATTATAAGCAATAAGTCACAACAGATGAGGGAATAATTTGAGACAATTGATTTTTAATACAAAATTGAGATTTTATGAATTATTGAATAACTAATATTCCTGAAGTTCCAATCGTATTTCAACAGATGGCAACTGTGCCATAGTCAAAAAAAGTGCATCTAAATCGCTTGTAGAGATCGAAAATTATTCACATATTACGACAATTTTGTGTGAGTCGTTTCAAATTTCCGTGAGTGCAGTTCCTATATTCCATAACAAAATATCATGTAAATGTTGGCTGGAGACTTGGCAACATGTGCTGAATGCTGAGAACTGACAAGACAACGCCCACAATCCTTGCCGTGCTGTCAGCTACTAAATGTCCTCTAGAATTAATATAATTATTATTTACACGAATTTATTATAAGCAATAAGACACAACACATAAGAGGAAATAATTCTAGGCAATACACTGTTTTATTGCTAATTAAGAATATTATGAATGCATAATTGAGAATTTATGAATTATTAAATAAATAATATTTCTGAAGTTCCCAATCATATTTCAACATAATATGGCTGCTATTGTCTGCATCTACTTACGGAATCGTAACGTCGGTTTCTATTTGTGGTAAATTTCTAGCCGTTTGAAATTTGCCGGGGCATTATTGATAATAGGTAATGAATCTGGTAATGATCTGTAAATTGATGGAAATTGGTGTACAAAATCCACATCGGTGAAATGTCTCTCATTATGAACTAAGAATGAATCTAATTTTAACATTTGCCAATCCTCAACCTAGTGATCGTTTTTATGACTATAAACTGTTATTTTCAGGAGCTGATCAGCAATTGATAATCAGTGAAAAGGCAGGTGGCCAGAGTTTTTTACGCATTGTGAACTCGGATAATATTTATGTTGAACAACATTCTTTACCGAAGATCGTTGAAAGTGTTAAATTTGCTGAAACTGAACAGCAACTGCAGGAGGAAGAAGATGAAATGCAAAAGATCTCTACTTCCAATATAAAACAGGAAGAAGAAAAAATCGATTCAGATGGAGAAACTTTCAGGTACTCGTTAATTGAATCATATAATTGTACCCCAGAAATTCGACCGACAATGCTTTGGATCGCGACTTGAGGTATAGTAGGAAAATGAGGTCCTCACGCGGTTGGTTCAAGAGATACAGGCTATTGAAGTTGAAAAATAAAAATCGTTTTTAAGAATAACTCAAGCACGGCTGAATTTTTCATAATCGATTTTGGTTTCTTTTTTCCTCTTCAACTTTTATTTCTGACTCTACAGTAAATTTAGTCATTTCATTCAGTTATGTGCCACTGTGATAACTTTTTCTGTCATATTTTCTACACCACTGATGAACTTTTGATTATTTCCAATATAGGCCAAGCGATGAGTAAAAAATATTGGGTTCTATTCCGAAAAGGTCGGAGAGAAATGAAATTCACCTGAGTTTGCGACCTCAGGGGGTTGCCGATCGAGGGGTGAGGGGATGAAAAAGAAACGAAGTGCGGTAAACATTTTTTATATAGGCGTTTTCGGAAACTTACTCGGGTTGATCGGATCCCTAACCTGAATTTTCGGTTACCTAAACCGAGTCACCTACCTCTGTTCGGAAACTTGAGTGTTGCTAACTATCACTGACTCGGGTTGATTTTTCGTGATCCTACTCAAAAGCAGGGTCGCCAGAATCGCAAAGGACACCGCATGCGCATTAACAATTTATACAAAATCTATGTCAATCGAAAAACGCGGGAGTTTACCACTCCACAGCAACAATATAATAATAAAATAGTTTCATTGGAAAAAATTCCGATCTTTTAATCTCCATAATTTGAGTTTTATGAGCCAAGAAAGTGCGACAACATATAAGACAAGTTCACCAATCACCAGGTAAATATAAATATTTTTAACCATATCAAATAAGTACTTGAATATAATGTAAACAATTTTGTCTTTCAAATTCACGAACCCATAGAAAAAAAATTAAATTCTGTGTTACTAACCTGTTACGTTCGTAAACGTTGAACACGAGTAGGTGATCCGAGTTTTTTTATCACGTGACCTCTCTGGATCGAGTTAACAACCCAGAGTAAGTTTCCGAAAACACCTTATGAGGTACTAACATTATTTCGGCTCACTCTATCGGCCTTATCATTTACGATATGACCTTTCCGGATATCCTGTATATATTATTTTTGGATACATAACATATATAATTCGATATTCTGTGGTATTAGCCAGGAAAATATTTGTTTTCTGTTAGATACTTTAACAATGATTTTCTCATTCCTCAAAAAACATAATAGTTCTCACAAAAATCTACTCACAGTGGCGGATTTCCCATAAGGCACAGTTGGCATGGGCCTAGGGCGGTCAATCGTGACAAAAAATTCCCTGATAACAAGAAACAACTAAAAGTACCAAATTATGGTTCATTTGTGTTGGTGATTCGAAAATTTTTGAATGATACACTGTCAGGAGAACTCAAGAATCGACGGGAGGCTTATATAAATTACTTCATAATAAATTTAATTTCATTACTATAACCTGACGAATGGGTCTAAACTCTGAACCAACAAACGGACTCTCGGTTCTGCTGTGTGGAAGACTAAACGGCTGAACACATATGTTCTTGCCCTTACTTAGAGAGACTAAGGTTCGACATATTTTTGGGTATTCAAATTTAGAACCTACCGATTCCAGTCAAATCTCACCTGATTCAACCATGGATTTTGCAAAAAGATGTAACCTCTAGGGATGAGCCACAATAGATCCATCTGGGGTCGCAGTGGAGAGACGGTATTCGCCCCACTCACACAAAACCTAACTTATCCTAATCATAACCTAACGAAACTATAGGTCGCGTGCAAGAACTGTCAGATGACCGACCCTGGAGGTAAAACATATTTGTTTACAAGTGATCAAAATAGTTTTCCACAATTATTTTGGCATATGAATCGTATTTTACCGCTATTCATCAATTCGCTAATGCCATCACATTGTGCGGTAGGACTGGTCTGACATGCTGACGATCGTGTGTGTTGTAGACATTTTCAATCTATTAGCAGCATTAGCTTGTATTGCAGAAGTGGCAGAAGGCAGAAGGAATTTTAATAAGGAATGACAACATTTCCTAATGCTAACTATGTGAGATTACTATTTACCTGAAAAATCATATTCCCTAGTCTCTTGCTGCATTTTTTGAGCATTGTTCAACAGCACAATGCGAAGGCATGCTTGAATTAATGAATAACGCAAGAAACACGATTCGTTTGCCAAAATATTGTGAAAAACTATTTCAACCTTTTGATTCCTCTGTAACCAAATAAAAAAGTGAGGTTGTGTTTCAATAATTCACAGAAGAATGAGGTTGTGTTTCAATATTTTGCCTCCAGGGTCGGTCTTCGTGCACGCGACCTATGGGTTGCATGCCAGAACTGTCAGATGACCGACCCTGGAGGTAAAACATTTGCAAATGATTGAAATAGTCACAATTATTTTGGCATACGAATCGTGTTTTTCGGCAATTCATTAATTCAAGCATGCCATCACATTGTGCTGTTGTACAATGCACATAAAATGCAGCGAGAGACGAAGGAATCCGGTTGGTACATTATGCTTCAAAAGTAAGTACCTACTATAGTCACTCACCTATAGTTTTGATTTTAAAATTTGGTAATTTCCCTGATTTCTCATTGGAATTCCTTCTGTAATAGGAGCTAATAGAAATACTCGTGAAATTTCTAAAAGAATGCAAGCAGATTGGATTTATGCAATCAAACGGGAGGACTGGTCTGACATGCTGACGAAATATGATCGTGTGTGTTGTAGACATTTTCAATCTATTAGCAGTGTTAGCTTCTATTGCAGAAGTGGCAGAAGGAATATTTATAAGAAGTGACAAAATTTCATAATGTAAACTATGTGAGATTACTATTTACCTGAAAACTCTATTCCTTCGTATCTCGCTGCATTTTTTGTGCATTTTACACCAGCACAATGAGAAGGCATGCTTGAATTGATGAATAGCGCAAAAACACGATTTGTATGCCAAAATATTGTGAAAAACTATTTCAATCCTTTGATTCCTCTGTAAACAAATAAAAAAAGTGAGGTTGTGTTTCAATGTTTTACAGAAAAGTAACGTCAGTTTTTATGGAACATTTTGCAATGAGCAGGTGTTTTAACCTATATTTGAAATTATTCAAGCTTACAATGTTTTTGACCTCACGCGGGAGATGATTGAATACTCTCATTCCTAAGTATGACGGAGAGTTGGAACTCACCTTGTATTTGACGAATGGAACATGGAATTCGTCATTTCGCCTAGTTTTGATACTATGGATATTTTCATTTCGAGGATAATCATTCTAATTATGGAAGACATAGAGACTCGACTAAGATAGAAATATGCCTACGACAGTTAGAATTCTATTTTTGGGAAACATTTTTTTACATGAATGTCTTTTTGGAACCTTCGCTATAAATATGAGGACCTCTTTTGTGCAATAAACACATCCTGTCATGATGTGGATTCACCCCAAAGAAGAATACCATAAAGTATTCTAGAAGCAACTTGAGCATGATACAACATCATTAATTGTTCTTCAAGCAATACTCCACGCAGATGTCGAAACATGTAGCAAAATGGGTTCAGCTTGAAATATTGCTATTGCTGTTGAATTTCCAACTCACACATTCATAAATTGTTAATCCTAAGAAAACTACTTTATCTACTGCAGTCAAAGTTTTGCTATCAACTGTAATATTCAGTTCTGAAATGATTTTTCTGTGCATTATGAAACCTCATAATGTGGGGTTTCTCCGTGTTGAATAAAAGTGAGTTTGCACTGCACCATAAGTATATGTCATTCAGTAACTGTTCACTATGTTCTTCAAGAGAATCCTCGTCTTTATTTGACATCAGTACAGACCGAGGTACAGACTGTACAGTATCATCGGCGTATATTTTATGACGAATTGAGCATCAGCAGCTAGAGTGTCCAGCTCATTTATATAAAAAATAAACAACATTGGTTCCAATACGGAGCCCTGGGAAGCCGGCTCGAATTGGCTATTCTGAATTCATTCATTCATTCAGTGGCGGCTCCTCAGAGGAGGCTACGGAGGCTGAGCCTCCTCAGAGATTCTCCTTGAACTGATATTATCCATACTTTCTCATTCAAAGGACACCAAAATATGGATTTTGATTTTATTTCCTGTTTTTAGGTAAATATTTTTGAATTGGCAACAGTGCTTGCCCACGCATCACACGTTGAAGTCTGCAAATCACGCGTAAAATATTCAACTTCGCAACATCTATAGGAGGCTAGACTCCTTCACAATTCGCAACCCACGCGCGCAATGCAAATGCCCGAATACGCTCGAATAGCACGTTTTTGTCGTGTCGCGTCGCGAATTGCAGACAATCCAGCGCGAGTGCATTGTTTATGTTAGGTTAATGGTTAGGGGCTCTATAAATTTCTGAAAAATGAGTGTTTAAACGATTGCGATTCAGTGGAATACTTTTTGGTGAACCCATTCAGTGCTTTGTCTTATGAAGATAAATTGATTGTGAAAAACAAACGTCCGACACCGGAATTAAAAAATCTGATTGTAACAGGTAGCAAACAAAATCGTTCGTTCAATTCTGATAATTATAAAAATATATCTGGTTGATGGGATATGAGGTAAGGAATAAGCTATTTTGTTGATACTGCGTATTATTTTCAACCGATAAGTCATCATGTTGGGGGCGATTAGGATATAATGATTTGAAAAATTTGCCTCGCGGATTGGATACACTGCAAATCACAGGAACACATCTCTTCAAGTATTAAGTTCAGGTTAACTGGTAAACAGAATGTCATTAAAGCTATTGATTTGGGTGAGTCGTAGATAGTTGTTTTTCACAATAAATCTCATATCATTCAGCCTCCTCTGTCATGAAAGTCACGAGCCGCCACTGCATTCATTCAACTATGATTAAAATCTTCTTCTGAAGATAATACACAGTTTGTGAAACACGTGTGGAGACGTTTGAAAAAAAGGTTTTGTGAAACAGTGTAGTAGATTATCATGCCAATTTCAGTCTCCAATATGATTTCTATAGGTATTATCATATAAGTTGAAAAAAAAAATCGCTCATCTATTTCTTTCAGAAATGATTAGTTTTCTGAGTTCATATTTGAATTTGATTATATTTCTGAACTTTTTTTATATTATCGGGTAAGATACCAAATTTGAATGCAAAAAACAATATTCATTTCTGAACATTAATTCTCTGTATCTCGAGAACTGAGAACTTGAAGGCCTAACAACCCTACCTTAGTAGTTATCAAATCACAAGGACTGTCATTGTGAAGCTTTGGTGGTCGAATTTCGCAACTCCTTTTAGGTACAGGTACCCAGAACTTATTGAAGATAATATGCCATTTGTCCCAATATTTCTGTCCAATAGGCGAGAACACTGTAACGTAGTGGAATAGGTTATATAGAAATGGATCTCAGGTATTCTGTCATCTTAACTGAAGTTGAAACGAGTTGAAACCACCAGAAAACCACTAGACGATAAAAAATATTCCCCTACAGCGCATTTTATTTCATTTCATCAGATTTGATGTTTATTTAGTGGTTTTCATGTGGCCATAATGCGATTTTAAAAAATATGAGTTGACAAAACTGATTAGAGGAAATCAGAATTTTGGTTCATCAAATTAGCAGTTGTACCAAAATTATTCAGTTAGATTGTATAGTGACTCTAGATTGTATTATCCTCGGTATGACGAATTTCGTTGCTGCTGATTGAATACATATACCTACAACTGGGGTCCCTTGATGCAAACTGACGTATTTGTCATCTTAACAGGGTACGGACAGATCCTTGTCTCCTCTCACTCTGAAGTGTTTGTGAAACAGTTATATACTTCCATCCTTATTCAATTCTGGGGATAAAAACAAGATATCTGACATTTGTTGTTTTTTAGGTTATATTGAGGACATTGGCGTATCATACGTAATTTCCACATGGGATTCCTGATTCAATTCTACATATTATATCCAAATGATGATCACTAATTTTTGAGTTTTTTGATTTTTAAACTCCAGCATAATCTTTGTGAGGCAGTATGCACAAAGTTTTCTGAAAGTTTAATATGTTTTACCAAATGGGATTATTCTTAGGCTGTACCTATATTTAAATAAGTGAATCTTGATTTCAGACTTATGGTTGAGATATGGTGAGAACTGTGATGTAGATATTCAAACTAATGTGCTCATATGTCATGTGGGCTGTATATTTGTATGTTCATGTTGGGTATCATTTTTACAGTTTTTTGAGGAACACTTAATATGTTCTGAATGTAGGTATACTTTTTTAATGGTAGGGCATATGCCTTCTCTTTTAATCCTCTGTTTTAATCAAAACTGTTTCTACTAAAATGCATTCAAAAACTTTTTGAGTGGATAATTAGGCACAATGAGGTTTTACCTCAAATACTTTGCTGATGTATTTACCGATTTTCCCAATTCGGTCTCTTCACTTTCCATGTTCCAAGTTCATTTGCATTTGTTGGGAAGCTGACAAATTCAAATTTGCCATCCACTGATTGATTCAGCCTAACGCAGCACATTTTACCATCCTTCCAAAACAGAATTGAATAATGTCGTATTAAGATTTAGTACCAATTAAAATGTCATAAGATTTCTTTCAACGCATATGAATGTGACGTGACAGAAAGGTCATGGTCAGGAACTCCATTACACAAAATCAAAGTCACTAGATCATTAAAAGAAAAACGAGCTATGATATGTCCGTTCCCTGTTAAGATGACAAATACGTCAATTTACATCAAGGGACCCTACCTACAACTTACTTGATTAGTAAACATGCCAGATATAAAATTGTAGAAGTTGGCAATGGAGTTATAACCTATATTGGTGACGTTGAAATTCCTTTATTGGCTGGATTCCTAGTCTCGCTACGCTCGGCTATGCACTATCAGCCGCGGCTGTCATTTACTACTTTCCTGTATGGAAAAACAAATAACTATTTTCAAATCGGTCTAGTAGTTTCGGAACTCATTCAATACAAACAAACTATCAAATTTCTCCTCTTTATAATAATAGTGTAGATTAGTGTAGATTTCCTTCAAATGCAACAGGAAAAGGGGTTGTGACTTCACTACTGGCTAGACTAGAGTGTCGCCGAACGCAATGTTTGAACGTTTCCTGGACTTGCAAGGTATTCAAATGATGTTTTTTAAAAGTTTTATAGCATTTCTGTTATATGCAGAAAGTTGATTTCATGCATTTGTGTCCTCGCCTATTGGTACAATTTTCATCTAAACAATGTACAAACACATTCCCCAATTATTTGTATTATAAATGCTGACATTATGCAGATGATTCAAGTTGATGAATCATGATAAAAATGTTAGGTTCGTTAGGTTAGGTAAGTTCTTGTGAATTCTTCAATTATCAAAAACTAATTATGCATCGGAATGTGAATTTTATATTACAGGTAAAATAACATATTTGTTTTTTGAATTATTCAGGAATGAACAACGTAGTGCGAAGAAAAGTTTACCGCATAAAAAGCGCATTTCGAAGAAGCTCACCAAAAAGAGTGCCGCTATGTCTGTCAAACAAATCGTTTGTAACCTGTGCGAACAGGCATTCGATTCCAATGATGAGTTTGCGCAGCACGAGCTTTTATGCCAAACCACAATCACTCCTGTCCACCAGGCACCAAATGCATTCAATTGCCAGATTTGTAATGAACCATTTACTGAACAGTTGAAGTAAGTATAATAGAATCTTATACATGATCTTTTTCATTTTAAATCCTGTTAGTAATTGTTACCTCAACTAGAGATGTTCAATCAATGATTTCAAAATCCTACTCAATCTATTCAAAGAAATATGGAGAATCACCAGTTCTGTTCAAGTTATTTATATTTATAAATGGTTTTCTACCATCTTCTATTATTCATTGCAATCTTGAAAGATTGAGCTGAGAACAGATGTGTCCCGAAAAGAATTTCAAATCCATTAAACATTAAGATTGCAAAAAACATGAGAAAATAGTTGTTGTTCTAAATGATAAAGATTGGATTTGAAGGGAATTTTATCTGAAAAAATGTGACTGCTTCTTTCTCGTTTCTTTGCATTTTCTGAGAACTTTTACCACAGTGATTTAAATATTTTTTTACACCATTGATATTTTGCCAACTTTCGATATATCGAGATAATCCGTTTTTACCCTTGAAAGCTCACCCCCTTCCACTTCCCGACCACAGATAATGATAAAAATAACAATAAAAATGTTTATTGAAGTACGAAATAACAATAATACATGTGTTTACATATCATTGTACTGCAAGAGGCAAATAGTTGGCAAGCACTTTATCAAAACTCCTTCATCCATAAAACGGCTAGGCTCTGGAATTCTTTGCCTGAGGAAGTATTCCCAACAACATATAATCTCCAGAAGTTCAAAAAAAATTCCAATCCTGTCCCTATCCTCCCTAGGAACGCACGATGTTCTTTGAACATTATAGGGATTTCATTTCGTGCGCTCCAAGCGATAAAAAAAATTAAATAAAAAACATTTTTCATATTTGCCTTGATCGCCCGTAATTTATTTTTCCTTTCATCTTCCTCTACTTTTTTCAATGGGCTTCATTCTACTATTTTTTTTTTCACTTTTTATTATTTTCAATGGCTTCCGCACTGGTCTATAAGGACAAGTTGAAATTTCATCAAATTAACAAAATATGTGCCCAAAAACAACTTTCGAGCTCAAATCGCCGAAATTCCCTTTGCAATGCTTCAAAGAAAAATACCTACCCAGTGTGTAGAGTGTATCGGGCGCCAGTTTGGTACAACTTTTTCGAAAATCATGTGAACTAAAATTTTCCAGTGTTAGTGAATCAGGAAAAAATACAAAATTGTGTCATTTTGTAACTGTCTACGTCGAGGTCTATGTTTTTTTTCAAAAAGTGTCTGCCGCGAGCCAACTTGTATTATGTTTTTATTTTACTCAAAGTTATTTTGAAGTCTTCTTCAGTCAACTTGTAAATCTACTTCACACCTGGACAGCTTCTCATAATCTATAAAGCACAGATACGGTCAGTTTTAGAATCCTGTTCTCACATATGGGGTTCGGCACCCAAAGATTCGCCTGTTGGGTGATGCCACACTCACTAGTTCTAGTTCAATCAGCACATCCTTTTGTTGTCAACCGTGAGATATGTCAAACAACTCTTTACGTCTGTAGAACGGCAAAACTCTGGAATTCAAGTATTCCCAAGAACTTATAATCCCCAAGAGTTGTTGAAAAAATGATTCCTACCTCCTCTCCCTATCTTCCCTAGGTACAAACGATGTTCTTGGAACATGATAGGAATTTCCTTTTGTTCATAAAAATAACCTATGTATACAATGCAATATTTGCAGTATAATCACAAGTATCAGTATAATTACAAGGTGCAGCATTATATTCCTGGGGATAATCTGCATGCATAGATTGCATGTGAATTCGGCCTAAGAATGAGATATACTTTCCAACTCATTCTTCAGGTTTTTCGAACATCTGAAGAGACATTATGAGCCGGGTGGGGGTGGCTTGCCGACGAAGCCCCCCAAACAGACCCCGGAAAAGAAAGCGTCGCCTGAAAAGGTCCCACCAGCCGACAGCGAGAGACAGGAAAGCTTACTATCCAGCTTACTGAATTTGACGTGCATCGAATGCAACAAAACGTTCAGGAGACAGAAGACCTTTGAAGCTCATATGAGGGATATACATACTAGTAAAAACGAGCCATTAGATGAATTTAGTGAACCTGAAGATCTTATGGAAGGTATTGATATGAGTTAACGTTATTGAATTGATTTATTCAAAACAATAATTTCAATTTTCTTCAAGATTGGTGAGTTTGTAGTTATAAAATACATCTTCTGAAGTGATTTCCTCATCTAATCCTTTGGCGTCCCAGGAAAATAATTATTAGTTCTCATTTCTACAAAATTTTATAATTATAAGTTTTTGTGTCTGTGATAATCTTATAGGATTTGTATCCTCTTTTTTTTCAGAACAAGATATGCGAACAATGGAGAAAAAAATCACTTACTGAATTGATTTAATTTTTCATAACGATATAAATCTCTCGGGACACCACTGAACTGAACATGATGAATTATCATTCGTCAAAAGCTGCCTTATAACATTAAACTAACCTAAAATGGTTAAAGTAAATTGGAATAGGAATTCTTGAGATCAATGAGAAATGTTTGCAAAAATACAATATGTTTAGAGAGAAAACACTGTTTTCAGAACTATGGCAGTTATAAAATATTGAAAAATTAACAATTACCTACATCAACATATCATAAAACATTTGTTAGGAAAATATGTATACAAAACACATGTTTTTACAAAGAGGAAAATTTGTTTAGAGAATGATATTGACTTCATGAGTAAAGATGGTGAAACAACATTTTATGGTGTAGCATCAGCCAAGGAAAAAATAAATATTCAAATTTCATAACTCTTTATAACTATCTCTCAACCTCTATTGTGAACCATTAATTAACATTTATTGTAACTTCAGTTAATAATAGTATTATTGTAAATTTAGTTAAAAATTGTTAAACATAGCTCACACACATCTTCTTATGAGAAAATCGTGTGAAACAGGTTAATAGTATCGAAAAACTACTATATGAAAAAACATGTACATGCATCTGTTATGTACTTCCGCCATTGCTTATTTTCTCCAGAAAAAAACATTGTGTATTCCAGGTATAAATGTTGTGGTGGAAACAAATGAACCCCCTGACGACGAAGATGACTCAAAGGCTTGGTACAGAGAAGAAGAGCTCCATCAGACAGAAGAAGACTTGAAAGAACTGGAGGCCGGGACCGATCATGTGTGTCATTTATGTAACCAGCCATTTCCGCTCAGGGCAATTTTACTTCAGCATCTTGTTACATGTAGAACGACTACCGGAAATACAGGTGGGTGCAAAAAATGGAACCGTTTACTCTGAAATTATTCTTTGTGACGTTATTTGCGAAATACTTATTTGAATAGGCGGCTGGATTTGTCTCAAAGTGACTAGTGTGGAGTATACATCACATTCTTAGGACCACCGTGGAATCGCTGCCAGGACGCTCAAAATATTTTCTGTGAGCGTCAACATCTCGCGTTCGGTTTACTAACAGTGTGGAGGAGGATGCAGTTTAAGCGCTGCTGCCACATCAATAATAATGAGTAAACACTGTTGACAAAGGTCTGCATCACATAACACCCCAATCACATCTGCACTCTGTATAACTGCCGGTTTTAGAGGATCAAAAACGTAATAATGGACCTTTCCAGTATCGTAGTATTTGGGCCTTTCCAGTATCGTAGTATTTGACCCTTTTTCACTATAATGTTATGGAGGTAAGTCAAAAACGTTATCCGGACCACATCTTTATAGAGAAAATCGAGAACAACAAATGAATTATTTAATATTGAGAATGCTCTTTATTCTAACGCTACAGAGCTGTGGCGTCAGTTTCTCCTTGCAATTTGATTGGTTGGAGTTTGTGACTGCTGGAAAGCATACCGCTGTTGCCAGGTCTCTATGAACACCTTGAATTGATATGTGAAAGATGGTGCAAGTAATGTCATGATTCGAAATTACTATGGAGTAGGTGATTAGTTGATTGATAAATCACTGCTGATCACATTCAATTTACTCAGAACTCCGAAATTTTCCATTAATTTCAAGATTAGCTAGGATAAAATGTGATGCAGGCATCTAAAAGTAAGGCGCTTTTCATATAGTTTGGTTTGAGTTATGATGTTACGATTTTGTATTGTTATGATGAACAAATTAAACAGAAAGAAGAAATTCAGTATCGATTGATTCAAAATGTTTTCTGTTTCCTATGGTAGGTAGGTATAGGTAGGTACGTATATGTATAGGTGAGTACCTAAACTTGAAAGTACCTACTTTACTAGAAGGGATTTGAAACTGAATGTCATGAATATCTGCACTGTAATTCAATACAAAATGAAATTTCACTTATAATTTTCAAAATAATTATGCTTTGCTTTTTTTCACTACCATGAATTTTCAGGTAGGTAGATATTATTGAGTTATCTAATAGCATCTGTATTTGCTGAAATGAAATTAATATCCGACTAATCGTAATCATTTTGTTGGCACCCGCGAGAAGGTGAGGGCATAACCAATCCAAATTGCTCTCGCACTGACGTCACACGTTTCGCAGCCATGTCTGATCGTTTGAATTCGCTCGTTCATTTTGGCGTTTCCAATAATTCTTTATATGATGAATCAAAAAATTATTTTAAGGTATTCCAGAGCCATATATTCCGAGATATATGTTTTCTAGAAATGACTGGAAAGGCTCAATCAGTAGAGATACGGTCTCCAGCTTTAGCTGATACATACTTGAAGATGCCTGAAGTGTGAGGAGTTATTCTTGAATTCTTTCGTCAGTTCCATACGAATATAATTTTATATGCGATGTCTCATCGGTTTCCTTATCGTTGCTGCTTGATGATGAGTCTAATATTATTTCTATATCCATTTTCACAATCCTTATACTGCTTGCAATAATTTGTCTGGTTTCTCTTATTCATTCATTAATTTAATGAATTTATCATAGGCAAACTAGTATATTATATTCTTGTGTGAAGTTATGTAAGTTTTTTGAGTTTCATGAGTGCGCTCACGTGATTCAAATCAATAGCAGTCAATAAGGGTGAAATCTGATTCAGACCAGCAATGATCATCCTGAACACGCTCCAAAAAATAAGGGCAATCCAAAGCGAGTTGTTTGAGTGGCTCTTTTGGACCGTTTGAATGAGGCTGTTACTATAATTGTATTAATAAGACTTCAGAACCAATAGTGTAAAATTTTAAATAAAAAATGAATGACTTATGGGTAGGTATGTAAAAAAAATCTAGATACCTTATTTTTTCTAGTAGCATTAAAAAGAACGTTTATTCATCAGAGTTTTTGTAAGTAATCTATAGTCCATTCCACCTAAGGAGACAGCGTTGTAAACCATAGAGAAGTGTTGACCTTCGTTTTGATTGGTTAATATTGCTGGCAATATTACAACTTCATTTGCATATTACACCTCCCAACTAGAACTCAAAGTGGAAATAATTATTCAGATTTAATTCTTCATCCCTCATTCAACGGTCAAAATAAATTATTATTTCTTGTTACAACTCTGCTAAATCTAATCTAATCTACGAACGAACTGAACATGTTTGTTATCCTTCCATTAAGAATCGGCTCCGTTGGCGGTGGTGAAGAAAATCAACAAGAAGAATAAGAAGAAATCGTCGCACGAGTGCAACGAATGCGAGCGCGTCTTCACCCACAAGAACTCGCTCGTCTACCACATGCGCAGCCACACCGGCATCCGGCCGCATCAATGCGACCAGTGCGGCAAGAGCTTTTTCGCCTCGAGCGCCTTGAAGGTATAATATGGATTACTTTTTCCACATGTCAACATCTGGGATTTCAACCAATAACAATGCGTGATTCTATCTAATCTAATTATTGTATTTTTTCATCTTGCTGGAAAATAGCTAGAGTTTTTTTATATTCTGGTTCCCACGAAAAGGGATATCCTGTAATGTTCAGAGAACATCGTGAGAACCAAGGGAAATAAGGTAGGAATTGGTGTTCTTCTTAAATTTCTGGAGGTTATATGCCTCGGGGAACACCTTCCTTGGAAATGTGTTCCAGATCCTCGCTGTTCGTTGGATGAACGAGCCTTTGAAAAGAGATGTTCTGCAGGTCTCCAAAGTGACCACGAAGGGGTGCGAAGTCTCAACATGACGGGTTAATCGCACGGGGACTGCCAAGGGAGGAACAAATCTATTAAATAGAGCCAGATCGCCAACTTTTCTACGGTGTTCCAGAGGAGTGAGTTTGTGAGCGAGGCATCACCCACGAGACGGATTATCCGTTTTTGAATAGAATCCAACAGTTTCAGGGTATGTTTGGGTGCTGCACTCCAAATATGAGAACAGTATTCCAGGACAGGTCGGATCTGTGCCTTATAGATCATAAGCAGCTGACTGGAAGTGAAATAGCTCCTGGCTCAAAACAGAAATCCAAGCCCTAAAAAACTAAACCCTCGCTAAAGCAGTCGGCAGGAAATTCACTAATAGTTCATTTCCACCATTCTCCAAAGCCGACGGCATATTAGCAACAACATCACGAGAGAAAGCGAACATTTTAGCAGAGATGTTCGCAGCAAACTCTACCTTAGACCCTTAGGGAAGTGTGCCGCCTGACATTCAACCCGTTGAAAGTCGAATGCCCAAAATTTATCAGACGCATTTTGCTCAGCCTCATAACTAATAGGTCCAATGGTCATGATAGAATTCCACCCATTATTCTCAAAAAGTGTGCACCAGAATTGACACCGATTCTCTGCGAGCTATTTACCATCTAGTACAAGTCGGGTATTTTTCCATTTTGCTGGAAAATAGATAGAGTTCAACCAATCCCCAAAAAACTAAATCTTCGCTGAAGCAGTCGGAAGGAATTTCACTAATAGTTCATTCCCACCTCTCTCCAAAGCTGACGGCATATTAGCAACAACATCGCGAGAGAAAGTGAACATTTTTGCAGAGATGTTCGCAGCAAACTCCACCTTAGATTCTCAGGAAAGCTTCATTATAAAAACATGGAGAATCTCTAGCTGTGGCGTTGGATATATTAAAGGCATTCGACCATGTTTGGCACCAAGGACTCCTCCACAAACTACCATCATATATTGTTTTAGATGTATGACAAACTGACATTTATCATACAGGGCGTGGAAAGAAATTCTGAATTGAGAAAAACCCAATCACGAATCTGCGATTGAAGGTCTATAAAAATAACAAGTTTCCATCGTTCAAGTTTGAACCCCTTGATTGGGTATGAAAGTATTGAAAAGGAATATTCTCAGATATATTATAAACATGAAAAAATGAATTTTATTCGAATCAAAATCATCTAACCTATGTGAAAGAGATGTGCATATATCCCAAACATCATGGATACGGATGATTTTTGATAAATTCACGACTCAACAAGAACAGAGTATGTATACTAGTATATTTCTCCCATACATTCCAATTTTCATACCAATTTGGTAAGTAATATATTTTTTATATCGTTATATTCATCATAGTATTCATCCGATTCTGGAAGAGAATGTCAATTCTCAATTTCAGACGATATTCATTTTATGCTCAAATTCCTATCGTGTATGTTCAATTGATATAATTCAATGTTCGTCGTGGCATATAGCCAGGAAAGTAGTTGTTTTCTGTTGAATATGCCGAGAAAGAATTAATAATTTCATCACATAGAGAATGCGAATTCTCAATGTATTTATTCAAATGTATCCATTTTTTCATGTTTATAATATATCTGAGAATATTCCTTTTCAATACCATCATATAGCTTACAACCTCAGCTAGTATCGTCTGATACCATTGCCATCAATTCCGGCGTTCCACAAGGTTCAATCTTGGCACCAACATTGTTCTTACTTCATATCAATGATCTGTTGGTAGCGAGCACAGACGATAGTATTATCCATAATGCGTTCTCTTCTAGAACTCTCATTCCTTCCCAGGAAACTAAGAACTTACGACGTAGGCAGATCATCGCTGTCAATGGCGATCTTGCTGAAATCACAGCTTGGGGAACCAACAACCTAGTTGAATTCAACGACAACAAAACTCATGACTGTATTTCCAGCAGAAAGGCGGAAATCAGTATGCCTGATATGACAATGCCTGGTGCCACCATTCCCACCAAGTCCACTATATCTATGCTCGGTATTTCCATCAGCAATACTCTTTCATTGGGAAATCTTTTTTACACCTCAACAGTTTCTCATGATCTACAAAGCACTAATACGGCCAGTATTATTATACAGGGTGACATTGAAATAAGTGCAAATATTTCAATCACTGAGAAAGCTCGACGTGTACTATCGAATGGAAATGATAAAAAAAACTTAGGGATCAAAGTTCTACACTGTAGCAAATCTGACGTCACCTCTGTTCAAATTTCCATGCGGTAGGCACAATCACGCGGAGTTCAATCATTTAATTGTTTTAACGTACTCGATTTTTTTCTCGTATTTTGTTCAATTTTTGGGATGAAATTTCTCGTTAATTAGAAGAATTAGAAGAAATCTGATATCATGAGAATATTCCTTAGACTGTATCATAATAATGTGCTGAATATGTGCACTTATTTTAAAAACATCTTGTATATGGGGGTTCAGCAACCAAACATACATTGATGCTCTTAGATTCCATCCAGAGAAGAGCCTCCGCCTGGTGGGTGATGCCACACTCACTGACCCTTTGACCTCATTAGAACACCTTAAAAAAGTCGGTGACCTTTCGCTTGTCTATGGATACATTCACGGGAAATATTTCTCAGAAATCTCTGCTATAATCCCATCACTAGCAATACCAGTCAGACGAACTGGACAGGCTCATGCAGCACATCCTTTCGTTGTCAACCTTGAAATATGTCGAACAACACTCTACCACAATTCGTTCGTCTATAGAACGGCATAGCTTTAGAATTCTTTGCCAATGGAAGTATTCCCAAGAACTTATAACCTCCAAAAGTTCAAAAAAAAAATCCCAACACCTACCTCCTCTCCCTATCCTCCCTAGATACGCACGATGTTTTTCGAACATTATAGGAAATTTTCTTTCGTGCGCTTCAAGATGTAATATTCTGTAATATTATTTGCAGAGGTGATTCGAATATTATCTACAGTCATGAAAAAGGTCCCAGAGAAATTTATAGAATGAAACTACACTAGGTATTTACGAACAATGTATCTATTCAAAAACAGACGGACGAAAAACATACATGCAACTGCAACTTCATAATTATCTAAATCGCTAAAACCATGCTAAAACTAAATCAGTCTATCGTGATGTCTCTACCCGACAAACAGTTCAAACTCGCGTTTCGCGTTATTAGTTCGAAGAGAAAAGGTGTACCTGTAGCTCAAGCTCAAGCTCAAAAATCCAACGACGAATTTTTCAGCAAACAGCAGTCCGATGAATAAGGTAAGTATAACTTCTACAGTATTCAGAAACATTCACTTTGGTCAGCATAAAATCATAATATACTTATGATGTTTGATTATGGATTATGTGGAGAACTATCAACTCGTCAAAGATCACCTCGGATCATGACCATTCACTCTAGAGGTTTCGAGTCTCCCAAGTCGGTTCTTCGACTCTCCAGACTTGACTCCTGGACTCTGGATTCCTCAGTAGCCGTCATAGGAGCCGACAAACACACAAACGTACCGCACTTCTTTCATATCGACCGACTTACTGACTACTTAAAATAACTTAAATTTCTGAACACTCCATAGACGGGTATCCACCCAGATCACTGGTACATTACAAAGAGATGAAAAAAATGTATAATAACCTTGCTCTCGTTGAATGGCTATTGCTTTTTGAAGGTCCACCTGCGACTCCATTCCGGCGACAAGCCGTACAGCTGCGAGCACTGCGGCAAACGGTTCAGACAGTGGGGCGACCTCAAGTACCACATCACGTCGCTGCATTCGGCCGAGAAGAACTTCCAGTGCGAGTACTGCGGCAAGGAGTTCGCCAGGAAGTATTCGCTGGTCGTCCATCGTAGAATACATACGGGTAATGTATTCTATTGACTTATCAACAGTAATGTCGAAATAGTATATCAAGTATTGAGAGTGATAATAGGCAGTGGCGTGCAATGTTAGGGCAAGCAAAAATGTAAAAATTACCATTATCCACCACAATTAGCCCTCGTTCGGAAATGTTGCTATGGCGGTGCATTCGAATTGAATCGTGATTGAATCCGAATGTTTCGAGTAAAGAAAATAGGAGGTAGTGGAAAATTTGAAAGTCATATAACAATAATAATCAGTATTCAACAAAATTGAATGGAATGAGACTATCCTTAACGAATCAACCTATTCCTAATTACAATATTTTTTGAGGAAGGAAAACTAGAAAGAACACATTGATTGATAATAAAAGTTTAGTTCAACAAAACTGAGTAAAAAGAGACTGTTTATCCTAATCGCACAAACCTATTTGACTTTCAATATTTTTTGAGGGAGGAAAATCAGAATAAAGTGAACAAACATTGATGAAAAAAAAAGTTCAAGTTCACAGCGATTCGAACCAGGGACCTTCAGACCAGTGTTGCAAATTTTGTGATTTTCTGGTGGTTTCAACTTCAGTTAAGATCACTAGATAACACCAGAGGTGAAAAATCAGATCAGGTAAAAAAGTTTTTTTCTTAACAGAAAACAAAAACGAACAAAATAAATTAGTCATAACATCAATGACATACTTGATTATATCATGTTACACGGTAAACATTTTTTGAGTTGATTTTAACTCTAGGTCCACACAACTTTGTGTCAATCCAGGTCCACACCGGATTGTTTAGTCATTTTATTGCTACCCTTTGGATTATACTGACACAAAATGTCTCAGAAGTATGAAAAATGTTCGAGAAATCATGTACACAATTTTGACTGACATTCATCAAAATTTGAGTTCTGATGGAAATAATTGTGCATTTATATTTTGACGAGAAGCTTCTTTCAATAGGATTCTTTACCGTGTACATATAAAACAAGATATAAAAAACAACCTTTGTGATCGTACAAAAACAGCCAAAATAGGACATACCCGAATGCGCCGCTGCCGAAATTTTTGTGGGATTCAAGGTCAAATGCCCTCAAATTGAGAAGTAGATTTCTTCCAGACTGACAACAACTCCAGCACATCATTATATTATGAATTATTCAGTTACCAGCAATAAAAAATTATGTTCGATTCTGTATGTAGGTTACCCGATGGCAGGTGGATATTCCTGTATCATTTTGGGAGCAAGGGATACTGACTCAATTTTTTCAATTTAGCAAAATAATTCAGAGATTCCCTCATGTATAATACCCACTATTATACTATATACTATATATATTTCTTTTCAATTTCAAGTACTGATACAATACTGATGATGTATATTATGTAGTTACAGGAGGAATCTAAGTGGTTTAAGTTTTTTGAATAAAGTCAGGGAAGACAATTGGCCCTCCCCTGCCTCCCTAGATGACACTGTATAGTAAAAACCTCACGGTTTTCGAGATTATATGATTATAGTTAAATTGGTCGAGAATGTGGGTGCCAGGCGCGATGCCCAATTCCCACCATGCTCACCTTCATGTCGACGATTACGAAGATTGCCGAGCGCAACGTTGCCAGGTTATGAGAAAAATTTAGAAAACACAAGATTCCCACCATGCCCACTTTTCATAGTTTCTTACGATGCCCAATTCCTACCATGTCCACTTTCCTTGGATTCCCACCATGCCCACTTTTCATACATTCCCACGATGCCCAATTCCCGCATGACTCCAAAGAAGGTGGGCATGGTGGGAATCTCAAGAAGGTGGGCATGGTGGGAATTGGGCATCGTGGGAATGTATGAAAAGTGGGCATGGTGACAATCTAAACAAGGTGGGCATGGTGGGAATTGGGCATCGTGGGAATGTATGAGAAGTGGGCATGGTGGGAATTGGGCATCGTGGGAATGTATTAAAAGTGGTCATGGTGGGAATCTTGTGTTTTCTGAAATTTTCTCTTGGCCTGGCAACGTTGCGCTCTTCGGCAATCTTCGTAATCGTCGACATGAAGGTGGGCATCGTAGGAATTGGGCATCGTGGGAATTGGGCATCATGGGATCCTTCCGAGAATGTTCGATGTGGAGTTTTTGTTAGAACACTTGTTTTCATTTTGGTAACGCACGGCACATCGTCCACTCCGCCAACATTCGTTTCTTTTCGCAGGCGAGCGCAACTACAAGTGCGAGTTCTGCGGCAAGACGTTCCGCGCTTCCTCCTACCTGCAGAACCACCGCAAGATCCACACCGGCGAGAAGCCGCACTCTTGTGGCGTGTGCGGCAAGCCGTTCCGCGTGCGGTCGGACATGAAGCGCCACCAGCGGACGCACATGAAGGGGCCCGGCGGAGCGAAGGTAAGGGGTAATTGAGAGGAATGTCGACGGATGGTGTTGTAGGATTTATCATTTCTCTTGATTGAGTTGACAAGGCTCAGTATAATAGGAAGTGACAAGTGTGACAACCACATTGAAATAATAACGACTTTTTGAACAGAATATAATTCAGTTTAGTGGTATCTGAAATTAAAAAGGGAAATCGTGTTCAATGGGAGACTGAATTTGAGAAATGGTCATGTTTCAGTGAAACATTTTATTTCATTATTACGAAGTACATACTAATCCTAACCAGTTCACTGTCGCAAACCGTTTTTTCGCAGAGCTCTGTAAATTTTTTTAGATAATTATCGAAATTCACGATATCTCGTAACATGAAAGACGCGAAAAAATGCGTGACATGAACCGAGAAAATTCGACATACATATCTACTCTCTATTTCTGTAAGACAAGTGCAAGAATTTTTCTGATTGCCAATTCAATGAAAATATGAAAATAGTTCGCCTCCTCAGAAGGTGCTCGCACTAGACTAGACTAGAGTTTCTAAATGTACTTGACATTGCTGTTTTGACGTTTTTTGTATATTAGCGTACGGACACTATGACAAGCACTGACAATCAGACATAACCACAAATAAATTGATGGGTTGAGTGCAAGATCTGTCACATGACCGACCCTGGAGGCAATACGTTGACACACAACCTCGCTTTTCTTATATGTTTACAAAATATTGAGATAGTTTTCCACAATCAATTTGGCATACGAATCTCGTCTCACAGCTTCTCATTAATTCAAGGATGCCATCACATTGTGCTGTTGTGTAATGCACAAAAAATGCAGCGAGAGACGAAGTAATCCGATTTTTCAGGTTGGTACATTATATGATTTAAAAGTACTATAGTTCTCTCACATATACTTTTCATTTTGAAATTTTGCCATATCTCATCGGAATTCTCCTACAATAGGAGCTAATAGAAATACTCGTAAAGTTTCTAAAATAATGCAAGAAGAATAGAAGATTGGATTCATGCAATCAAACGGGATCGTATGTGTTGTAGATATTTTAACTCTATTAGCAGAAGCTTCTATATTGCAGAAGAATTCTAATGAAATGAAATGACACAACTATGTGAGATCACTATTTACATGAAAAATCATATTCCTTCGTCTCTCGCTGCATTTTTTGTGCATTGTACAACAGCAAAATGTGATGGCATGCTTGAATTAATGAATAGCCCAAAAAACACGATTCATATGTCAAAATATTGTGAAAAACTATTTCAATCCTTCGATTTATTAGTAAACAAATTTGAAAACTGAGGTTTTATTCCAATGTTTTACAGAAGAGTGAGGTTGTGTTTCGATGTTTTACCTTCAGGGTCGGTCATCGTGCACGCGACTTATAGAAAAAGCGGGAACTGACAGTACACGGACGTACATGACATAAATTTCAAAGGTTTCACAAATTGAGAGAATTAGGAGAAATATGCAAGTTTGTGCAGTTTCCAACTGTGAGAACACGGGAAATCAATTCACTCTATTCGAATTTCCATCTGATAGCGTAATTCTACAAAAATGGAAACAGAATATGATGCGGCCGGCATGGAATATAGGTTGAGGCCACAAAATTTGCGAGGTATTCAAATTTCTTGGTAGGATAAAGAACATATTTCAACGCATTTTTATCAGGTACACTTCAGAACGGAAGATTCGATGTTGAATAATAGGATCGTATTGAGAGTAAGAGCCGAACCCACAATTTATAAACTGAGCGAGTATCGAAAAGAACCTTATTCCTGACTCTGGTTGTTGCTTGTGATGGATTGATGGAGCAGAGATCACAATAGCCATCATGGAGATCATGGTCGATCTGATGATGAAACATCAGCAACAGATTTCACATCCTTGTTCAACCAAGAATTCTTTAGGTCATCTTCGTATACGAACTCTTATAATAATTTTGTGAAAACATATAGTCACTTTGTGGAACTCTGATGTACCAAATATTGATGTATCTTTATCAAAGAGTTGAATAAATTGTTCGTGTATCGCAACTTCAAAGTTGAAATCCCAAGTCTGAATGTGCATGTCCATGCGTAGTTGAGAAGTGCTAGACGACTACATAGCTCCTAGTGGATTTTGAACCACTTCTTGGGTACCAAGATACGAGCAAGATATTATCAGAGCACAGAACAATAACGCTCAACGAGTGCACCATTTATGTTAGGTAAAGAAAATGATCTTCCGATGGCCGGGTTCAAACCAACAATCCCCTTTAGCAATGTGAACGGCGATCATTAGTGAGTCGAGCGCTGAAATCCATTTATATCTACTTCCGTATGTCTTGGAGAACCTTTATCATTTATCCTAACTGAAATCACCTGTTATTGTTGCCATATCAGTTGTTCATTTATTAATTACTTATTACCTACCACTCTTGTACAAGTGAAATTGTTCCATACGAAATATAAGTATGTTTCATTGGTTGAAATTTATCAGTTTTTACCCCATTCTGAACTTTAGTGATAAAAAAATATTCAACTGAACGTATATATATACCTACATATAAAAGACTTATTTCATAGGAATAGTATATGTATTTCGTTGGTATATATGTACATACCAACTTGATATCGACCTCCATTGAGGTCCTTCAGCCTTATCATTCAATATTTCCAGAAGAAATAATGTTCTAATCAATTTATCATCTTCCGTCTTCCAGCTGTCGCGGTCGCTGTCGAAGGTGGAGAAGCACGAGGTGGTGGAAGAGGAGGTGGAGGAGGAGGAGCTGAGCAGCGAGCTGCACATCGAGGACGAGGAGGCGGCCGGCCAGCTGCTCACCGAGTACGCCGAGGAGGAGATCGACGGCGAGCGGACGGTCAGGCTGCCGACCAGCCGGAACGTGTAAGTGACCGCATAATAATGCACTTCTCTTAGAAATAAACGCACCACCAAAAAGTAGAGTCATTGGATGGTATAGGTCGCGTGCACGACGACCGACCCTGGAGGCAAAATATTGGAACACAACCTCACTCTTCTGTGAATTATTGAAACACAACCTCACTTTTTCATTTGGTTACAGAGGAATCAAGTTTTTCACAATATTATGGCAAACGAATTCATTCATTAATTCAAGCATGCCTTCGCATTGTGCTGTTGTACCAGGTGATTCAATAAGGATGACGAGATTCTGTATCTGAGAAGCTAAGAATTTTGTCAACAAGGACTGTATCAAGAAAGGAATGTTTGACGAATGAAATAAAAAATCATAATGTCATTCTGGGGTTCTTACCGTCCTCGCTAAGGGGTGTGTTTTATAGACTATTAGTTTCTGAGATACAGTACCTCGCCACCCTTATTGAATCACCTGGTACAATACACAAAAAATGCAGCGAGAGACGAAGGAATATGATTTTTCAGGTAAATAGTAATCTCACATAGTTATCATTATGAAATGTTGTCATTCCTTATTAAAATTCCTCCTGACACTTCTGCAATACAAGCTAATACTGCTAATAGATTGAAAATGTCTACAACACACACGATCATATTTCGTCAGCATGTCAGACCAGTCCTCCCGTTTGATTGCATGAATCCAATCACTTGTAAACAAATAAGAAAAGTGAGGTTGTGTTTCAATGTTGTGCCTCCAGGATCGGTCATCTGACAGTTCTTGCACGCAACCCATTATTTAGATAAGAGTTCGGACACAGAAATGACAACTGTAAATGTTTTCACCTACGGCCACTATAGAAAGTAGCAAAAATAAACACGAGAAATCGAGAATGAACAAGGTATAGAAACTAAAATGTAACCACACAAATAATTAAATATTCCAAAAAAATCTTGAAATATATTTTGATTTCTGATGCATAGGAATAATCAGAGTTGACACACATGAATTTTCATTGTTTTTCATTCGTTATTTCAATTAAACTCTCAGTTCATCATAGTATATGTTTTGTGAAATAAATATTTATAATGGGCGAGTGGACTGATAATGAATTGTTGGCATTCAATTACTCCACTGTGTCGTTAGGAACCTAAATTAATTTTTGCAACACTTCTCACACTTTTTTTATTCAAATAATGAGTCTATGCCTTGTTCGAAATTGTTTAATTTCAGAGCTCAATTCAAACGAATCTTCATGGCCGCTATTTCGCAATACGTCGAATAAATGGTAACATCAGTTTTTATGCTGTTTTGTTATTGTTCCGGTAATCTTACATTTCCACTCATGAAGCAAGGTTGTCTAATCACAAACTATAAGCAAGTTATCAAAAAGATGTTATGAGTCCTGTCGTTGAATAAAACATAATAGGAGGAACCCATGATGTTATAGTTCATTCTTGACCAACCAGCATGTCCAAATATTTCTTATTCTCCATAGCAACATATTATATGAATGTTGGAGACTTGGCAACATTGTGCTGAATGCTGAGAACTTACAAGACCACGCCTACGTCGTGCGCCGTGGTTGTCACGTTTAACGATTCAAATGTCCTCTAGTGTGAATTAATATAATTATTATTTACACAAATTTATTATAATAAGTCACAAATCATAAGGGAACATTTTGAGACAATTGAATTTTTATTGCTAATTAGGAGTATTACCAATATTCAATTGAGAATTTATGAATTATGGAATAACTGATATCTCTGAAATTCCCAATCGTATTTCAACATATGGCAACAGTACTATGGTCCGCCCCTACATACCAGTACTTACTGGTGGTAAATTTCTAGCCGTTCGAAAATTACCGTGGCATTATTGATAATTTTAGAACCTAAAAATCGACCAAAAATTCCTTGAGAAATATGGAATTGAAAGGTATTTGTATCCTTGTATCAATTAATTCTCATTGTATTGCATATTTGATTTATTAATTATAATTTTTTTGTTTCTCTTTATGTATGTTAGTATGTTTCTTGGGATCAATAAATATTATTATCATAACAGTCATCTGTCTGCTTATTAATGATATTTTCAGTTGGATATTTGTTACTTAAATAAAATATAATACTGGAAGATGTAGTACACTACTGAATGAAGCCTGACACCTAATACTACTGAATTCCTTTTTTTAAATTTCCGATTTTGTTTTTTAGGTACATCAATGGTCACGAACTATTTTTAGTGACTTACCCCAACGAGATAAGAACTGCAGATCCTCAACAAACTGCTACTTCTACTTGGGTTCATGCCTCAAATGCATGAGGACCTCAATGACATTTTTATTAATTGATTCATTTCTCAAATTTTAGATTGAAATATTAGCAATAGTATGTAGATTGTATGTAATACAATAAGCACTTTCATTTAATGTATATAATATATAAATATCTTATTTCTTATGGAAATATGTACTTATTACTGATTACAACATTTTTAATAAGTAATACATTTGAATAATATGGAGGCTGAGCCTTATTTTGTACTCACAAGAAGTTATGCAAGTCACATGTGATGAGTTTCAAATCCTATTTTAAGAAATGACCAAGTAAGAAAAAAATATTTAGAATTAGGTTTTCAATGTGCAAGTGTAGGAAAAAAGCTTGGGAGTGATGCCATTTCATTATTATACTGTCAATTTTATTATCATCATTTTCAATTCAACATACATATTATTTATAAAGGTACTCTAATCTGCACCAAATGGCAGTATCACTTTACCTCCTCTCTCATTCACTACATTCCAACAAGTACAGGTTAAAGTCTTAGGTTTCATGATATCTGTGTATAATGTTCCATTCAAGTGATCCATTTCATGTTGAATGATTCTTGCAAACCACCCCTCTGCATTCACTGAAATTTCCTTTCCTTCTTCATTATAAGCTGTAATAAATAATTGAGATCAAGTAACTTGAAACTAGTTACCAATAGGCACTTCATAGGAAGTTGTCTTTCTATGAAACTATGATTTAGTTGTTGCTATCATAATACCTCCCTAATATAAATTCAAGGTTGAAAGTTGTAAGTGTATGCACAATTTCTGGAATATCTACATTTGACTACCTTTTAGATGTAATGCTCTGTATCTAGGGACATCAGCAAAAAATCCCTTGACACTTCCACATGCTTCAGGGAACACTACCTTGGTATAATCAACAATTTTTATTTCTGGGTTTATGATCACCTAAAACTACATTCATATAAATATATGACAGGATTTAGGTAAGTTGTCTGTACCACTTACCATTTGAGGTTGGATGGACATTTCTTTTGTTTGAAACTCCTTCTCCTCATATCCTTTTGCATGCTTTCTACTGAATTCTACAATAAAAATTTGTAAAGGTATTCCTATTTGAGTTGCCGAGAGTCCCACGCAATTGTACTTATCCGACACATATTTCAGTCTCTTTATCAGAAACTGAATTTCTTTTGATTTAATCATATCTTCTGGAACATTTTCTGATACAATCCTCAAAGTTGGGTCACCAATTTGAACTATATGTTTGTAAGGGGATTCATTCGCTTTTGGTTTCACTAGATTACAATACCAAGTTCTAAGAGAATTATAACTTATAAAACGGCATTGTGATTTCAAACAAGTGTATGTACCTAATATTTTACGCATGTTTTTCTGTGGAAAAGACGAAAACTAGAAACCTCAAACGATATGAGTGGTTAGGTTCCTCTTCTTCTCTATTTTAAGTCCTTACACCATTCTCTATCTGTCTAGATTGACTACCGAAAAACATTCAACCAACAACCAACCTAGCCAGTATTGTATCACGCTTTACCGGCAATGCGACATGCACTACGCGCCACGCGGTACAATGTTTCCAGTTTTCACTAGTAATCAGTACAGAAATGGGAAATTGAGAAATACTTTGTAGTAAAATGTAATCGAACGATAACTCATGATAACACTATGATAAGTCGAATCCATAGGTATGTAAATAATAGTATAGGAACTTTCCATTCATCTCTAATCAAAATTCATCAAACCATAATTATTTTATAAGTGCCTATTTTCATCATTTGCTGCAATTATTACATTTTTGCTATAATAAACAGCAGATTGGGGAACGGTGAATATGGTGAACACATTCGATGATTATGAAGATTATCTGAAGAATTATCTTGGAAAAAATTCGAAACTTGCAGTACTACTCGATTATGATGGAACTTTGACTCCCTTAGTGGCACATCCTGATTTAGCCAAAATACCCCTTGAAACAAAAAGGGTACTACAAGAACTTTCCGAACTCCCAGACATTTTCATAGCAGTCATATCGGGACGAGCCGTGAAAAACGTGAAGGAAATGGTAGGATTGGAGAACATAACTTATGCAGGTAACCATGGTATGGAAGTTTTGTACCCAGATGGATCAAGTTATGTTCATCAATTACCAAAGGATTTCGATGATCAGAAGGAAAAAATGATCAAAGAGTTAGAAAATACAGTTGTTAGAGATGGGGCTTGGATAGAAAACAAAGGATCAACTCTGACATTTCACTTCAGAGCTGTTCCTGAACATTTGAGAGGCAACCTTGAAAAAACTGCAAAGGATGTCATGGAGAGAGCTAATTTCAAAGTAGGGAAAGCTCACTGTGCCCTGGAAGCTAGGCCACAAGTTGACTGGAATAAAGGGAAAGTAGCACTACTTCTCTTAGAACAAAAATATGGGGACAACTGGAACAAAAATGTCAAAGTTATATTTGTAGGCGACGATACTACTGATGAGGATGCTATGCAATCCTTGAAGGATAATGCAGCCACTTTTAGAATTGCTGCTTCAAAGGATGTGATGACTCATGCTGAAAAACTTATATCTTCTACAGACCAAGTTTTGAATATCCTAAAATTAATAGAAAACATATATAAACATGATAAATAATGATCTGATTATTCAACTAGTATTTTCATCCATTGTATCTTATGATAAGTAGTGTTCTTATTGTCTGTGGAAATAGTTATATTTTTTACTCAATAAAATAGATGTGATTATAAAAATACAAAAGTAATTATTTATTTCGAATATCAAAACTAAAATTGAAAATCAAGTAATAAAACTTAAAAAATCACAACAAATATCACACGATTTCAATAATAAATAATGGACATTAGTAACTACCCAGACCATTTATATATATTCAATTCTGTAGGTAAATTTCACTTGGCATTTTCCTTATTTGAGATTCTGGATTTAGGTAACTGAAAATGAAAAAATCTAAATTATATTATATTATATAAACAAATCAAACGCAAAAAATGTCAATTTGTAAAATGATTTTTGAGCATTTTTGGAGCATTTTTGAATTCATATTCATACATTATAAATGATTTTGAAGAAAAAAATTTAAGTTTGAGTCGTATCTCCAAAACCATACCCCTAAAAAATAATTGGCCACTGGATTTTGCGTAAATTTCTTTATGGGATGAGATTCTTATTTGACATTTTCGCTGAGAAACTTCGTAGATATAGAGAGGGTCCAAAAAGTATTAATTTTCTAAATCGCATTGTACCTTATAAACGGAAATAGTTATGCAAAATCTGATTAGGCAATCTTGAGTTTCACAAAAAAGTGGCACAAGACCGCGAAACCAGCAAGGCTGGATTGGCTGTATCTCCAAAGATAACTGAGATATCACGCGGAAGCATCGAAATCTATGGACACACTGTTCATTGAAGAATAGTACATTTTTTATTTCAAAATATTATATTTGAGAGTTTTGAGACAACTGGTCTCTTATTTGTAATATACAGGGTGTTTCACAGGTTAAGGGAAATATTTCAATGGTAGATAGGGGTCACCAAGGTGGTTCTGAAAATACCATATTTGATAGGTCTTAAGAGTCTTCGTAACGGAGATACAGTGCGATTTATCGATTTCGAATAACTATTCATTCGTCAATATGTATTGACCTACCCAGTATATTTTTCCGAAATTTGGTATGGAGCTAATACTTAGGGTTAGCAGAATTATGAAAAATTCATGTCCCTATTCCCAAATTTACTTGATGATAGCCAAATTCAGCTTGAAACGCAGGAAAACCACAATATTCAACATATCGTCGAAATCAGCATGGAAAGTGCTATTCGAATCTGATATCAAAATATCGGGATCGTATTTGAATAAATGGAGTTTATGATGGTTAAGACGAAACATTGAATCGGAGAAAAATATCTGAAACACGTAAATTTTTGATTTTGATGTTCTACATTTCAACACTAAATTTCATTTCACAGTGTGATACTACATTAAGGTGATGACGGCATCGGCAATTTTATCAAATGTAACATCCTCTATTTTTTGACCCCAAGTATAATACCTTTTTGGAATCAGCTCATTTTCACTGATCTAAAAATGTCACAAAATATAGGGTGTTTTTTTTTCATCGAGGTGGTTGAAATCCTTTATGGATACCATATGGGTCCAATCCCCCATATGATAGTGTGGGAGTCCCCTGACTCCAGGTATACCCACTAAACATTCCACCCCGTTTGTAGGCTCGTCTGACCGAAGTCTCCGACGACACTTAGACCTAGTGGCTCATTGTATCTTACCTACATGCCGTTATCAATTTTACCATATACGACTCATGGTGCTTCTTAAATGTCACTTCAATATGAAAGACCCTTTTTGTTCAGGTTCCTGAAGATTGCTCTTCCGATCCCTGTTCTCGTCTACGAAGAAGGCCAAAAGTTTTCCTTCTCCTACGAGTGACGGGGGAAGGGGTTGGTCCAGCCCTGTGGTGCCCCCTGCACAGGTATAAGGCTACTTACTCTGAGATGTCGCCCTGTTTCCCAGAGGCCCCGTTAGCGACACCATACCTCGGTGCCATTCATCCATCACCACGGGTTCCCACAGTTTGGATTAGGTAAATCGCCCTATCCCTGTCACAGATGTCCACAAATCGTCCCATCTGGCCCGGAGATAGCAAAGATGGTCTCAAAATGCTTCATCCGTTGAGCGGCCGCGGTCTGTCCTCCCCACACCACTTGATGGTGAGGTTGGGCTTGGAGAGGAGGAGGAAAAGAAAAGTTGGCCAAGAAAGGCCGATAGATAGATTGAAAAAGGAAGAGGGAAGAGGATATCACCCAAGACAAGTTGAAGTATGGTGAATAGCCGGCTTGGGTACCTCGGGTTCACCATTCCCGTACTCACAAGTTGTGAGCCCCTGAGGATATATAGGGTGTTACATTAGGAAAAAATTGTCGATGGCGTCCTCACCTTTGTGTACCACCCTGTTGAATGAGATTTTGTGGTAAAATGTAGAACATCAAAATCAAAAATTGACGTATTTCTGATTTTTTTGAAAAGGCTTTTAGTTTAGGAAATATTGAATTTGTTCCATACTTTACGGACACAGTGTATATTGAAAAGCATCAAAAGATGCCATGAAGATGATTTTTCAGTTTTGTCATAACTTCATTAAGAACGGAAGAAAAAAAATTTGAAAATCCAAAAATTGCGTTTTTTGGAAATGACTCAAAAACTAAAAGTCACACCAGAGATTTTTCAAAGTCATTTTGTTGGTCCTTTACTCGCGCAACTTTTCTCCGATATAACCAAATCTGTTTCTCTCTTAGTTTCCGTGATGCCCATACTGGCCCTCCTTATCTTGGGCACAGTGTATATGTGTACTAGCAAAAAAATTCTTCATGTTGATGAGTGTTCATGAACTAAACCTTAACTCATTTCCTGCAAATTTAGAGAAACACACATTGATATCACTAGAAATAACTTATTTCTGCACTTGATCCGCTATGGCCTATCTATATTCTATCAAAATATGACCATTTTGTCTGGTTCAATTGTTGTCGTTGAAGTTGTTTGATTAATTTATGCCATGGGAAATAATTTCAAAACTCACTGTCATTCAAAACATCTTAAAGCATCAGAAGTTCTACTGAATTTTTCCAAATAACAAATTATTAGCAGCAAGAAATTTTCAAATGAACCATGTTTCTGAGAACTGCTGAACTTTCTTACCGTTTTGGATGCATTAATAGCAGGATCACTACCCGTTTTCTTGAAACGTGTCCCGCCGTTGTTATTTTCAAGCAATGCCTTCCTTTCGCCTTGAAAGTATGCAGATTTCATTAAATTTTCTCGGACTTTGCTCAACGAAGACATAATTCCAGTCTCTTTACCCAATGAGTTACTGCGTTGTAGTTTATTACCACCACCAAAGTTGCTTTCGCTAACACTGTTTCTTCTGACTGGTTTCGTGTCAAGTTTGGCAGTCACCTCGGATTTGCTAACACTGTTTCTTCTCACTGGTTTTGTGTCGAGTTTGGGAGCCACCTCGGATTTTGAATTGACTTTGCTCCTTGAGAGATTCACACTTGAAATTAATAATGATAATATTTTAGTTCAAATGATCTCAAGTTCATGACATAATATAATAATACCTAGAACTAGCAGGTGATTTTTGATATTTAGGCAATTCAACAATTTTTTTCTGCTTCTCTAAAGGAACGTTTTTTGTCAGCGGATTGGTAAGTGATTTTCGATTGATTGGTGATTCTGGTAGTTTACTCTGTTTTTCTGAAGCCAAATCACTAGATGAATTGCTGTAAAAAGTGTAAAATTAGTCATTCACATCCTAGAATAGATTAGAATTTAAGAACGTAATTTCAAGTTCCCCATTCTACTCAACCGCAAAACTTACTATATATTATTATGTTGATTTTATAATATAATATATGTATTTTATAATAATACAATAATTTTGATATGTTTTCAAGCGAAAATCTTATCAATTTCAATAACAAATGAACGGTTAGTTACGGACAAAAACCAGTTTTGAAAAAAAGTCATGTTTGTATCCCAACAATGTTACTTTTTAAAATACACAGAAAGGTTTGATGAAACCCATCTATCAAGTGCTGTTAATATGATTCCTATAATATTTCATTCATCACTATTTTGTGTTTCAGGAAGGTATTTTTTGTTAATTGAATATTATTTTCTGTAATCTAATGAAATTATCAGTCAGGAATCAAAGACCGAATTGAAGTCGGTTGTTACAAAATTTCTAATTAGATCAAAATTATGCATCAATACATCAATTATTGTTGAGCAGTTTCAATTATTCATAAACTTTTTAACGGAAACACACGGAAGCGATTCGTTAACAACGATGTTGTATATTGTATGTTATTATATAATAAATTTCTTGTCACACCCTGTCTCAACCTTTGATTTCATCATTAGTCATAGATAAACTGCATCAATCGGTTGGAATGGTGATGTAACTAATTTCTTTGAATACAAACTCATGGCAGTCGTACTTTAGAATTCATCACGTACGGTCGATTTAAATGGTTTGAAAAAGGATTTTCTAATACTTACAGGTGGCAAATGGAGATTCCTAGTTAAGTAGGGTTTAGTTTATAGTGATTATATTGACTGTGTATGTAGTGTTTTGGTGTGTTTCTGTGGAAAATCGAAGTTTTAAAACTTTGAAATGGCAGAGAGGGCTAATTCGTCGGAAACTTTCCTCTTTCGCGATGGGTATTTTTCTACAGTTTATTCATTCATTGTGATTCTAGAATATGGAAGGAATTTTTGTTATACCGAGAGTTTGGAAAAAACTTCGGACACGTCGAATTAGTTTTTGAAGACCCATTTTTTTACCTATCTATTTGTGGAAATCAAATGGGCGGATTTTTCAGACAGGACACCCATATTCAGATAGAAATTATCAATATGAATTCAACGATACCTGGTTTGATGGAGAATTGAGGGTTGCTGGGCTGTGTGCACGTGTATACAGGGTGATTCAAAAGTAAGCGGCATCCTTTCAGAGGCGTATTCCTTGCATGAAAATAAGGCAAAAAGTTCCTATTGATAAGGATCCGAAAATGCTTCCTAAGGGAGCTACGGCCCTTTGAATAGGACACCTCAAAGACGGTTTTTTCTCTATAACTTTAAAATCCTTCACAACAAATTTTTAAAAATTGGTGTACGGCATAAACATTCGATGGTAAATAGGACTCCGTATTCGAAATAATTTCCAAACGAAATCACAGTAACCTGAATATCCGGAGAAGAAGGGATATTTTTACACTTACCCTCTCCCGCATGTGACGCCCCTGAATGAAATTCTGAAATTTCGAATACGGAGTCCTATTTACCATCGAATGTTTATGCCGTACACCAATTTTTAAAAATTTGTTGTGAAGGATTTTAAAGTTATAGAGAAAAAACCGTCTTTGAGGTGTCCTATTCAAAGGGCCGTAGCTCCCTTAGGAAGCATTTTCGGATCCTTATCAATAGGATTTTTTTGCCTTATTTTCAAGCAAGGAATACGCCTCTGAAAGGATGCCGCTTACTTTTGAATCACCCTGTATATACCAAAGAAGGGCAGAGTTGTATCATCTTGCACAAAATACAACTCTTCCCTCCTTTCATGGAGAATTGTCCAACGACACTGAAAATATGGGCTGGAAACTCATTTGCCCCAAAAGTGTGTGAGAGGAGAGATCACTAATACTTTACCCTCACGTATAAATATCATCAATACTCATTTAAACGTAAAACTCACCCAGGCAAAGACCTTCTCTTACTCCCTTTAACTTGTTTATTTACTGTGGGTTGAAAAGTTGGCGTTGATGCAGCTACAGGTTTCAGTTTGGGTTCCTGAAGAATATCCAAAATAATGTAAATACTTATGAGAAGGAGCGAGAGTGATTCATTGAACTCACATTGATAGGGGTACTTGTTCGTTTGGACTTCAAAGATAATCCTGAGGGTTGCTGTGACTTTTCAGGAGTAACAGCAGTATTCAGACCTGAAAAATAGTAAAAGAGGATTTTAAGGTCTACATTGTATGAACATGACAAGAAGTTATCATTATTTCATTTTTCTATAAATTTTTTTCTATAATTTACCTAATTCAATTCCAATTTGGAATCATAGATGCATGAATATTCAGAAACAAATAAAACAAAAACACAAAAATTGAGGGATGTTGAATTTTGAATGACTTACTATTCCTTCTCATATCTTTTACAGGAATGATAGCCTTCAAAGGTCCCTTATTTGCTATGGCAGACGATGGTTTAGACTTGAATATCTTTGGTAAATTATTTCCCGATCCTTGACTATCATTACTTTTTGAAGACAAATTACTGGTTCCAGATTCATTCTTGATCGACCCTAGTCCAGATGCAGAAGAATTTCTCACTTTAATATAAGGTTTGGTGACTCTAATTGATGGAGGTATGGTGCAAAAAGATTGAGAAAGTCTCGGATTTATTTTCTTTTCTACTTTCGAGGATAAATCAAGGATGTTATCAAAAGATCTAATTTTATCAGAATCCAAGCTTTTTTTGCTGAGGTCCAGTATCTCGTAGCATTCATATTTTTCATGATTAGGAGATTCATTTTGCTCGACAAAGGATGAATGCCCCGAATCATCCAAGTTCTGTGGTTTGCTTCCGGAAGAGCTGCCGTGAAGCATTTCCGCTAGGCTGGACAGCAAATTCTGGCCCTGAGATTTTTCCTGGTCACTGCGATGAGTGATATTCAATATTTCTGATAAATTTTGTAGAATCCCTTTAACATCTTTTGGTTCATTCGGGCTATCGAAATTTTGTGGTTTCATGAATTCATTACTGATATGTAGACCTTCGGGAAGTAATTTATCAACTGTCTTGAATACGGTTTCAGTGTTAACAAGTTTCTTCTCATTGTCAACACTTTCATCTAGGTCACTAGGCCAGCTAGGTTGAGGTGTACTATCGAGAACGTAAGCTGAAAAATATCAAGAAAATATAGGAAGTTGTGCGTTTGTTAATACAATTATCTCAACAAAGTACTCTTTGCAACACGTTTTTTCAGCCATTGAGTTCCTAGTATATACTTTCTACAGTAATGAATTTGCCCAATCATTCCACTTGGGGCATCCATACATCATATTATACAGGTTGTCTCATTCATACGAAACACCTTTAATAACAAAAATATATTTATTCTACCAGTCGATTTATTCGGACATCTCTCGATATGATTAAGATCGCCCAAAAACTGAGGACGTTGGCTTCTGATAATTTTCAAATCAATTTCACCCTGAGGTAGGTATATGTTTTTGCAATCTAGGATGTTCGAGGATCGATTCGTTATCTATTTATTGTTATACCATTTTTCATTTTGGGTCCCCATGTTCGATAAAAAAATTTCAAAGTTCAAAACAGTGTTTTCAATAAAGCAAGTATTTGATTAGATAGCGATTTTAAATTCGGTTTAACGAAAACGAGTCATACCTTTTGAGTGGAATAATACACTTGGCAAATTATTAAACAAAACGGTTCAATAGTTCCTGCGCTAGTAACTATCCATTTTTTTTGCGATAATCCCCCATTTCGGATTCTTTTTTTTTCGATAAAATGATTCAGAGATAACAAGAGTAGTATTGGTCCTTGATTGATTCTACGCGGCTCGCGGTCCATTATTTTTGTAATCGTCTCTGAAACGATTCATTTTATAACAGACAGGCAAATATTCAAAATGAATGATTATCATGAAACATAAAGCTGGGAACTGACACAGGTACTGAATAACATGGGGTTCAGGAGCTAATGAATCCCAATTTAATGATGATTGTTCGATTGAATTTTGTGATAGGTCTACTCAAATGATTCGACTCCTTACGGTGAAACAGTCTCCCGAATTGGGAATCAATATTCTTTTTCTACAAACGTCAAAAAATGACAAGGTTCGCGCATTGATATCAAATCGCGAAGTGGCACATTTTTTCAGTTTCCTACGTTACCATGATACCTTGCAGAAAACAATGCGCGAAGTAAAACAGTGCGCGAAGTACCTACTTCGCGCATTGTTATGTAAAATATATGAGATATTTATATTTCAACTTCATAGTCCTCAATCGAGAAAACATCCACGAAATCATTTATTTCTGAATGTTCAACAATAACTTTGTTTTATCTCTTGGAGCGCACGAAAGGGAATTCCTATTATTTTCGTGGAACATCGTGCGTACCTATGGAGGATAGGGGGAGGCCTTCAAAGCCAGTTCAACACTATTTTTTATATCAAGCTAAGCAGATTTTTACTTTAGAACTATATTTTTTGACGTTTGTAGAAAAAATTTTGTATGCAACTCGAGCGCGAAATACTTTGGTCATCTCGACTATTTTTTTAACTCGGCTATGCCTCGTTAAAAAAATCAGATCTCGATCACCAAAGTAGCATTTCGCGCTCTAGATACAAAAATAACTATTTAAGTACTGGAATTATTGAGACAAAAAACTATTTTAACCTTTGAAAAACACGAAAGCCCAACATGAAAAGTGGCATAGGAGAAGTCATTATTTTTGTTCAAGGAATAAAATATGGTTAACAGATTGATCTCTTTTTGTCTATCAGAAATAAATGGAAATAAATATATTCCGAATAACTTCGGGATTACAAATTACAACTATCTCCCTGAATCACGCGTTACAGAATGTTCTCGAACATCCCAATAATTCCGACATGTACGCGTGATTCACCATAAATGTTCCCTCCCCTCTATCTCAGTTATTTTTGAACCGATTTCAAAATTTGAAATATCATCTTAAATGATTTTCGATAAAGTTTTTTCCGCTACATCAGAAAATACAGGGTGCTAGGAACAAACGATCTACAGGGTTCTATTTGATTTTTTTTAACGGAACACCCTGTTTATCATTTTATTTATAGATTCTCCCTGAAGAGTTGATTTGATCAATGCATCACACTTGGGACCTAGCGGGAATGATAACAGAGATATAGGGTGTTCAAAATCGAGATTTTTCAACTTTATGATTTTTTTGTGATGAAACTATTCATTATCGGTCAAAACGGCTTTCATCTCCGTATCTTAACTTTTGATTTACTATCTACTGACATTTAATAATTGGAACAGATACATGGTGATCAGAATTATGAATCTTGAATCACCCTGTAGATAGTAGTAGTAGATAGTAAATCAAAAGTTGAGATGGAGACATAGAAGCCGTTTTACCCAATAATGAATAGTTTCGACACAAAAAATCCTATAGTTGAAAAATCTCGATTTTGAACACCGTATATCTCTGTAATCATTCCCGCTAGAACCCAAGTGTGATATATTGATGAAATCAGCTCTTCAGGAAGAATCTAAAAATACAATGAAATACAGGGTGTTCCATTTGAAACAATCAAGTAGTACTCTGTTCGTTTGTTAAGAGCACCCTGTATTTTCTGATGCAACGAGAAAAAAATTTCTGAAAAATCATTTTAGATTCTTTATCAAATTTTCAAATCGGTTCAAAAATAAGTGAGCTAGAAGGGGGGGGGGGGCATTTATGGTGAATCACCCTGTACCAGCTCTTTGGTACCAGCGTGTTCCTGATCACCCAATATAAGCACTGTGACGAAAGATTAATGTTCGATGGAATGAATTAGAGAGAGATATGTTCTAGAAACAACAGAAGGGCATGAAAGATGAAAGAATACTCAAAATCAGACAACGACGCAAAATCTTTGGGACATTTTTTGGTAGTCAGTCTGTATCTTTGAGTTTGATTGTTTTGTGAAATTTTTAAATTTTATTTTGGTACTATGAATTTATACCAAGTAGGTTGGTACCACAGAACTCAAAGACCTAGAAGGCCAATATCGTTCTATTCAAGTGTTGCCTAACGTGGCTCGAATGGCAAATGTTTGAATACAGGTATCTGTGACTTTCTTTAAATAACAAAACATTGTGAAAAATGTTTATGATATTTATTATGATGAATTCCTTCATGTTATTAGGAGTAATGTTTCGATGTATTTCCATCAGCTAAAGTGTTCATTGGATAGAAATGGGCGAGCTAATACTCATGAAATGGTTACTCTGATCGTTGTTTGACGCCTAAGTCTTGCCGAATTGTCTTTTGCCGCCCTATCTATTAAACCACTGAACATTTTTCAGAATTGAGATATTTTCGCGAACTCGGGGCTTCGTTTACGAGTTAATTGAATTTAAACAAAAACGAGACCTCGCGAAAATTGGATAGTTCAGTTCTTGAAAAAACATGACTCAACTTCTCAATAGTGGCATCACGAACCAAGGCAATCATTCAAGCAACGTGGAAACTCTTGGTTAGCCTAAAATTTGATTCAATATTATTATTTCCAGAGATCTGTAACTTCTTGCCAGATATTTTTGTTATGGTAATATAATCATGACAACAAAATAGTATATTGTTTAACGATTTCTTTATGTATTCAATGAACTCCAATTCTCAACACGGACAGTGTGTTTTTCCTATTTGATATACGAAAATTCATGATTATTACAAAACATAATTAATTGTCAAGATATTAGGCATCACCCTGTTATCAATATTTCAGTTGATCGAATTATTCTTAAAAAAAACTATTATTAAGGTTGAAATTATATCAACAAGTCGTTTTTTGAAGCGCATAGGGAAAAAATTCACTCAAAAAAATACGTCTGTTCTACCACCCTTAACGGCACACAACCCAACATTTGAATTGCTGTTGCTCGAAAACTAGTCATAGGATTGAGTTGGGTCCATTAGAGCTTTTGATCAGGATATCACAAACTACAATATACTATAATTTCAGCAGATTTGACCGGGACCCAAAAACCCATAAGAGTGGTGCGGGGTCCTTTATATTCCTGGAATTTGTTCTTCATATTGACATCAAATCATTCATTTTGAAAACACAGTGACAGTCAATGAATGTCGAATCAAATAGGTACTGTACTTGTCACTATGACTACAATAAACAACCCAAACTGGAGTAACATATCAAAACTCTTCAACAATCCCAAATTCACTGAAGAAAGCGAAGCAAAGCACTGAATAACTGAAATTAATCCGGCTCTGTCTTAAGCCTACGTCAGACAAAATGACAGAGGTATACATTCTTACATAGTTGCCAGATGAACTCGTAAGGAATTAGAAGTTCATAATAATCTGTTAGCCATTCAATTAATATCACGAGTTTAATGAATTTTGTCGCGAAAATTTTATATGTATATGATTTTTTTAAAGCTGTTGATAATCAGTTACAAGAAGTTTTATGAGGAATATGAACTACATCCTAATGTATGAATATGAGATTTGCGTATAAAAATATATAACTAACAATGTTGCCGACAATGTGCGCATGATCACCGTTGCCGTGAGGCACACTGGTTGTATCAGATTTCAGAGATTTCTCACACTTGCATTAACCTTACTTACTTACCTTAGGTACTTCCTACCTGTCGAGTCAATTCAAAATACATATATGATATAAAATGTTGCAAAGAGAAAAAAAAATACTTCAATCGACTTACAGTCATTGTATATGGACCCATCAGCGTTTTTTTGTGCAATATAACTTCCCTCGATGAACATTGCATTGTACTGAAAAATATAAAAAATATTCAGGAAAATACTCCACAGCTCTACTCAGTTATGACAGAATTACTGGTCACTTGATTCTTGTAAGTATATTTCATAAGACCATGAAATTCACTGCCATTTAATTCAAAAGTAAACTTTTGGGTGGACCAGAGGTTGGTGAACTAATTCACCAAAGCACGACATTTATCTGTGTAGATGCTCAACACAAATTCTAAAAAAATCTTGCATATTAATTTTGAGAGTGGTTATCCATTGAGAAGCTAGTTAGAATATCAGACCCCAATTCACTGGACCATTTCTTATTTCAATACCCTCAGAGCAAACTTTTGTCAGTCAATAGACATATCATTTCCCCATGGAAATTAAAATCTACGTGTTTCAGCGTATTGAAAAAAATGAGCGATTTCTAATTAAATCAAGGTGGAAAATGTTCGTTGGGCCATTCAAATAGTAAACAATTTTCTAGCCATGTCTTTTGTTCTCGCTCATTTAAGATGATTCATCTTCGATCGGAAATTACCAAAATAGCTATGTTGACAAAATTTAAAAGATACACTCTAACAGGATGTACGGGAAGATGTGGGAAATCATCGGATTCAGAGAAAATAAGATAACAAGTTCCTTTGAACATTGGTCGTAAGACGCTTCGTTTTCGAGATACAGGGCGTTGAAATTGAAAATAATCGTAAAATTGTGTTTATTAACACCCTATGTGAGATATCGTTACATAAAAATTAGTGCGTCATGTGACTGGAATGGTGCCAACATTCCAAAATGATATATATATTATGGTTATATCCAGTAATAAATCCAAACGGGTGTCTTGAATAAACAATTCGATACCTACACCTAAATTTGTAGGCAAATTTGTATTTTTCTGTGACGGGAAAAGTTCAAAATTTCATCTTTGTTGACAGGTTATAAAATGTCACTTTTCATTCTGAATATTGAACCACACTGAATCTGTTCCGATTGAATATCAGTAAATAGTGAATCAAAAGTTGAGATAGGGACATGTGAGCCGTTTTGACCGATAATGAATAGTTTCGACACAAAAAATACTTAAGTTGAAAAATCTCGATTTTGAACACCCTATATATCAGTAATCATTTTCGATAGACCCAAGTGTGATATATCGATGAAATCAGATCTTCAGGAAGAATCTAAAAATAATGTGATAAAATACAGGGTGTTGCATTTGAAATGTCGATGTTGTTACTACTTTCTAGTAGAAGCGACAACACTGCATTGTCGAATATATTTTAAATGATGGAAGCCTATTCTGAAATATAAGCATGCACATTTCCATGGATTTCTCCCGACTGATTCTCGTTATAAAGATAGTGTAAGCTCTCCACATATACATACAGAGAAGTGCACAAAAAACGGCCAGGATTGTAACTTTTGAATTATTCTAGATAGGGTTTTGAAAATTGGTGGTTAGCATGTAGACCAAATTGCTCATCAATTGATGAAACAATTTTTCTTCCATCACTTCCAGTTTCGCCGGAAACGACCCCAACTTTTGATTTTTAAATGGGACACCCTGTATTGTATTCCATAATCGGTTAGGGATTATCATGACGAATTCAACGATACCGGGTTTGATAGGGTTATTTTAAACGATTACAAAGATATTTGCGTTCGAAGTTTCCATAATTCCATAATATGCTCAATGGGTGTGACTTTGCAATATCAAAACTTCTCTCTCTGTCACACTCATTGAGCATATGGGAACTTAGAACGCGAATATCTGCGTAATCGTTTGAAATAACCCTATCAAACCCGATATCAATGAATTCGTTATTACAATCCCTAACCGATACAGGGTGTCCCATTTGAAAGTCAAAAGTTGCGGTCGTTTCTAGTTAAACCGGAAGTGATAGAACAAAAATTGTTTGTCAATTAATGAGCAATTCGTTATACTAGCTGTCCACCAATTTTCAAAAACCTTTCTTGAATAATTCAAAAGTTACAGTCCTGGCCGTTTTTTGTGCACTTCTCTGTATACATATCCTTCTTCTAGTTGTCCTTTCTGAACCTCCCTGACCTTCTGAACACTCTAATTCGACTAAATTCTCCTGTTGTAGTTTATCCACTCCAAATATTTTCAAAAAATCAATAGTATCATATTTCTGATCAACCATAGAAATAAGAATTCACTTTCATAGTAGAAGTGTACCGAGATACATTATTATTATAGTATGGTATATGTATAAGTTGCATTGTCTCCATATACCCAATCATGCCTTAGTCAATGTTTTTCATGTTATGAAATATGGTGAATTTTAATAATTATTTGAAAAATCTACAGAGCTCTGAGAAACTAGTTTGGGTTAGTGGGCACTTCAAAATGATGAAATGTGATTTTTTTTATTGAAACAGGCCCACTACATCTAACCCTACCTATTTAGATTTCCAGACTATATTTTGTATGCATTTTACCTCTTACCAATAGTGCCTATGTAGGTATTTTGGATAAATTGAAACTCTATAAATCAAAACACATTCATCAATGGCATACAATTTGCTGATGATACAGCCATTATAAGTCATCATAAATCACTTGAAAAAGCAGTTGAAGTGTGACAAGTGGAGGCTAAAACCAAATCCAGAAAAATCCCAACTGATACTCTTCAATAAAAAAATATCAGATGATTCACCCACGGTAACTGTGAACAATCATGTAGTGAGAACTAGGGCATTAGTTAAATATCTGGGAGTTCATTTAGATCAAAAACTAAACTTTAACCATCATACCCAGTTGATGAAAAAAAAAGTGCATCACAAGAGCTAAAAATTTTCGAAGCCTAACCTACAAGAATAAAGGAATTAGCAAAAGAACTGCAGCACATATTTACAAAACCATTTGCCGCCCAATTCTTGAGTATGCTCACCCAATATACATAAGCACAAGGAAGACGGCACTGAACAATTTGGAGGTAGCAGAAAGAGCTAGCCTGAGAGCCATTACCAAAATCCGGTATCCTCAAAATCCCCTTCACCATCCATCAAACGAACTGCTATACTGGCTAACCAGGGTGCAACCAATTTCAGAGAGACTGAAAAAGCTTACCTGGAAGTTTTCCAAAAACGATCCCAATCTCCAAATTATCCAATTCCAGTGTTTACAGAGAGATCCAACAGTGAACCCAAGACGGAAGTTTCCGGAAAACACACTATTGGAATGCTTAATCAATTCAGGAGACTGAAATTCCTTCAAAATTCTTGCCTGGCAATAGACTTTTCTTCTTTTTTTTATTTTTTACACTAGCAAATTTAATAATTATTCCATATATCTTGTACTGTGTAACACAGGCTGAAGGACCTTGGTCGGTAGCCTTTTGGGTATCCAATAGAGCTCTTTAATTATTATTATTAATATTGCAACTATTTTTGTTGTTAATTGTAAATTTTGAGACATACTGCTAAGTATAGATTTTTTTTTTACTTCAAATTTTATTGTCTCACTAATAATTATTTTCTCCTGATCTGTACAGGGTATCCCAATTTGGGCACTTTTGCGGGGTATCTCCCTTATCAGTAAAGATAGAGCATTGCGGTTTTCGCGACAGTGTGCTACTTTTTTATAAAATTAATAATGGCGCAAGCAGAATTGTGATAGTTCTTCCGGTTGTCGAGATACAGGGTGGAATTGAAAAATATCACTTTTCAGGCACCCTCCGTGTCTCAGTTATCTTTGAACTTATCGAAGAAGTTAAAACTTGTTTTTATAGAGTTTTTCTCGTAGAATCCAGTGGCGTAGTTATTTTTTTGCTAGCACCTTTTGTTTTTTAGTTATGGAGCAAACATATGTTTTTTTAAATGGAACACCCAACATTATTTCATATATACATTGAGCATGAAGTGGGCTTTCCAAAAATATATAATTGTAAACAATTATTTTCCATTTAAAAAAACATATGTTTGCTCCATAACTAAAGAACAAAAGGTGCTAGCAAAAAAATAACTACGCCACTGGATTCTACGAGAAAAACTCTATAAAAACGAGTTTTGACTTCTTCGATAAGTTCAAAGATAACTGAGACACGGGGGGTGATATTTTTCAATTCCACCCTGTATCTAGACAACCGGAAGAGCTACCACAATTCTGCTTGCGCCATTATTAATTTCATAAAAAAGTAGCACATTGTCGCGAAAACCGCAATGCTCTATCTTTACTGATAAGGGAGATACCCCGCAAAAGTGCCCAAATTGGGATACCCTGTACAAACTATTTGATGAACTTTCTCATGTCATGTTGATGATACAAAGAGGTGGACAAAAAATCTACTCAAATCCAATCTATTTTTCAAAGATATTCAACTCACTATACCTAATTCAAATAATGTTACTGGCATTCTTATCAAAGGGTGATAGCTGAGTTGATAATGGACTCCATAATAAACTACACCAGAGTGACTTGTGACTTGGATAGAAAACAAGAAAACCTAGTTTAATGAAGCTGTTTTAGTGGAAAATTGTATTTTATTATTTTCATATTTTCTCCTCAGAGCTGCATAATTTTTTAAATTATTGGAATCCATGATATTTCATAACATGAGAAACACCAGAAAATGCAAAGTTGGCAAAGGTGAATTCTTGCCATGTGATTATGATCTTCTTATTGATTGTTGAGAAATCTGAAGATAAGGTGCTCATGGGTGTATGCCATCAAGCACTATGGCAACACAGCAATGCTAATCTGGATACTGTTTCATTGATTTGTTCAAAATATCATTTGAACAAGAGCTGATTTACTTTGAACTGATGAATAGAAAGAATGCAATATAATATTGAAAAATGCAGCAACTATGAACAAGAGTAAAATTTTCTATATAAACCTTGTTTTTGACAAGATATAAATATAATATTATAATATACACCCATTTAATCTATACCCAACTTCTAATTTGGATATTAAAGAAATGCAAATTATACAATTATTAGTGATATTTATTTTTGTTGAATTTATACCTTGTACAAAGTAAAATACTCCTGTCACCTTATAGGTGAATATACCTATTCAAAATTAAATTATTGTTTGAGGTATTGTTTGATGCAGGTATAATATATGTTATGATATACTTACAAAAATATCCTCTTTGTTATCATCAAAATCAAGTTTTTCACCAGGAAAACTTGCTCTTGAAAAACTTCCCACTGGATTTGGTTTTCCAGTACTCCAGAAATTTTTGGAACCATGTGAATCAATGCTCCCAATATCAGGATCTGCATTTGGCATTGACTTAATCCTTTTTCTTTGTTCCTCAATTTCAGTATCACTCATAAATTTTGCCTTATTTAAATCAGAGTTCCCCAGGGATATATCCATATTATTATATGATGGAAAGGTATATTCACTTTTAGATACACTATAAATCTTAGAAGGTCCATCCAAGCTACAGCTGTTGAAAGATGGGGCACCAGAATTTTGGGAAGATATGCTAGATAATATAGGTCTTCTGGGACTTGGAAATATGAAAGCTGATGTATCTATAGCCTCAGTGAAAACTCCATCATTAGATTCATTTATAGTTGTCAATTTTATTAAAGGTGTTTTTTCCTTGTTGTCTAAAAAGGAACCTGGACATACAAAAGCTGTATTAAGAACTTCTCCAAAGTTGAGATCAAGCATGCTCTGATTCAAAATTCCAAGTGATTCCTTTCCACAGTCTAAAGAATCCGGTCTAAAATCAGAGATATGTGGAAAATGTTCAAAACTAGAGGATTCTATGTTCATAGTGGAAGTGATATTCAGGAATCCTAAGGAATCTCTTCCAAAGTCACATGGTAAGATGCCGAGCGATTCACGACCAAGATCTTGAAATGGCATTGAGGGTCTACCGAAGAAATTGGGGCTAACTGATCTCAAGGCAAACGTATCCTCAGTCATGTTGTCTTCAAAATATGAATATTAATAAAATTAACTTTTCTCTGATCACTCCACGAAATTCTTCTCATGTGCATTTCATTTCACTTTTCATCTAGTTTTTGTATCCATTCCACTATGATCTTTATTTCCAATTAAAAAACAATGACTTTTTTTGAAATTTTAAATTTTTTATCGTTTATGTTTTTATAACTGACAAACATGTGCCAAACGCCAAACCAACAAACTCCAATCAACTATCAACTAGTCAAGGTCCAGTCAAGGTCATCTTCTGAAGTTGCGATGACATCAAGGTGGATAGAATAGTTCCGATATTGCGGACACTGGCCACAGTAAGCAATTCAGGATTTCAGGAACTAAGGCTGTATTCCGAATTCAATTGTCAGTACTGAATCTGCTGATATTTCACTCCGAAATCGAATAAACTCATTGAAAGTGACGTATACTTGTGAGCAGACAATGCAGACATACTATTCATTCCAAATATTCTGACTCAACATTCTGCTGAAATTGCTAACTATCAAAAGGTTGTGTGGCTTCAGTGGTCATTATTACTCGATTAAACGAACTTACCTAGTGAAGTTCTATCGTAATTACATAAGGCGCCTCGTCCGCAGAGATCACTATGTAGTACCGATTTTCGTGCTACTCCGCCACAAAGTTTAAAGACGAAAAAATCACTGGCTAAGGCAGGGCATGCAATGGTCTGTATGTCCTCTATCGGTGTCGCCAACTTCACTTCATTCATTTCAAAGTTGGAAAAAACCGGGAACAATAATGGGAATCATCACTTTCTTGATGTCGGATTCCTAGTTCTTTATTTACTCTTTTTCGCAATACGGAATCCGAGGGTGTGGAGGGGAGTGATCTCTGCGGACGAGGCGCCTTATGTAATTACGATAGAACTTCACTAGGTAAGTTCGTTTAATCGAGTAATTACATTTCAGCGCCTCGTCCTTGAGATCACTATGTAGCTGTTCAGAGTTAGAGGTTTTTTCCCCTCACAAATTATGAAGAAACATTCACTTCATAATATAAGGAACTGAAAAAACATTTTTTATTCTTGCATACAAAAGATAGGTTGATACAATATAATTTTGTAACTAGTTTGATACATTATTCATTTAATGATAGCCTTGGCAAAAGATGATGTATCTTTCAACGGGCAGTTGTAAAACCTGGCAAAGACTTCAGAACCAGCAGACCAGCCTGCAGTTCTCCTAATGGTATCTATAGAAATACCGTTTTTATATGCCGCCGATGTGGATGCATGTCGAGTAGAATAGCCAGTAAAAATTTTTGAATCTATTCCTGCCTCTTCAAGGGTAAGTTTGATCCATCTGCTAATGGTGCTTGAACTAGCTGTCAAGTGTGGCTTACGTGTTGATAGGAATAAGAAATCTTGGGACTCGTTTCTTATGGGGATTGTTTTTTCTATGTATGTGGATAGGGCCGATGCTGCACATAACTCTGGTTTATCTATAAAATATGGTAGATGAAGACATGGTTGCTCTCTATTTGCAGCTGTCGTTTTGATGTGGTCTGTAATTAGTATCTGAATTTCATCAGCTAAGAAAATAATATTTTCAATTCTAATGCGGGCTAGGGACTGCAAACGTTGACCTGTTGTGAGAGCCAACAGAGTCACTGTCTTCCTGGTCAATATATCCAAAGGTAAACTGTCATTGGGGTATCTACTACCCAAAAGTACCAAAACTACATGAGGGTCCCAAGTGCTGTTATATCGGCGTTTAGGTGGTCTAAGTCTCAAGATACCTCTCAAAAATCTTTTTATTCTTGCATCTTTGCCTATTTCACCAGGTAGAATCAGCGATAGAGCAGATCTACAAGTATTGAAGGATCCATAGCCAAATTTCCTGCTTTTGAATTGTTCCTCCAAAAATTTGATAACATAGGAAATGTCGGCCTCTAAATAGTGAATTTTGTTATTTTTACAAAATTGCCACCATGATTTGTAAACACATTCATATTGGCAAAGTGTTGATTTTGATAATGATTCCATTAAAATAGGAAGGGCTGTTTCTGGGGAACCTTTCTTCATGAAAGCTGTCCTGATAATATCCCTACCACCAGGGTAATCTTCAGTGGGTGAGTTGTCCTGAAAGGAGATAAAAGTAATTTTGGATTTGCGTTCAAAACAATAGGTTGACTGATCAGTAATTTATTAAACAGAGGGTACCAGGGCTGCGTCGTCCAGTGTGGTACGACTACAATCCCCACCGCCCTATCGGACATAATCTTGTTCAATACACGTAGAATCAGGCAAAATGGGGGGAATGCATAAAAGAAGAATTCCGCCCAGTTTATGCTAAAAGCATCTACAGCATATGAGTCGGGGTCTGGAAGCCATGAAGTATATTTGATGCATTTGAAATTTATTTTAGATGCAAATAGGTCTATATCAGGCCTTCCAAAAAAATTCGTTATATAATCAAAGGCCTCCTGGTTCAACTCGTATTCTGTGTCTGACGGAAGTTTGCGAGATTCCTCATCTGCTTCCTTATTATCTTCAGATTTTATATATGTGGCATGTAACCAAATATCTCTACTTTCACACCACTGCCATATCTCTCTAGCTAGGTAATTCAGTTTGATGAACCGACAGCTTCCCATGCGGTTGACATAAGCTACGGCAGTAGTGTTGTCAATTCTTAAAAGAATACTGCAAGAAAGAAGATTTCGAGCAAAGGATTTTAACCCATAAAAAACGCTCAGAAGTTCTAAATAATTTATATGATTTTCCTTGTCTTCTAGAGACCACCAACCATGGGTGCGTTCGCCATTACAATAAGCCCCCCACCCCGTTAGGCTTGCATCTGAGAAAATTTCCAAGTGGAAAGATTCCTGTCTTATACTATTCACTACATGTGGGATGTTTCTTTCCCACCATACTAGATCCTCTCTAATATCCGGTGGAATTTGCATTGTTGCATTGAAATTATTGTTGTTACTTGCAAGGGCCAGAAACTTTGCTCGTTCAAAGGATTTAGTATATAACCATCCATACTTAACTGCTGGGCACCCAGCAATCAAAACCCCAATGAAACGTGCAAAATTCCTTATTTTACACTCTGTTGCACTTTTTATATTTACAATCATCTGTGAAATACTTCTACGCTTTTCTTCAGGTAACGATATTGTCATATCAATGCTATTGAATATAAAACCCAAAAATTTACATTGAGTTGAGGGTACCAGCTTACTTTTCTCATAGTTGAGAATGAACCCCAAGGAAGTCAAAAGCCTACAGGTATAATTCACATTTCTGGAACATTCCTTGAAATCATCTCCCAGAATGAGGAAATCATCTAGATACACTACACAACAGATACCTTGTTCCCTCAGTTTTGCCACTACTGGCTTCATCATCTTTGTGAAGACATAAGGTGCTGTAGAGAGCCCAAAAGGGAGACATGTAAACTCATACAATTTTCCATCAAATTGAAATCTCAAATATTTCCTATAGTTTTTGTGAATGGGCACCAAATAGTAGGCATCCTTAAGATCAATGGAGGCCATGAAGCTACTCTTATTAATTAGTTTCATTGCTGTTCTTGTGTCCTCCATCTTGAAGTGACTTTTGCTAATAAAAGTGTTCAACATTTTCAAGTTTAATATGAAACGTTTTTTACCATTTGATTTTGTTACTAAAAAGTATGATGACAAGAATTGTCCCTCTTGGAAAGTACATGTGGACACTGCACCTTGACTAATAAGCTCCTTAATACAGGAGGTCAAGTCCATAGTTTCTTCTTTGGACAACTTTTGTGTCATAGGAGGCCTATGACCCTGGATAGGTGCCATACAGAATGGTATTTTGTAACCTTTCACCCATTCCAAGATCAGTCTACTGACTGTAATCTCTTGCCAATTCACAAGAAAATTCCTCAATCGACCAGCTAAACAACTTACCTCTAATAACGGCGGAATTTCTCTCTCCTTGGCTCCTGAGGTTGATGGCCTCTCTGTCTCACTTCCCTCACAAAGCGAGATGGCCCCTGCCTGTTTAAAGAATAATTAGCATTCTTCTTAGGTAAGACTGAAGTAGTTTTAGGTTTTCTAAACCCTGCATTACCTACCGTAGGTGCAACCACTGTAGATTTGAGGTCTTTGCTGCTCTTTTCTAGAGCCTTTGCAGTCCTACAACGTTCTCCAAAATCCTTTCCCAAAAGGGAACCATCTACTGGGCTATTGTAAGCTACTTCCTTAGCAGATTTACTTAAATAGGAACAGATATGAGAACGTCTTGCTAATGACAACCCATAGTGTACATTGGCCAAGATCCTTACACCATCACTCAACAAAGGGATTATTTCAGCTCTTTTACTGAAAGAGTTTTCTTTTAAAACTATGGTTAGTGCCATGGCCACAGCTGTGATCCCAGCACCCAAGTTTTTCTGAGTTAAAACCTGCATCTTATCCTTTTTCAAACCAATTTCAGGAGTTACAACTGCTGCTTCAGGATTGAGCTCAGGGGCCTCTCCACCTGCACAGTTGGATGGGGTTGGGTATTTTTCCAACAACTCACTGGCCACTTTTTTATCTAAACCTCTGCTGAATATGTGAGATAATCTAGGGGCCAGGGCCATATGTAACTCACATGTATTTGCCTTTTTTCCCGTTGGATCTTCTCCAAGGTACTCCAAGGTCTCCAGATCAAGTTCTTCTGAACAATGTATTGTCAGTTCATCCTGATCATTTTCTGGAATGTTTTCATTTTCATGATCTTGGACTTGCTCTTGGACAATGGGACTTCTGGATCTTTCTCTCTGACTTGGTGGAGTTTGTATACTTTCTGACCTGAGTGAGCGGGGGGAGCTTCTACTATGGCTTCGGCTGACCCTCTGTCTCAGACTGCGCGACTGAGAAGGGGACTGACAATGTTTGCCCCTATCCGATAGCTCTGTTTTGCAGCTTTCAATTGTCGAGCCTGCACGGTCTCGAATATAAGAGGAACTGCGGGTTCCTGCAGATCTATCTGAACCAGACGTTCCACGATCAGATCTTATCGAAATACCTCGTTCACGATCAGAGCTGCATGCTACTGACGCTGAACTCTTGTGTCTGTATGACCGCTCTAAAACTTCTAGTCTTCTTTCCAAACTCTCACATTTCGATCTATATCTATGACTGTGCCTGTGCCTAGACCTAGATCTGGACCTGGATCTATTTTGTCTCTTTGATTTTCCCATTTTCCTAAAAAATTAAAAACCTGGAAATAAAAATCAATGTGGCGTCGTCTTGCACAAAAAACGTAATGAAGTGAAGTTGGCGACACCGATAGAGGACATACAGACCATTACATGCACAGGCCTTAGCCAGTGATTTTTTCGTCTTTAAATTTTGTGGCGGAGTAGCACGAAAATCGGTACTACATAGTGATCTCAAGGACGAGGCGCTGAAATGTAATTCCAGAGGGGGAAGGAATGTAACATTTATTTCCGTTGTTTTTCAAACATTTAGTCTTGTCTTATCAATAGTTAATCAATAATATCATATTTAATATCAGAAAATATGATATTCAAATTTCACCGGCTGATCAAATCAACTAACTGCTGGTGATTACTGATGAAAACCATGAAAACGTGTTCCGAATTACGGCACGATATTTTTGATTTCATATTTCGGAACACAGATTTTCAATCCTAACTTCTAGCACCCATAGAACTCATCTAATATATTTTGACATCTCAGTTTTGACTTTTGACATGTTGATATTGTTGATAAGGTTATGAACTTTATTTTGAAAAAGTGGCACTAAGCATTTCTTAACAATAAATTAGTAATTTCTGAATAATGATTGTTCGAACGGCCAAAACTATTAAAAACCATTGGAAAAAATCTTTATTTGCAACAGCCCTAGTCACCTATGGGGCTATTTATACGAAAAATCATTTTCAGTGAGTCTCAGTCTACAAGAGTCACACTGTTCACTAAAGAAACACACTTTTTATTGTGGATGGCTGTGATATCCCTGTGTGGCATCTGAACACATGATATTTAAAATTTCAGGATTCAAGAACTGATGAGATTGTATTGCCAAAAAGCTGCAGAATATGGAAAAGAATCAATACCTCTAAATATGAAACCTAGACATATAACTGTAATTCTTAATCCAAATGCAAACAAACGCAAAGCCTCAGAAGAATTTGAAAAATACTGTGCCCCACTTTTACACCTTGCAGGAATATCTGTAGATGTAAAGAAAACTGAATCAGAAGGTCATGCCAAGACTCTGATTGAAGAAGTTCATGGAACTGATGCAATTGTTATTGCAGGAGGAGATGGTACTTTGTCAGAAGTTATTACAGGTTTATTGAGACATAATAATGATGATGGTGGAAACATTCCTATTGGTAATAATAGGTGTTTTCACCCACCTAATTTTATATACTTTCATTTTTATAGTTTAGAATAGTTGTTTTTATGTCTACTGATGACAGTCCCAAACCATTGACCATTGACTGTAACTGTTTCTGTAGTGGAGAATATGTTGTTAATATTATGCATGTATTCTTCATTTCACTACGTTATGTATTTCCTTTGAAAATGAAACAATATAATCAATTATTTTAGGTATTTTGCCTCTTGGAAAAAACAACACCTTAGCAAAAATAAAATTTTCTGGAGGTAAAAAATTGGATAAAGTGAGATCTTTAGCTGATGCAACTATGGCTGTAATTGAAGAAACCATTAAACCAGCTGATGTCATGAAAATTGAAATATTGTCTGATAGCACTGAGACTAATGCCAATAAACCAGTTTATGCTGTTACCTCCCTGAAGTGGGGAGCATATAGGGATGCTGAAGCTAAAAAAGATAGCTACTGGTATTTTGGCCCTTTGAGGAAATATGCTACTTATATTTTTAATGGGTGATTACCAAAAACAATTATTGAATCATGTAGGCATTCTTGTTCAATTTGAAATCATTGAACCAAATTTTAATGAAACATTTATAGACTCTTGAATAACTGAAATCAAAGATCAGAATCCTAAAAAAGACTGACATTTTTGTAAGGGCATTGTCAGAGAAGAAAGTATTGTGTGTTATGAGTTCAAAAAGACCTATATTCACTATAGAAAAGAAAAAAATAAAAGTTAATGGGAAAAACTGTTGGAACTGTCACATCCTCAACATTTAAGATAAATTATAAGAAGAAAAATTGCAAATGATGATATATCATCCTTTTTCAGAAATTTTGAGATAACTGTAAAATTCTGATGATGAAAGAAGGAAAGATATTTTAATAAAATTTAGCTGCATGTATAATTACAAATTCTCCCTCAAGATTTCTCTTAAAGATGTTAAGTAATTGGGTTATCCATCTGCAGGGAATTTAGAAATTTGTCAGTTTTTATCTTTTGGTGTTTAAAGATACATTATACAGGGTATCAACAAATCTAATAGACAAGTCATAACTTCTAGACCATTAGGTATATCAAAATGAGATTTGGTATAGGTAAATGGTATGTGAAGAGGAGAGTTTTCACATATTTTTCACTTTCCGGTCACTTCCGGTTTCACCGGAAATGGCTCCGGTTCTAAATTTTTAAATGGAACACCCTGTATATTGTAACATTTTTTGATTTCTGAGACAATTCTAGATCAGAATGTGACATTTTCGAAAGTTTTTATGCCTACTTGATTTTTTTGGAGTCACTTTTGAAATTACATCTAGGTGGCCATGATTGGAAGTAAACTAATCTAAGGACCTCAGGTGATATCAGAAAATTACAATCGCGAAGTTTTAGTGACAAGTATGATAGATATGAATAAGACAAGTTGGCTAAATTACATTTTTGTGTCTTAACTATTATTTTTCAAATGGCGACCATTTTTTGACAAGCACTTTCCGAAAAAAGGATATTTGGACGAATCTAAGGATACTAATTTATTGACCATTTTTTTGCAAGCACTTTCCGAAAAAAGGATATTAATTTATTTCATAATTTTATGCTAAAGTTGCATAAAAAAACACACTTAAAAAAGTTGAGGTGATATCCCCCCCCCCCAGTTTCACCAATTTCTGGATGAAATTTTGGAATTATTATTATTGCATATTATCAGACATAATAAGATTGGCCGTTTTCCAAAATTTCATTATTGTGCTATCAACAGTTTCGAAGATCCATCTTCAGGGTACCACCTTTAGGAGGCTGTAGCTTGCTTATGAAACATTATTCAACCTATGTTTATAGGAGCTTTTGTTCTAATTTTTTATCATAAAATCTGCGCAATTTAGGGGACACCCTGTATATTCCCATGAAATGCCAAAACAATGAGCTCTGAAAAAATATGGGAGAAAACAGATCTTTCATGTATTACCTGATCTAATTTTTATAAATGGTTTGGATTTTTATCAACTATTTTTTGTTATTTCAGATTCAAAACAGAGCTTACTTGGAATTGTGAAGCTATAATGAGTTACAGCTTACCTTGTGAAGGTTGTTCTAACTGTTATAAAAAGAAACAACAAATCATTAATAATGGATGGTTCTCCAGGTGAGTTCTACTTGTACAGTAACTAAAAGGAATGAAATAATGAATTATTACTCATCACTTGGGCACAAATAAATTTGTGCAGGAAAATAATTCATAGCAAGTTTGAGCTAGGTTTTTATAATAAACAATATACAATTCATTATAGATTCATTAAAGATGATCCACAATCAGAATTTCTCAGAGTCAATAATCCTGATTGCCAAATTACCCATGAGAAGAAAATTTCAACTACAGATTTGGCTCTATCAACTCTAAACATAATTGAAAATCCATCAGGTACTGAAGATATTCCAAAACTGGTTATTGAAATTGGACCCAACAAAGTAGAATATATGGATTTTGTGAGAAATGGGTTCAGAATGGAGAAAGGCATGAAAAGAGATGTTGAGGAAATAATTGAAGTAAAATCAATTGAAATAAATCCTGAGCTTGTGCAAGGAAAGGATGTTTGGTTCTCTATTGACAATGAAGATTATGAAGTTAAACCTGTTAGAATAACTTTATTACCAAAGATCATACATATCTTCTGTAGTAAAGAATCAATAAATGTTTAAAATTAAATAATATTTTGATTGACTCAAATTATAGTTTTGCCAGTTTCTAGCCTAATTAAAATATTGTTGAGTTTATTTGGTAGCTATTCTATGATCATTTATCATCCAATATTTGTCCATTTTCATCAGATTGAACATTTTGACTTTTACTTTCCTCTATAGTTGCTGGAATCAAATCACCACATTTGGATGACCTGGCACACTGATACATTGCTTTTCCATGCTTTGAAGCAGTGAATATCACCTCTTCTAATTTTCCATTTGCAGTACACATCCTACAAACACAGTGTTTATGTCTCACAAGTGTTGGTCTTATAATCCTTGGCCACTTTTGATCAGGGTTTGTATTATTACTTTTCCCTTTTTTGAGTATAACATAGGAATATAACTCTTTCTTAGCAACTGAAGAACCTCCAAGAGGCAATGTAAAATATGTGACTTCAAAATTACATGGAGTGCCATCATCTAGAAGAAATCGTGGGCAGGTATCATCATGTGGACAAGGACTGAACACTGTTCCTAGGTTTTGTTCATGTTTTACTTGCAGTATGAAATCTCTGATTTCATTGACAATTTTGAAACCTGCATTTGTTCCCTGTTCAACTATTACCAGATATTTTCCAGTTTTGTTCCACAAATTCACTACTGTTTCTAACCTAGCTTGAAGAGATGGTAACTCCATCATAGAGTAAGCACTAATTACTATATCATAAGTTACTTTAGTAGCTGGCAAAAATTGTCTGTAGAACACCCCTTTGGGCTTATTGCCTTTTGGTGTGCCACCCTGCAAGAGTGTCTGTGCTAAATCATTTATATCCCTAGAAATATCAACATTGAAGTATTCATAAATATTTTGCTTCCAATATCTGTGTGCAGCCCATGTTGCAGTTCCAACACCTGATCCAAAATCAAAAAGACTTCTTGGTATGAAGTCAATGTCTCTGGATTTTATTTCACCAAATATTTTTGCTAAAACAGCATATTCAGGTGCTGATCTGCCCAGCAGATAGACAAGTGAATTATATACATCAAATTTTATAGGTCTCCAATTGTACACCTTCTCCCTTAAAATATTCTGTGTTTTGTTATGAATCATTTGTCTAAACCTAGATTCATCCTGGTCATTATTGATAGTGACATTAGCATAACGTGATAGCACTTTTTGTTGTACTTTTTCCACAGTTTCTTTCAATTCTTCCTTTTCCATAGGGGGAACTCTACCTTTGAGATGTCTATTCAACTTTTCACTAGTTTCAAGTAATGCTTTTACTGGGTAATCTGCTGTAGCATTGACAACAGCTTTTATAAATGGCTCAGGAATAAGGACACTTCTAGGCTTCATACTTCCTGGATGATTTCTTATTGTAAATATATTTTTGTTAATGTTTTCTATTACATGTTGATCTGGTTTCAGGACCGCTTTTGGAACTGAAGATATATTTCTCCTAACCATTTTTTCAGCTATCATTATAGGACAACAGTTCATTTTGATTGTTTCACTTGCGTTGAGATAGTGGTATATAAAGAAGATCAGTTACCCCCATATCTACCCATGATGTGAAAATTATTTAAAATACAAATAAAATAAAACTGAACCATTAACCTAAGTTTTTTGAAAACTTTGAAACTGACAGTTGTTGAAAAATTTTCATCAGTTCTACCAACCTTAGTAGTCGCAAGAAGTGCCTAAATCTTTCGAACCATTCTCATCACGTGATCTAACAATGAGGTTTGGGAATGGTTCGAAAACTTTAGGCTCTCGTCAACCATAATTTCATGCCGCGCGCACCATAGAAATAATAATAAACACTTCTATGGCGCGCACCAATAATTTCAACACTTGGACACAGAATATCCAACAATCAGACATGAAACTCTATGAGTCGGTACCGTGGATATTAATTACTAGAATACGTCTTTTGGAAATCGTGAGTCTTGGATAAGTTATAGATAATGAAATTGAAATAACAAATACCTAACCTAACATCAGGTGTTCTCATGACAGCTTATGCATATAGGTCGCGTGCAAGAACTGTCAGATGACCGACCCTGGAGGCAAAACATATTTGTTTACAAGTGATCGAAATAGTTTTCCACAATTATTTTGGCATATGAATCGTATTTTTCCGCTATTTATCAATTCGCTAATGCCATCACATTGTGCTGTTGTAAAATGCACAAAAACTGTAGCAGAAGATGAAGGAATCCGGATGGTACATTATGATTCAAAAGTAAGTACCTACTATAATAGTCACTCACATAGTTTTCATTTTTGAAATTTGGTTATTTCTCTGATTTCTCATCGGAATCCCTTCTGCAATAGGATCAGCTAATAGAAATATACCTGAAATTTCTAGAATAATGCAAGAAGATTGGATTCATGCAATCAATCGGTAGGACTGGTCTGACATGCTGACGATCGTGTGTGTTGTAGACATTTTCAATCTATTAGCAGCATTAGCTTGTATTGCAGAAGTGGCAGAAGGCAGAAGGTATTTTAATAAGGAATGACAACATTTTATAATGCTTACTATGTGAGATTACTATTTACCTGAAAAATCATATTCCCTAGTCTCTTGCTGGATTTTTTGTGCATTGTACAACAGCACAATGCGAAGGCATGCTTGAATTAATGAATAACGCAAGAAACACGATTCTTATGCCAAAATATTGTGAAAAACTATTTCAACGTTCTGATTCCTCTGTAACCAAATAAAAAAGTGAGGTTGTGTTTCAATAATTCACAGAAGAATGAGGTTGTGTTTCAATATTTTGCCTCCAGGGTCGGTCTTCGTGCACGCGACCTATAGGTCGCGTGCAAGAACTGTCACTTGTCAGATGACTGACCCTGGAGGCAAAATATATTTGTTTACAAGTGATCGAAATAGTTTTCCACAATTATTTTGGCATATGAATCGTATTTTTCCGCTATTCATCAATTTGCTTGTAAAATGCACAAAAACTGCAGCGGAAGATGAAGAAATCCGGATGGTACATTATGATTCAAAAGTAAGTACCTACTATAGTCACTCACATAGTTTTCATTTCTGAAATTTGGTTATTTCTCTGATTTCTCATCGGAATTCCTTCTGCAATAGGATCAGCTGATAGAAATATGCCTGAAATTTCTAGAATAATGCAAGAAGATTGGATTCATGCAATCAATCGGTAGGACTGGTCTGACATGCTGACGATCGTGTGTGTTGTAGACATTTTCAATCTATTAGCAGCATTAGCTTGTATTGCAGAAGTGGCAGAAGGCAGAAGGAATTTTAATAAGGAATGACAACATTTCATAATGCTAACTATGTGAGATTACTATTTACCTGAAAAATCATATTCCCTAGTCTCTTGCTGCATTTTTTGTGCATGTTGTACAATGCACAAAAAATGCAGCAACATGCAGCACAATGCGAAGGCATGCTTGAATTAATGAATAACGCAAGAAACACGATTCGTATGCCAAAATATTGTGAAAAACTATTTCAACCTTTTGATTCCTCTGTAACCAAATAAAAAAGTGAGGTTGTGTTTCAATAATTCACAGAAGAATGAGGTTGTGTTTCAATATTTTGCCTCCAGGGTCGGTCTTCGTGCACGCGACCTATTGATCATTCTAGAACACGTGATTTTGACATGGTTTCTTGAGGGGCACACAAACTATCTGTTAGGTTACCTTTGATGAGCATAGCCCTGGCCATCCCTGCCACATCCACAATATAATATAACAGTTTCACCAAACAAAGTTATGAAATTTTTTCTGGTTCCAACTCGGATTCCAAGGAAAACGATCTCACTAATTCTGGTTTTATATGACAAATCTTGACAAAATACAATGTTTGCCCCTCAGCAACCTGTCAAATGACGTAATTCTGGAATGATTAATAGCAGAAAGCTTGAATAAAAATAATTGAACGGGCTCACTATTCACATGAAAAGTTAAGAAAGTGACAGTGACTGCCAAATTCAGTTGAATTCCGGGTATTTATCCTCTACAACTAGAAAACAATTTTTTTAATATTTGTGCTTTCACCATCACTGTTCCCCGAACTGTATGTTATGATGATATATATATAGCAGCATTTTTGTATTAATTTCTGAATACTCATGTGGTTATGTCTAACAGTGTGAGCTTTTTTCTGCGAGAAGTCGGACTGGCACCGATTTTCTGGCTTCATGAACTTGATACGCGTTTTCTGAAAAATCAGCCAATGAGATGAGAATAATTACGCTTTGAGGCGATGAACCTTTCGTAATATCGCAGTGTTGCCTCATCGCGATCAAAGTCAATTTATTAGATTTGACAATAAGTAAAATTAATGATAAGCATGATTTTTCAATTTTCCATAAACCTTCTCACACCCTAATATACACTGATATCACTATTCATAATAATTCAACTCACCCTCATCAACATAAAATTGCAGCATATAATAACACAGGCTAGTGAATGTACCTCTATCGGAAGTAAATATCATTAAAGATCTCAATATTATTAAACAGATTGCAGTCAACAACGGATGTTACAACGTTAATTTGATTGACAGTATTCTTTCTGAAAAACTCCATAATGAAGCCATTCAAGAAGTTGAATAATAATCAAAATTATAGATCCTCAACCTATTTCGGATCATCAACTGAAAAATTAGCTTCATTTCTACACAAACGGGACCTAAAAGTAGCATATACATGGAACAAATAACACGTTGGGAATGTTTATCAAAAATAATAAAGACAAAACTTCTAAATTCGAATGTAATTTTCATAATTTATCTGAGAATATTCATGTCTGATAAAGATAACAAAGGAGGCATTGTTCTCATAAGGATGACTCATCGGCCATGTAATCTGACGGGGTTGTTATGTAATCGGCCACCTGCTAACAAAGGAGGCATTGTTTATTGCGTTGCAAATATCTAAATAGCTGAAATTCCAAGGAGCGCTGTTATATGGCTGTTATCGAATGTTATGATTTGACGTCGGCCATCTTGTTCATTTGTCACGTGACATCTGTCCGGGGAAAGAGGGGGGGAAGGGACCAGGAAAATTATCTGTCACCATTAGTGTTTCATGCTCAATGTCATATGTCACTTTTGTTCAACTTCATTCCTTGTGTTTCATGCTCCATGCAGCCAACATCTTTCACCCCAGGAAGTGACGTCACTTCCGGCGGCAGACATCTTGGTGCCAGACGAACGTAGGTATACTACTAAATAGATCATTTAGTTAGTCCTAAATATCCTCATTTTCAACGATACAAAAATAGGGCGAAATAGTAACTTTTCAGCACTATAGTGAGGTAATGGATAAAATCGATTTATAAGAAAGTACAACTTCCAGAACGATGAATCGTGCGGAAAAGTTGGATTTCCGCACGATCGTTGGAAAAACATTGTACCCATAACTAGTGCGGAAAAGTACAATACTTTCCCAATTTGTTAGGTAAATAACTATTTCGTATCTCTAACTTATTATTTTTCAAATGGAGACATTTTTTTGACGAGCACTCTTCAAAAATAGTAATTTTTTGAGATTTGATTGAAAATATGACCACTTTCGCGGTCGGCAAGGTCATTAGATGACGTTTCGATGACATTAAAAACTACGAGAAAACATGTCTATGTCTATTCCCTGGAATTATATATATAAATAACTATTGCTGACATGAAATATGATTTATTTTCTAAATATTTACAGACTAGGTACAAAAGAATCATCGAAATATTATATACAGGTTTCGGTTTAGTCAAAAGTGTGGAAACTTTTATATGTATATATAAGCGAGTATCATAAATGAGATTTTTCAAAGAAATTGAACTTACTGGGTTTTTTGTTGCATAATATTATTTATCTGAAAATGGCAGCCATTTTTACCTTCACATTTTTCAACTTTACGGAATTCACATCAATTCGCATCTATTTCAAATAGGACAAACCTGTTCATTATTTCTATTTTACCAGATTTGATGGGAATAACGTGTACTATAGTGGCTTTGTAGATATACAGCGCGATTCAATTCATTTCCTTCAGCCCAATGTGTTTTGACGAATGTTGTGATCTGTGTAGGCTTGTAACTAACTCCATACGTCGCCTTGATAATTTTCCCGAACGGCCCCTGTTCCCTAAAAGCCTGTGCATCCCTGCCTTCATGAGACGATGCTTCGAAACGCTACAATATCCAATTTGTAATATTAGGAAAATGTCTTTGCCCTCGCTGGAAACCAAGAGCTAGCGGTGATGATGAGTCTGGCCAATATCGGAGTAATGGAGAGGAATCTAACTATCTGTGTGACTATACGTCTGGCGATCTTCTACTGCGCCATTGCCGTTATTTAAAAAAAATATGGAGTAGAAATTTGAGAATATATATGACTATTCCACTCTTGTTCTCTAGAACCAATCAGAACCGACCATTTTCACGGATTCTTCTGTATTCCAGCGATATTTTTTGTTTACTATAAAATTTATCAAACTTGCTCAACCAATACAGGAGCCGAATTGAAGCCAGAATGATGGATGCGGAACTCTTGCGAGGCCCTCGTTTATTGCCTCAATCATGAAATATTCATACGAATAAAACTCGTGAAGCTATTTCCTAGAAATATTCGTCGATTGACATATTCCAGCTTGCTGCTTTATCTTCGCTCATGGCATTGATTCAAAAGTTTTGATAAAAAAATGTAATTCGCGAAATTATTAGGCAACGAGCTGTCGAAACAATCGCCGAATATTTCCGGCAAAATAGTATCACTTGTGATATTACATAAAAAAATCGTGGACATAAATTAACAATTTTTCACCGATGACACTTATTCAACTTCTAATGTAAACGGAAACGACGGCAACTTACGATTTTGTTTGAAATACGGACACTCTGTACATATTCTCATTTTTTTACTCAAAATAAGATTTTGGCTACTATGAATAATGGAGATATTTGTCACATTTATTAAACCTATCAGAAGAAATATGAAATCAATTATACATGTCCTATCTGAATATTTCGAATTCATTGATGTAAATTTCGAAAAAAAAAAGTTGAAATGTGGAATGTAATATGTATACCAGTCACTTTATGTACAGGGTTATCCGTCGAAAAGGCCCAACCCTTATTTTTACCTTATTTTTTTATCCAGGAAAAAATGCGGAAGTTGAATGTCGCAATGAGGCAATTCTACATCAGTCCTTATCAAAAGTTTTAGGGGGTGATCCCTGAAAGCGTGACAAACCACGAAATTTTTTTTTTCAAATGGAACACTTTTTTTATATTTTTTTCGGAATCTGATTTTTTGTGATCACTGAGATATTTACAGGGTGAGTCATAACTATTGGGACATAGATTATGAGGGCGGATTGTTTGGACCAAAATATGGCGATAGGACCGAATATGCCCCAATAAAATATTGCTGTGGAAAAAGATACAGGGCGTTGAAGCTGATTTTTTTTTGTTTTTTGATAATTTCACTGTATAGTTATCAATTGTTATCAAATTCGGCAGAGAGGTATACAGGGAATATTTATTTTATGTATTATATTCTACAGTTTTTTACAGGGGGCGCCACGTGAATGATTCCTGATGATGAAATCGGCTGATAATTTTTTTTGACGAAACTTTTTAGTGACTTCGATCAGGAAATATGACATAAAAACAATTTTTACGTAATATTGGTACTCTCGTATAAAAACGAAAGTTTCATCCGTTTTCGAGAAAAGCGCAATTGAACAGTTCAAAGTCTCGGATAGGGATTTAATATTTCATATATGAAGAGTGTGCTTTGGATTGTCAGATAATTGTTGCCGGTGAATTACATTTCTTGATGTAAGTGAATGAATTTTCGGTGCGAGTTTGTAGTCAATACTTTTTTGATTGAAACGCCCCCATTCAAAAAGCATACTATGATCTGCAGGAATATCACAACGAAAAGTTTTGAAGTCATGTATTATGTATAATTTATTTCTATGATTTATTTCTTGATTGTTTAATTATTATGTTAGGTATGTAGTTGGCGTTGTATGTGATATAAATGTTATGCTTTTATGGCTTTTTTGTAGTTGTTTTATACCCTTGTATTTGTGTTATTTATTAACTATATTTTATATTTATATCTTTTATATCTTTGAATTAATAATTGAACATATAGTGGATCTATCCACTTGCTAGTTAACGCTTTGTCAATAGGAATAATGTTTCTTGGACAATGAGTGAAAAGAGAAGATATCACCATGTATATATAGATATTTATGATCACAAAAATTCAGATTCCGACAAAAAAGGTGTTTTATAAACAAAATAATTTGTTGCTTGTCATGCTTTCAGGGATCACCCTGTAAAACTTTCTATAAGGGCTGTGGAAATGCCTGGTTCCGGGATTCAACTTCGGCATATTGTTTGTTTTTCTAGATGAAAAAATAACATTAATATAGGGGTGGGCCTTTTCAATGGATAACCCTGTACAGTCTAAAAAAAACTTTTTAACATTTCCTGAGATATTCATACCATTTCCAGACTTATGACTATCATTTTAACAATTCAAGAATAATCTACAGAATAAATAAAATAGTTCTTCAACTGATGAGCTAATTGAAATTATGTTGTCACATATAAAACTTTATAAAAAACAAAACATCACAACAAAACATATGTATCCAAAAACATAATGAAAGAAAATATACCTCAAAGATACCACATTGCATATCAACACAATGTCTTCATAAAATTATTGATTTTATATTATTTGATTTTATATTATAAATGTATAGAATCAGTGAAACCAAACTAAAATGTTTGCCAGATTGGCCCAATCAGGATTCATAAAACTGGGTATACTCTATTATTCAATAATGAACTAGTTCATTCAAAGCAACTATAAAGTATGTGCTTCTACATGGGCCATAATATTATAGGCTCAAAATAGTCAAAATACATGGATAATATTTGATATAGGTACTCAAGTAGGTACTAGTAGTTACTTTACAAAAAATCAAGCTATAATATAATATATTATGTAGATGAGCTGCCTGTTATTTTATTTTTGTTTGCTGTAGCTCCTAGGAGCTTTTTTAAGAAGATTCATTCTATTGGGAATAAAGTATATACAAACTAACATTGCAGAACTAATGAAATTTTCAGAAATGAATGACATATTATACTTGCTGACCAAATATTAGATGAGAATCTATTGTCCCATCTATTTCTATTATTTTATTGAAGATTAGAAAATTGAATACTTTTCCACAGTTATATATCTATTCAATCAGTTTGTTTCCAATCAGTGGAATTGAGAGCTGAGGAACAACTGTTGTGATACTTAGAACAAGCTCCATCACATTTGTGAGGACTATTGGTAACTTTGAAATATTTTAAAATTGGACTTCTAGGTGTCAAATACTTTCTACCTTTCACGTCTGGCCTATTCTGTTTAGGTGTGCAAGCACCTACAGTTTTGTCAAACATCTCTTGGCGCAGCATTTTGTCAATTCTTAATCTGGTTAGCCAATCCTGACATTTTTTCTTTGGAGGAGAGAAATTCAAGTGTGGGGCCACCCCATCTATGACATAGTTTGGTAAATTTGTAGTAGGTGAGTTTATCATGACATCCTTGTTTTGCCCAGGGAGAACTTTCAACAATGAATGGTCAGCTGTTTGTTCACTGTCAACTGCATCAGTTGTAGATGAGTAATCATTTTTACATTCTGCATGAGAACCAGAAATGTTGATTTCCCCAAAACAATTTTCCAGTTTTGGCACCTTGCAAGGGGGTTCATAATGGTTTTTACTATTTATATCTTCAAAAGTGTCAGCTGAACTATCTGCCTTTTCAATATTAGAATCATTAATATTGGCAAAGAGCCTCCTGGGGCCAAATTCTGTTTGCACCATTTTATTTGCACTTTGTAACTCACATGAGTTTTTACGTTTAGAATTATTGTCACAATTTTCACAAAACATAGATGCTGTAATATTGTTGCATTTGCAACACTCTGTGAAAGTTTTTTTAGGTGTGTACTCTGGTTCATCTAATGAAGGCCTCTTTGTAGATCTATATTTCATATTACCAGTATTTTTCAGTGGCAATATTTCAGCTACCCCTTTACCATTGATTTCCCAGTCATCAGGCAATTGTTCAGGCCCAGTGGTCCATATTTTGTGGGTCATATCATCAGAACAAGTTACTAACAAGTTATTTTTATCAGACCAGGCTACACAAGTTACTTCTGCAGAGTGCCCAGTCAATTTTACAAGAGGATTTGTTCTTTTTGTACTCCATATGTAAGCATTTTCATCACTACTTCCACTCATTATGTATGAGCCATTTTTACTCAAGCAAGATTTCACATAAAAAGTACTGTTTTGGTGTCCAGTATACCACATTATAGGATCTGTAGAGTAAGTTCCAACATTATAGCAGTAAATTGTATTATCCAAACAGTTGGCATATAGTTTAATTCCTGCATCATCTATGATGAGACTGCTATAACCATTTTTTGTGGTATTACCAGGATATGGTATGGTACTCTTAGGGAGTGCATCTTTCTTATAAGTTGTGTAATTTTTTCTGAGATCCCATATTTTTAATATTCCATCACCAGCCCCACAAGAAATTAGAGTATTGTTTTCTTGGAATACCAGTCCAGTTACTGATTTTATGATAGATTTTGTAGGAGTACTGAATTTTTTTCTTGACTTACTAGGTGTAAAAGTTTTAGAAGAATGTGAATTATTGATAATCCCATCAGCCCTACCAACAGTACTACTTGTATCAGCTCGAATATCCCAAAGAATGATATTTCCATCCCTGCCACCAGTAGCAAAAACACTGGTATCATCTTTTCTGAAAGTGACTGTTTTAACAGATCTAGTGTGACCACAAAAAGTTCTTTGGCATTTAATTTCTCCATTTCCAATGTCATATATTTTAGAAGTGTGGTCACCAGAAGCAGTTACTAGTTTCATTTCATTGAACATCCAGGCCAGGTCAAAAATAGCATTGTTGTGAGCATGAATTCCATGCCTCTCCTTAGCATTACTATCATGTATCACCAACTTGCCATCCTCATTTGCTAAAGCTAAGAAGTGCTCATTTCCCTCTTTAGGGGAAAACTTGCATGTAAATATTGGCGTATCTCTATAAAACTCATCTGGTTCTCTTTGGGGAAGGAGATGGGTGTAAGAATTTTGTTTGGTACATATTAGTCTTTTGATTGGTGCATCTGAACTTTGCCACAATGCTGAAAATTAAAAAGTGGGTTATCCTCACAACAGATTGGCTTAGGTAAGTAGCTACTTACAATATCCACTTTGTTGACTGAAGAAAGATTTAACATCATTCTGATTCACAAACATCTTGAAATATGAATTGATTGTGTGGTTGGTACTTAAGTAGAAAGAAGGAGTCAAATTGTTTTAATCTTTGAGTAGAATTCACATATATTATTATTTCTGATATTTTGATATTTACTATTTATTTACTACGATTCGATTAAAGCGGGAAAACTATTCGCGGTAGCCAAGGTCATCATCTGACGTTGCGATGACATGAAAACTACGGGAAAACATTCTGCTGGCTTTTGACTAAAGTGACATGTTTTCCCGTCATTGTAGTTCTTATCACCACAACCGTCAGATGATGACCTTGGCTTACGTTACCGTACGTTACCATCCAAAAGTTTCCAGCGTCAACGTCTCTCGCCAGTCATTCAATTAGTAACATGCTGCCGTGATGCGGAAAATCTTGAGGTTCTCAGAAGGTTATATTAGAATCGTTTCGCATGATAAGGGACTATTTTTGACCTAACTCGGCCTGAATCATCCTCTTTCCTGAAAAGAATATTTTTCGAAAAATTACTTAGGTGAAAACCGAGGTGAAAACAGAAGGTTACAAGTGATAAGTATGAAGCAGGAAGATATCGTTTCTGCATGAAAAAGACAACTTCTGTCAATCGAACTCGTCCTGAATGATCCTTTTTCTGAAAAGTATATTTTTCGAAAAATGTAAACAAAATACGCCTCGCAGCAACCGCCGTGGAAGGTGCATAGACCCCTGAGCTATCGAGCATTTTGTTCAACAACTGTACTTATTACACTTTCTAGGTACTTTTTAATTGTGTCTGAAGATGGCCGTAGAGCCAAAACTATAGTAACACACTGCTTATACAGGGTGTTTCGAAATTCGACCGACAACGTTTGACAGGTGATAGCCCTCGTGATTTCATAATCATTGAGATAGGAACATTCGGTCTTCAAGTGTTCAGTTCTCGAGATACAGGGCGTTGAAGTTGAGAAATGAAAATAGTTGTTTCGCAATATCTCAAGAATAATTGAATATAATGCATTCAACTTCGGTATATGGTTTCATCTTTGAATGGGCCATTTTTTGACCTGGAAGCCATTCAGGACATTTTGTCCAGTGGTGCCCTACAGGGGGTTGTGGCATTTTTTCCTTCCATATTTTCTACGCCACTGATTGAATTTCGATTATTTCCAATTCCTCGAATTCATTGTTCAATTTTGTTCAGAAAATGCATCACCTTCAACTGAGCTGAAATAAACAGTTTTCGAGATATTCGACCCAAAATAGAAGATTGCATAGTAATATTTCATCATTTTCAGTAGTAGAAAATTGCAAAAATATTTTTCTGGTGTTGAGTAGATTAGATACTATTCAGATCTCATTCCATAGCTGAACAGAAATAGTTATTCCACACATGAAGAGAAAACAAAAATTTTCGTAATTTTTTACTACCGAGGAAGATGAAAAATTACTATGCATACTTCTATTTTGGGTCAAATATCCCGATAACTGTTCATTTTAGCTCAGTTGAAGGTGATGCATTTTTTCAACATAACTGAACAAACAATTCGAGAAATTGGAAATAATTGAAATTTCATCAGTGGCGTAGAAAATATGGGAGGAAAAGTTATCACAACCCTCTGTAGCGCATCTCTGGATAAAATTCTCGGAATGTCTTTCTGGTCAAGAAATTAATCAGTGAAAGATGAAACCATATACCGAATTTGAATGCATTATATTAAATTATTCTTGAGATATTGCGAAAAAACTATTTAAATTTCTTAACTTCAACGCCCTGTATCTCGAGAACTGAACACTTCAAGACCGTCTGTCCCTATCTCAGTGATTATGAAATCACGAGGGCTATCACCTGTCAAGCGTTGTCGGTCGAATTTCGAAACACCCTGTATATAATTTTGATATTAAATATTGTGGTCGACCGACTTTGAGTTCGTTTTTATCCTGTTGAAAAAATAATATGTACGTATTTCTTCTTTTTTTCGTAAGATCAAATTTCACTTCAGAAAAAAATAAATAAAAGAGGAACTTGGCTCCTCCACCATTACTATTACATACTTTCTGAAAATTCCATATATGAAAATCCACATTCACACAGTGTGGAAATACGATTCCCTGTGCCAGTGCGACGTTGCCGATATCATCAATATGTCTAGACTTCCGGAAATTGTTCATTGAATGCATAATAACTATATCATAACAGCAATGAATGGATGAAAATTCCCATAAAATTCTCATTGGCTGAATGAAGTTGATTACTACTAAAGATGAATTATAATATTTTGCGATAGTATCTATAATTTTTCACTATCGTTATATTACAATAATATGTTATTCATAACTTGTCGGTCATTTTTTTGCTAATGAATTCGTTCCTTAATAGAACGGATATATTTTCTATCTTGCAACAGCGCCTTATAACTCCGTCCCGTCCACACCACTCACTGTGGCACTGACAAGCACAACAACAACATTCTGTTCTGAACGCGAGGGTCTGGAACACATTGCCAAGGGAGGTGTTTCCCGAGGCATATAACCTCCAGAAATTTGTGAAGAACACCAATTCCTATCCTATGTCCCTTGGTTCTCACGATGTTCTCTGAACATTACAGGATATTTCTTTTCGTGGGGACCAGAACATAAAGAAATATTTTGGTTCAGGATCGAGCTCTATTCGAGAAATTTCAATGCATAAATAACAAAACCATAACCTGTCAGAATGAAGCCAACTACCCTCTGCATTCCTGCTCCGAATGCATTTGTAGGTGATTTGTAGTTATGTATTTCCCATTCGCTTTTTATTCGATAGCTATTCGCTAGCTATATTCTTCACCATCAGCTATTTTCAGACTAGATTCAGAATGTACGTCACTGTTTGCCGCCCCGAAAATTAGAAATTGCTTCAATTGGAAAATGAAAACTACTTATTGGACTTCATCGGTCACCATTCTGTACAGCGTGGACATGAAACTGGAGAGATCCGAACTCATTTTATGAAAATTCATCTGAAGGAAACTTCCCCGTTCCCGCACCAATATTTTATTCCTAACGTGCACACGGTGCCACATAAATTATCAAGTCAAGCGTCAGTTTGCCAGTTAGGTTAGATTGTTTAGAAAAAGTTGTTCTCTCAAGAGTCTCAAGTAATTTTTCGAAGAATATATTCTTCTGGAAGAAGTTTCTCGAGGCCGCGTTAGGTTGAATTGTTAGGAAAAACTGGTCTAATTTTTTATTCAATATTACCTTTCTTATATATCACGTTATTCACGGTAGAGTCACTATTCACGGTAGTCTACGTTAGGGTCCCTTGATGGAAATTGACGTTAAAGTCATCTTAACAGGGTACGGACACTCGGACAGATCATAGCTGCATTCTTTTTTAATGATCTAGAGACTTCAGTTTTGTCTACTGGCATCCCTGACATTGCTGTCACGTCAAATCCACGGGCGCTACAGAAAATCATTCAGAATTTTAATAATAGGGGTATTTACTTGTTGAGGAAGATCATCCTCCATCAAAATTAGGAAATCAAACATGGTGGATTCAATATTGCTGACGAGTTTTGTAATCATGATCATGAGAAATCTAGGGTTTCCTGGGGTTGTAGATAATGATTGTTTCGTCAAACTTGGTAAATTCAAGATGACGGATCCAATATATAGCGAAAGAAATTTCTAATTATGATCTGATTCTATTTAAGATTGACATCTGAGGGTTTTCGGGGTCGAACTTCATGATTATTTGTCAAAATTCGGTAATTCAAAATGACGGATCCAATATGACGATCGAATTTTGTAATTATGATCCGATTCTATTCAAAAATCAATATTTGTATCTGGGGTTTTCCGGGGTCGGAGATTATGATTATTTCGTCAGAATTGGAATATTCAAGATGGCGGATCCAATATGGTGGACGAGTTTTGTAATGAAGATCCGATTCTATTCAAAATTGGTATCTGGGGATTTTCAGGGTAGGAGATAATGATTGTTTCGTCAAAATTGGAAAATTCAAATTGAAGGATCCAATATGGCGAAATACATTAGTTTATATAATTATTACTCTACCACAAATAGAAAATATGTAGGATGCAAGAGTGAAAATAACGTGCCTATAAGTTATACTGCGTATACCTACTTGTTTGTTACTTTTCATCAATACATTATTCGAAAATGACTTGTTATTCAAGGGAGACGAAAAAATCAGGTAAAGTATATTCTATTCTTTATTTTCATACACACTTTACGTATTACTTTTTATCAGCATACTTTCCGTCCTAGACGGAATTTTATACATAGTGTGATATTAGAAACTCCATAAATTCTTGAGTTGGATTACCAAAAATATATTTAGCACACATGACATGAGTACAGTAGTTTAGATACCCACATCGTGGTTTCCACCATTTCTCAATCATAAGGCTCTGCTCATTCAGCTCATAGATAAACTACTGCTCAGCTTGAAATCAGAATTCATTCAGTCAATTCAGTCAACCCTGGTATACAGTCTAAGAACAGTCTCTTTTGGCGAAATATAACAAGCTTTCAGTACAATTTATATGTTCCCTACCTCGCAAAGATTATGCTGGAGTAGTAAACTCTGAAACTAGAGGATTGTTCATCTATATCTTGGTATAGTTGAATCAGGAATTCCATATGGAAATCACGTATGATACGCCAGTGACCTCAATATAACCTAAAAAACAACGAATGTCCCCAGAATTGAATAAGGATGAAACTATATAACTGTTTCACAAACACTTTAGAGTGAGAGGAAACGGGGATCTGTCCGTAGCCTGTTAAGATGACTTTAACGTCAATTTCCATCAAAGGACCCTAGTCTAGGTCATCATTTGTCGTTGCAATGACGTAAAAACTACGGGAAATCATGTCTAACTTTCAATCTGAGCCAGGAGTAAGGATTGTTTTCCCGTAGTTTTCATGTCGTCTACCGCGAATAATGTTGGCAGCCAAATATTGGATGTTAGTTAGTGCGGAAACTGTCTGCAGAATTTCGTAAATTTGAAACATATCATTTGGTATATAGTGGCAACACTGGACTGGACACTGGTCAAATTGTCAAAAGTCAAAATGTCGATTAATTAAAGTCGGTTTGAAAAATTGTGGAAAAATCGATGTGAACTGTTGTGATTTTGCTTTTGCTTTATTATTTTTCCATTCATAACTTGTCGAGATAATTAACTGGTGTTAGTAATTGGTATTTGCCGCTGCTTGAAGACGATTGAAAGAAAAACAAAATAGAAAAAAAACTTGTGGTGGGGATTCAAATCAATCAAATCCCATTAATTTATTTTTTGCCCTACAAAAAGGTTGGTGATTGTTTTCAGTCGTTTTTTAAGTCTTAAAAATACCTGCTGGTTTGAAGACACACTGCTTTGGTTCAAATTTCACATCATTGGAACAAGCTAGTTTTTATATTATTTAATTTATGTGCTAGGAGGCAATGACAAAATCAGCTTGAAGCTATTCCATTTTTGGGTTAATCAATTATTCATTTATTGAAGATCATCTCGTTAATATTGGTTTGGTGGTATTATATTTATAGATAAGACATTATGGAGGATGAAGAATACAAGAAACTCCCTGTGGATGAGAGGTGTATACATAAACAATGGAAAGGTAGAGTTAATGGATATGAAGAAGTCACAATGCTTTTTCGCCAAATTGATGATGAAAAGTCACCTGAATTTGGCAAGTACTTGGGACTTGTCAAAAAATTTGTGGTAGATAGCAATGCAATGGGACAAGAGAAAGGTTTGGAAGCAACTTTAGCCTATGTGGAAAATTATGCTCATGCAGGAAAGACTGTATCTGAGGTAATGTCAGGTGTTGTTGCAAAATGTATAGCAGCACCAAGAACAAAAACCAGGGAGTTAGCTTTGCAACTTACACTTATGTACATTGAAATTGAAAAGCATGAAGCTGTTTTAGAAGAGCTTACTAAAGGTATGGATTTGAAAAATCCCAAAATTGTGTCTGCTTGTGTGAATGCTAGCACAGTGGCCTTGAGAGAGTTTGGATCCAAAATAATAAATGTCAAGCCTTTGTTGAAGAAGATCAGTACTTTGCTGGCAGATAGAGATAAAACAGTTAGAGATGAAACAAAACTGATGATTATAGAGATGTATAGATGGATAGGAGCAGCTCTAAGGTAAGATAATGTTGATGGTGGTGTTATATATTTCAGTAATATTCAATTTATCTGGTTGAAATCAACTGGTGCATACTTTTTTAATATGTCACTATGTGCCCTTAATGACATGAAATATTCCTGGATAGTGTCCAAAGAATACTATTGTGACAGTTTCAACCAACTGTCATGTTTGTGTGTGTTGCTCACTGTTGCTAGTAATTTCATTTTTTTATGCCAATAAGCACTAAACCTAGTGAAGTACTAATACAATCAGTTGTTACTCATTTTTTATTCATTTATAACCACATTTACATATTTATTGCATGTAGCTTTTAACTGAGATATCCAACAGCTCTGCTAGCTTTGTGTCAAACTAGTAGAATATAGAATAACATTGAATTTAATATATTTGTTCCTCAAAAATAAAGGATTGGATACACATTTTTAAAGCAAAGTACATTTATATTTTGATTTGCTCAATTTTGAAAGTTTTTTATTAAAAAAATAACAGAATCAAAAAGAGGATTCTTTTTTCAACTTTGATATCCTGTATTTCAAAAACTACAAGTCTATGGAAAAAAGCTTGATGTTGCTGTTTCAACTCCTAGCTTGATAATGTGTCTATTGAAAAATTCAAATTCTCAAAATTTCAAACATTGTATTCACTTGCAAGAAGCACTAATATTAAAAGTTGATAGTGCTTTTCAAAATGGAGATTTATACAGAAATTTCAAGATACCTTCTCTGTTATATTCCATATTTTGGATACCTACTGCAAGGGTTGAGAGAAACAAACATGCCTGTTAGTTCCTTTACATAATTTTTTGAACCAAAAATATGCAGTGTACTGCTTGAAGACAATGTTTGGACAGCACAGTTAGGGCTTTTGTACACTTGTATTATTTTTTATATGACTCATATATACAGGAGGAGATCAATCCATTAACCACATATTCCTTGAACAAAAACAATATGAGTTTCTAAATACCATTTTTCATTTCAGCCCTTCATATTCAAAGTTGAAAATTAAAAACTGTTTTTTTCTAATTACTGGCGTATTTGATAGGATATTAATCTCAAAATTTGGTACATTACTTCAGCACAAAGAGTTACATTGTGTGAGGAAAACATAACAGAAAATAACTGTCAAATATTCAAAATACTGGGGGTCAAGTACACACTTACCCCCATTTTTTTTTTGTACGTGCGCTAATGACTTCCTATCTATTTTCCTTCAAGTGTTCAATCATTTTTGAGTATTTTTTGTTTCTTGTAAAATTTTCGATTGAATCATTTGTTTTTAAGATAATTCGAAAAGTACTGGTTATTGTTTGATGCCTATGCGGCTTACCGTAAACTCATAATGTTCACATACTCCTATTTATTTCGTATCTTTTTACGTACGAAAAGGTAAATATGGAAACACCGGGTGCTCAGAGCAAATGTACTAAAATTATTTTTACAAAAAAAAAAAAATAATAAAGTGTAAAAATTATTTTAATACATTTGCTCTGAGCACCCGATATTTCCATATTTACCTTTCCGTACGTACTAAGATACGCTCTCTTCCAATTTCGACGAAATAAATAGGAGTATATGAACATTATGAGATTGCCGTAAGTCGCGAGGCATCAAACAATAACCAGTACTTTTCGAATTATCTCAAAAACAAATAATTTTATCGGAATTTTACAAAAATCAAAAAATACTCAAAAATGATTGAACACTTGAAGAAAAATAGATAAGAAGTCATTAGTGCACGTACAAAAAAAAAACATATGGGGGTAAGTGTGTACTTGACCACCAGTATTTTGAATATTTGACAGTTATTTTCTGTTTTGTTTTCCTCACACGATGTAACTCTTTGTGCTGAAGTAATGTACCAATCAAGGGCGTCGCCAGCCGGTAAGCAAGGGGGGGGCACCATGAAAAACTAAAGAGGAAAATCAAATAAGAAAAGTTTGATGAAACGAAAAAAAAATCTATATAGAGAATCAATTGAACACTTAATCTTCTAGGGTTCTTTGTGAATTTGTTGGTCACTTTGTTGACGAAATCGTTCAAGTTTTTGAAAATATGTTGCCTGTGTCACTCATCATTGAGAGCCCATTGAGTCGAGATTTAGATATGGTTCTCCTCAACCAGGTTTTGATTCTCCGAAGGCTACTAAATGACCTTTCAACTGTACAAGTCTTACAAGGTGAAGCAACAAGGATATTCAAAGCCTTCTTAATTTCAGGAAAAAAAAACTGTTTTCGGAAGTTCTTGGCTCAAAGTGAGCGTTATCAGAACAGAGTGGTATTTTTTAGACTATTTCACGTTCACGAAGCATGAAAAGCATTTATTAGAAATGAGTGTTTCATTCTGACAAGTACAGCGATAACTTTTTCATGCCAAACTGACAGACTTTAGACTTTGCTTCGCTATCCATGGTTACATGGTTGAAAACATCAACGCTGAAAGACCAATCAGAATTAAACGACAGCTAATGTTTTCGCGATAAGCTCACGTTGTCTCTAGATGGTGATTGGTCGGATTATGTGATGAATGAAATAGTTCTTTTAATTAGTAGGGTGACTGGTAACCTCTAGGGAGGGGGGGGCAGCTGCCCCACCCTGCCCCTATCTGGCGACGCCCTTGGTACCAATTTCGAGATTAATATATTATTAATTACGCGAGTAATTAGAAAAAAAAACAGTTTTTAATTTCCAACTTTGACACCCTGTATATCGAATAAGAAGGGCTAAAATGATATTTAGAAACTCATATTGTTTTTGTTCAAGGAATATATGGTTAATGGATTGACCTCCTTTTAGCGGACACCCTGTATATTAGAATTCTTATAACTAAAAACAGTTTTAATCTTCTCCTGAAGATGCTAACATAGTTAGCGAAACACGTGTCGAGGCGTTTAAAAATCGGTTTGGTTAGTGGTAAAACAGTGTAGTGTATTATCGTGCCAAAGGTTCCAGTCTTCGATATATCTATCATAACTAATTAACGTCATTCGTTCAACCGATCAATTCCCGAACAAGTACAACAAATTCCGTTATAGAAAGTAGGTATAGGGGGTGGAGTGAAGAAATGTAATATACAATCTCACCGTTGAAGTCAGCATCATATGGTATTTTTTCATTATTTAGTTTGTGCAAATCAGGATTGCATGAATAGTTCTTACTCTGGAAATAATGCAAAATGAGTTTCATGATTTTTTTATCAATCGATAACTGTCGAATCTGTCGATCTAAATGAAAACCTAGTAGGCGACCTAGTGCGAGGAGGTATAATATATATATTATAGCTCCTGCCTACTAACTACCTAACTAGGTTGTCATCTAGAACGACAATGAATCAGATATTTTCTGGCAGGAAACACAAAACCAAAAATCTTTCGAATATAAACGATTTTATCTACTCACTGCATCGAAAGAAAGCGCTTTCTCCCTCATTTAAGGACACAAACCTCTCAATTTACTCCCATGGGAAAAAGAAAAATATCACCTCCCGTGAGTGGTAAGTGGTAAGATTGTTAAGTACGTATGAGATCCGTACAATGTCTCCATCATTACTATATAAAACAAATATTTTGAACTCCAATGATCTCATACATTTCCTTATTTTCCAAACTCACTCAATCGAAACTTGAAATAAAATGGAATTACACAATAAACGAATTCAATGTGACAGAAGTGCTAAATTGATTTTCGTTCAGATTCAAATACTATCTGAAACCTAAGATCATGTAGCAAACACATTGATTTGGATCACGACTCGAAAGACAATTTTAAGAACGACTCTCAAATACATGGGTTAGTGGATAAAATCATATATATCTTGGGAGCAAAAGTTCATTTCCTCCCATGTCGCGCATCAATCTTCACAAGCGGGAGGAAATGAGTACCTTTGCTTCCTTGATATTTAAATAGCTATTATAGTGGCACATAAATTCATTATAAGCTAAAAGAACATTAATCCTTCAAGCCGATTAATTCCCGAACAACAAGTACAACTGATTTCGATATCGATAGTAAGTTTGCGGGGTGGGATGAAAATGAATTTGATATGTAATGTCACCGTTGAAGTCTGCATCATATGGGATTTTTTTATCATTCAGTTCATACTTTGAAAATAATGCAAAATAAAGTTCATAATTTTTTTGATCAATCGATAGCTCTCGAATTTGACATTTCCAATCAGAAAATACAAAGTCAAAAATTTAATCTTCCAATTTCAAATGGTACATAAATTCATTATTAGTTGAAATAACAACTATTGAAAATACTTTACCAATTCAAAGTAACGTGTGAGGCATTTTTGGAATAAGCTCAGATGGAAATATCTGGATATTAAAAAAAAACTATTGTGTAGTCATCACACAAATTATCATATCACCAGTTTCCATAAGCTTCCTAAGAACTGGAGATTCTGCACCGTCGTTCCCATGGACCTCTTCAATTTCGCTGACTATTTAAAATCCTCTTGTTACATTTGTTCATTCCCACATTCAGTCAGATGTATAACTTTGTACTAGAAACATCTAATAAAATTCACTCTGCTTTTGTACTTCGACAATAACATTGTTTTTAAATAGGGAATTCGCTTGTTTGAAAATTCACTAGTTTAGTTCACCCTATGTATTTGAATATTTATTATTAAAAACTGTAAATTTAATCAGCAGTCGACCTATTTTAACCTATTTCATTTTCATAGAAATCATTCAAACTTTGATTCATAGGTGAGATTCCATTCAATTTAATGTGTTGAAGCATGATATACCAAATTTCGAATAGTCATGTATAACTATGAATAAAAATTGGCGAGTGTTTTTGCAGCTCATTTCAATACCTATTTTAAGTATCTCTGTGTAAGCAAACAAAGCAAATTATTTAATCCTAAATGAATACGAAATTTCAGAATATGTGTGTTAACTCTAAACAAAATGGCGAATATTTTCTCAACGTGTTGCATCAATATCCATATAGTTCCTCTGTATACCTATATAGTTGGAGAAAGCAACTTTCAAGTTTTGTCGTCGTTATATGAAAATATTCCGAAGCAAAATACCAACAACGTGATGAATACCCATCCCATATTCGTATACAAAAACACTTACCATATTGAAAAAATACCACTTCTACACACTCAAATGAATATAGAGTCACTAAATAGAAGAGGAATTTCAATTTTTCACTTTTGAATAATTCGAGATCTTTTTTCATATCACTTGAATAGACAGTACGCGATGAAATCGAAATCGAGACTGCTGATTGGTTTGATTCATCATTCTGATGACTAATTAGTTACGTCATCCTTTTAACCGATTAATTCCCGAACAATTATGAGTAATTCCAATATCTATTATAGGTATAAGGGGTGGAGTGGAAAGAAATTCAATATACACCGTGTCCCAGCTAAAATGTCCCCCCCTGTAAAAAATCAACCGCGCGATCGAATGACTTGAAATTTGGTCACCCAGTATATTTGATGATGCTCACTCGAAATATGCTATTGAATAAATCCTAGGTATACAGGGTCACACCAAAGTGCACCTCAACTTTCTTATTTGAATAGGGACACCCAGTATATTATTCCATATTCAAGTAGAGTACATTATTACAAATTCAACAATGCCGGGTTTGATGGGATTGTTTCAAACGACTACGAAGATATGGCAAAAAATAAAATTGGCTATGAAACGCCAGCCGCGGTATTAAATCTTGTGCTTTTCTGTCTAGTGAAACAAGTAACTATTCTTTTACTAGGCAGAAAAGCACAAGATTTAATGCCGCGGCTGGCGTTTCATACCCAAGGCATAGCCTGTTGAGTGTCATTAAAAATCCACTTTAATTGTCATTTGGAGAAAAATTAATTTACCGATCATGAACTCATTGAATGAACCATTTTAGGCCCCAATTACAGGCAGCCAGTTTACAACCAGTGCAGATCACAGAACTAGAAGCAGAATTTTCGAAAATCGAAGGAAAAAAGGCTTCGCCTACGAGATATATAAGATCACAGCAAGTGAAACAGGCTAAACTTGCAGCTGAAGCAGCAGAAGTCGAAGGTAGATAAATTTTGGATCAAATTTGCATGATGCTCCAGAGGATAATAACACTGAAAATAATAATCATTGGAAATTTATCAATGCAATCTTATTTGATGTCTCTGTGATTTTGTAACCTCGTATTCCTTCAAGAAGAACAGTATGACTTTATCAATGCAATTTTTCGCATCAATGTTCGATATACTGGGCCGTCAAAGTTTGAAATTTAAAACAGTATTTTCTCAATAATTCGGGTATTTACTGATCAATTTCTTTCAAACATGAAGAAACATAAAAAATAAATAAATATTGAAATAAAAAGAAGTCATAATATCTCTTATCAAGGAATATAATGGTCAATGGATTGACTTTCTGGTATAGTGAAAACCCACTTCTATAAAAGAAAACTGTTATAGGTGAAGATGAACCTGATGATGTGGAAACTCAGCCAGAAATTGATCCTTACGAGTTGGCAGACCCAGTTGATATTTTATCGAAATTACCCAAAGACTTTTATGAACAAATAGAAGCCAAGAAGTGGCAAGATCGAAAAGACGTTTTAGAATCTTTGGAAAAGCTGATTAAAGTTCCCAAGTTAGAAAATGGTGATTACGGTGACATGGTTAGAGCACTCAAAAAGGTACAGTATGCCATGAAAGAAATTAATAATACAGGGTTTCTATAACTGATCATAGCATCATAGTGCCCGTACACATACTATTTTGATACTATCTGTTTCGAATAATCAATGCTGATGCTATATTATGGACACTTTCTTTAAATGCCAGCCATGATGACAGAACACAGCATGAGATAATAATTTGCGATTGTGCTAAATGTAAATAATTATCATTGGTTAATCTAAGAACTGATTGAATTCAAATTATAATGATACATAGTCTACTGCTGAAGATGCTTCAGTCTGTAATGATAACCCATATAATTTCGTAAACTTGACAACAATGGCTGAAAAGTGCGAAACATGTTACTTAACCTTCATTGTCAAATGTTTATCTGAACTTGATCGGTACTATAATGAAGAATATTACACATTTATTTTATTTTATTTATTTATTTTATTTATTCGCATATTTCATGCTGAAGGAGAAGGTGTTTACTAAGTGTCAGATGATTTATGAGTTACGCTCAGATTATGTTGATTATTCCTTTGGAGATCTTTCTAGAATGGACAGTGAAATGGTGAGCAGTTTTTTGGCAATATCATTTTCAAGAAAATTCAATCAATCAATCAACTTTATTATTCCCAAGAAACAACATTTGTTTATTTCTTTGTCCTAAAACTGATTTTGTGTTCAGTGCCGAATTTGAATGTTTGAATATTCATTTTGAATCAAAACGTCAACTTCGTGATTACGCTTATTATAGTAGACTCGAATATTTCCTCTGTGTGAACGGGGTTTTCAGTAAGTACGTTGTAATTCAATGATAGAATCACACTTGAGATATGGAATACCTATCTGTGGCGTTTATTCTGATACTCATCTGAAGTCAGTTCTTCTGAAACCTCATTTGTTAAACAAAAATTGTTGACGCTACGCCATTTTAAGACTAAAATCTGTTGAATATTTCCTCTGTGTGAACGGGGTTTTCAGTAAGTACGTTGTAATTCAATGATAGAATCACACTTGAGATATGGAATACCTATCTGTGGCGTTTATTCTGATACTCATCTGAAGTCAGTTCTTCTGAAACCTCATTTGTTAAACAAAAATTGTTGACGCTACGCCATTTTAAGACTAAAATCTGTTTACCTTACCAATAAACATAAAATGTGGTTTCCTAGTTCAACTTATTACTATACTACCTGCCAAACCAATCACCTTAGACTGACTATACCCACCTCAACCCTCATTAAAGACTGTTTTATACAATGGTCTCAAAATGTATATTCATTTAGCAAGTTATTTAAAAACCGCAGATATCACTCATTTCAAGAAAACTATTAAAGAATTCCTCTGACTGATGTTTCTCGTCTTTCCAACATGAAAATGCAGTATTATATTCCATTTATTTCTGTCTTATTATTTTAGGTGGTACAAAAAGACAGTAATGTTATATGTGTTGCTATTGCTGGAAGGTGCATCGCTGGTCTTGCAAGTGGACTAAAGAAAAAATTTCAGACCTATGCCGGTTTTGTCATCCCAGCCATTTTGGAAAAATTTAAAGAAAAGAAACAAAATGTTGTTACTGCACTTCGAGAGGCTATCGATGCTGTTTATTTAACAGTACGTCTATCATAATTTGCAACTAGATTCAGGCAGACTTTTTGTTTATGACATGTTTTTTTTTTACTTATAGACAACTCTAGAAGCCTTCATGGAAGACGTGCTGGAGGCTTTGAATAACAAAAACCCGTCTGTTAAGGTCGAGACTTCTTTATTTTTAGCAAGGGCATTCACGAAAACTTTGCCTACAGTTGTTAACAAAAAATTACTCAAAGTTATTACTACCGGTTTGACTAAAACAATAAATGAGTCTGGTAAGTCACTGAATCAATTGAATGTTCTTAGGTATTTTTATGACATATTCTAGTGGAAAGCCATATTGGAGCTTTTTTTTTATCGCTTGGATATGAAACATTTCAGATCAATGACTAGAATATATATTAGAATATTCAGTTGCCTAAAATATTTATAATTTCAGACCCTAACGTTAGAGAATCCTCAGCCGAAGCACTAGGAACACTGATGAAGTTGGTGGGCGAAAAAGCTATAGCTCCATTTTTAGTTGAACTAGAAAAAGACACGTTGAAAATGTCGAAAATTCGTGAGAATTGTGAAAAAGCTGTAATTCAAGTAAAAGTGCCAGGTGCAAAGAAGGAAAGGCCTGCAACTGCTCCACCAAAAGTAGAAGCCCGTAAAGCTGACGCACCAAAAGCTGCTGCGAAAAAAACAGCTCGTAAGTAAATGAAGATAATTCGTCCAGTGTATCTTGTATATCATATCACATCTGCTCGGAGGCAAATGCATACTGTATTCTCAAAATTAAATGTATAAAGTGAAGTTTTGGAGACTGTGGTAAAATTACATTAATATTTAGAAAAGCTGTAACTACTTTAGTGGAATGGTTCTAATAATCCTATTCATAGAACTAGATGTCATATCAAATCAAATAGGCTTTATTAGTCCTGAGAAGAGTAATCTCATTGACAAACCATTAGGTAAATGTTTGATTTAAAAAAATAATATGCAATATGAAAATATTATCGTAAATATACCTAGGTAATTATTATAAATATAAACTCATGTGAAATTAGTAGAAAAAAAGAACAATACCACAAACAAGTAATTTACATTATAAAACATCTCAGAAATATTCACTAATGTCGCATAGTATGGCATAGCAGCTGTTTTACAGGGCTTCTGAACTGTATGTCACAGTGGGTTAGCCCTGTATTTATCGACAGGTATACATTTTAAGACCTTCAAAAATCAATTATTTTTTCATGAAACCAGATCTTGGAATTATATACGATATACCTATAATCCAAGTAATCTGTGTCTTTATCACTATAATAAAACAAGTAACATTAATATCCTTTTTGAATTCAAATGATATCTATCATACGCTTCTTCATATTCTGAACGTACTTCAAATCAAAACTTTCAAATGCAGTTACACTATATACAAATCAATAAATTCATAATGCCAGAAGTGTCAAATCAACTTTCGGTCAAATGTCAATTGTCCATGGCATACTATACCTTTGTAATGCCTGTAATGCCTGAAGCACAATTTCAAAAATGATGCATCAATAAAACGACCTAAAAAAACGACAGCTTACTTGACCTCCAATCCTATCAGTGCCATCTTTATAACTTTCCACATTGCATGTATTGTCAGCAATAGTCTTGTCTATAGGAGACGGCGTCCTGCTGTGTATGGTGGCCGATAGAAGTCGATAACATGAGTGGATCTTATATCCAAGGAGTTGAGTTGTCCCAAGTCCCAATTGTCAGTAGTCTGAGAGAGGCTGATAAGGCCTGGTGTGCCGAAATCATTACTGTCTAGCCTTTGCTTACAAATGGGCCAACTCTGTTCAATCCTCGATCCCTTAGTTATGAGTTGTATTCTACTACTCACACTTGCGGAATAAAAATATGGCGCATAATTCAAAATCAATGCTTAAGCTCCACTTTGAGTTTGAGGTTGTTCTCAGGATTTATGGTAACGTGAAAAATATGACAACTGAATGAAATACGATAATGTGATCATCTTCCCACAAGGAAAATGTAATCTCATCGTCACGGCATAAGTCACTATTAGACAGGTGTGATATTGCTTCCAATATTAACCAATCAAAACGAAGGTCCACGCTTCCCTATGGTTTCGAACGCTGTCTTCTTAGTTGGAATGGGATATAGTTCCCTTTATTTTCTTTATTCCCATATGTGGTCGAAAGCCTTAATGGGCACCACAAAGGACCATTCCCTTCATGTTAGTGTGGGAGTCCCTATATGTACTAAACACTCTACCACCTTCACTTCACTTAAGCCTATTGGCCCATTGTATCTAACCTCGGATATGCCGTTTGATTTCACCATATACGACCCATGGTTCTTATATGAGGGCCACTTCAAATACCATCACAACTGTAAGCACTTGGAAGACCCTTTTCGTTCAGGTTCTTGAAGGCTACCCTTCCGAGCCCTGGTTTTGTCCTTGAAGAAGGCCAACAGTTTTCCTTATCTTACAAATAGCGGAGGAAGAGGCTGGTTCAACCTTTTAGTGCCCCTTGCACAGGGCTAAGGTCCCGATATCGACACCATATAACTTCTGTGCCATTCATCCCTCGTCACGGGTTCCCACAACTTGGATTAGGTTGCCAGAGCCTCTCGTTCATCAATCCGCGGCCACATAAGCAGGTGTTCATAAATTGCTCCTTCTCTGCTCGCAGATGTCCACAAATCTGTCCCATCTGAGTGATGCGAGCAAAGATGTCAAAATACTCCATCTGGCTAAGAGAGCCGATTGGGAAAATTGAGATTAGAGAATGACGAGGATACCATCCAAGACAAGTTGAAAATTGATGAGTATCCGGCTAGGGTACCTTGGGTTTGGTAATTCCGTACTCACAAGTTGTGAGCCCCCGAGGGTTAGTTCCCCTTATTGTGGTATATATTATTCAAAGTCAAATCTATTGGCTTTATGACTTTTAGACGGTTTTATAATTCGCATATAAAAGGACTGACAAGGTCAGGTGAACTATTGATCGATCCAAGCTGGCTGCTGATGGAATGTTCATTAAAAAACTTCTACAAAAAATGGCATTCCGTTTGCGTGAGTACAGTGAACATTGCGCAAATTATGTCATTGAATTGATGTTCTACAATTCTCATATTTTTGGAAACCTGCCAAAAAAGCAAAAAAAATCTTTTGTCAATAATCAAGTTTAGGCTGAAATTCAAGTGTTTGTACTCATGAATACTAACTTTTATTCAATAAAAACCCTGTCCCCCTGAATAACCTAATTTTGTATGGCGATTTTATACTTGCATAAAAAATGCCCCATAAGGCGCTGTGATTTTGTCATCATGACAGAGAAAAGGTTTGCTCTAACTCTTTCTCAAACTTGCCTAGTCAGAAAAGTATATAATCTGTGGAAATGTTGCGATTTGGAGAGTATTCTAGTGGAGAAATTGAAAAAACCATCAACAATAATGTCATTTACGTATTTATCAAATTGTCTTAACGAGAAAAAACTACTCTTCCTACGGATAAGTGGAAAAGTATGCATTATTACAAAGCACTCTGAAGGCATATTAACTAAAAACAAACAATATAAACCTGCCGATCTATGTGGAATTATCAGACCACTGACATTTCCTGATAAAACTTTTTCCAGCTGCCAAGAAAAAATCTGCTGAAATATCATCAGGAACAGCAACAGTTGTGAGGTCAAAAGGAACTAAAGGCTTATCAAAATCACCATCTCAAAATATTGAGAAGGAACTTGTTGATGAAGAGGTCGATGAAATCATAGCTGGAATTTTAAGTGCCGAGATTGTTGGAGAAATATCCAGTGCCAACTGGAAAACTAGGTAAAATTGATTTTTTATATTCTAGAGGTTTACTAAAAAATGCTTTAGTACAAGCATATCAACAACATTGTGTTCATCAACTGCAACAGAAAGACAGTACAGGGTTGGAATTTTTGTATTGTATGAATCAGTTTCTCATAAATCAATCAACCATATTGTTAAAATGTGTACAAGGAAATTATTTCACTCTTGCAATCTGTTAGTTATTTATTTGAAGTAGAGGTAGTGTCGAAACTATTAATTTTAGGTCAAAACGGCTTACATGTCCCTATATTAACTTTTGATTTACTATCTACTGACATTCAATTGGAACAGATACAGGGTGATCAGAATTCTGAATCTTGAATCTTGTATTGTTACAATTTTTCATACTGCAATGCTGATCAACTTGGACTATCCAAAAGTATTTTGGTTATACTAGTATGATAATAATGTATTTGAAGAACACCCTATAACAAAACAATAACATTGTTGAACTGCTAACAGAAAGACAGTACAGGGTTTTAATTTTTGTATTGTATGAATTAGCATCTCATAAATTATAGTTATTTATTATACAAGGGAAAAAAGTAGTAGATTTTAGCTCCAGGTTGTGTTGTCTCCCGACGCGTAGCGGAGGGAGACAAAAAACCGTGAGCTAAAATCTAATGTTTTTCCCGTGTATAATACACTATTTTTTGCTGTGACAGAAGGAAGGACGAATCAATATTGAGAAGATATTACATTATTTCGAAATCTGAAAATTATCGACGTGAAATTTCAAGTTTTTAACAGTAGGGACACCTGCGTTTTATAGACATCTTTATCATTCTTTTGAAGTAATCAAATATCTGATGTGACTTCTGTCAGTTCAATTCTGTGATTCGATTTTGAAAAATTGCGAATTCAGTAGTTGTTTAGTAATATACGAAACCGCGAAGTCGAATGGAAGATAAAAGGACTTGCAGTTCTTTCTCGGAGACGGTATTATTGACTCATTTTTCGGAACTATAGCACAACAAAAGTCATTAACAGAGTATATATAATATGTGATATATATTCGGGAAAGAAGTACTCACTTTTTTCCCACGGGAAAAAAGTAATTTATGAAAAGTGACATTTTATAACCTGCCAACAGAGATGAAATGCCAAACTTTTTTCCCGTCACAGAAAAAACCATATTATTAAAATATGTACAAGGAAATTATTTCATTCTTGTAATATGTTAGTTATTTATCTGAAGTAGAGGTAGTGTCGAAACTATTCATTTTAGGTCAAAACGGCTTACATGTCCCTATATTAACTTTTTATTTACTATCTACTGACATTCAATTGGAACTGATACAGGGTGATCAGAATTCTGAATGTTGAATCTTGTATTGTTACAATTTTTTATACTGCAATACGGATGAACTTGGACTATCCAAAAGTATTTTGGTTATACTAGTATGATAATAATGTTCTTGAACAACACACTATAACAAAACTGTAGGACGTCCCATTTTTTTACCGGTGAAAGTGTTTCAATAATGAATTGGCCGAAAAATTCAGATAGTCATGTCATATTGTCATCAAAAGGCTTAAATTTATGAATTTGGTCCGATTTCAGGATTCACATTGAAGGGAAAGTATCATTTCACATTAGTTCCAAAATCATCTATTCTGTACACAGATAAATTTCGATTGAAATGCCAAAGCTTTTCAAAACGGAAACATATTAACAGTCTAATTTATCAACTAGGAAAAAGCCAAATGCTCAAAGTGGAATGCAATGGTCACAAATAGAGAAAAACTCAAAGTCATTTCCACACTAGTTCATAAAATGAACGAAAATGGTAGATAACGAGAGAAAAACAACTACAGTCTGTATAATATTTCTTTGCGCGTACGTCACAACTTCAAAAAACCAATCAAATCAATTCAAGGTCATATGTTCCAGTGGAGCAAAAAAAAATTATCCACTACTCCAGGTAATTTTGACTAAGAAACATTCAATAAAACATGGGATTGGTTTATATTTCAAGTTTCAACTCTTTAATTCGTCAATTTATTGAAGGTAAAAACATCAGAACTTTGGTATGTATATACGTATGGGTTGGTATATGAACCGATATACACACTTTGTACTTTGATCTTGCCATGATCTCATCTTTTTCCCTCTCGCAAATATCCAAGTTTCATCTAAGATGAAGATTTGTCTAGGGTAACTAGAATTGTCATTTTCATAAATCTTTCTGAAAAACTCTGCTCTCATTATAGATATGTCCGTCTTCTCAACCAATAACCGTCTGTTGTCCTCTTTTTTATATTTGAATCCTACATTAGATTAGATTAGATTAGATTTAGAATGGGGCCTTCGGGCTATCTGCCTCCACACCGCGACCTTTTCAGATCTATTGTGTCTGCCCTCAAAATCGATTAGAGTTCTTCGGCTAGCCCCGTCTTCTCTATGAGACTCCATAGGCTAGCTTTCAGATCCCCTGTGTATCTCTGGGCTTCTGGTTTTTCCTCACCCAGCGTAAGGAACCTTAGTCTTGACAAGCCCTCACAGTGGCAAAGTATGTGTACTGCTGTTTCCTCCTCTTCCTGACAGAACCTGCACAGCAGTTCTTCAGTCAGACCTATCGTACTCATGTGTTTGTTGAGCCTACAATGCCCTGTGAGAAGTCCCACTAGTATTCTAGTTGAACTTCGTTTCTGGCTTAGTAGATATTCTGTGAATGTTGGCGATGGTTTTTTAATAAACTCTTTTGCCTGTCTCATTCCTGGCGATTTGTTCCACCATTCTTGAGATTTGGTTTGCATCCATGATTTGATACTAGTCTTTTGTATAGCTTTCGCAATACCACAGAAGGGTTCTGGGCCATTCAGAGCTTTGTTTGCTCCTGCTCGGGCAAGTGAGTCTGCCTCTTCATTGCCCTCGTACCCTGTATGTGCTGGTACCCATGCTAGAGTCAGTCTGTTCTGACTGCCCAGTGCATTTAGGGTTTCTAAGCAGTCCCATACTAGTTTTGAGTTAACTTGCATAGAGTTGACTGCTTTGATTGCCGCCTGGCTGTCTGAATAGATTGCAATGGTTTTGCCTTTAAACTCTTGCCTTATCAATTCTTTCACGCAATGATGTATTGCAATAATTTCTGCCTGAAACACCGTCGCGTATTTACCTAAGCTCAGTGAGATTCTTGTCTTTGGCTTGGCCCCATAAATACCGGCTCCTGATCCAAACTCAGTTTTGGAGCCGTCCGTATAGACAGCAATGTCTGCATTGATAGGAGGTCCTTCCTTCCATGCCTCTCTGTCCGTTATACTTATTTTAAAAGTTTTTTCAAAGCTATATTTTGGAATTATGCCATCCGTTGGCATTCCCATGATGGGGTCGCTTTCCAACTCTTCATATAGCTTTCTATAGTCTTTACCGTGCGCGTTGCTTATGGGTGCTTGACCCCTTGACAATCTACTCACGACTGCTCTGGCTTCGCCTTGAATATATATTTGTAGTGGTGGTAGGTTCAAGAGGACCTCTAAAGCGGCTGTTGGAGTGGTTTTCATTGCACCAGTGGCACTCAGGCAAGCTTGCCTTTGAATAGCACTGAGCCTTCGAATCACTCCAGCCTGAATCCTACATTTGTGAGAAGTTTGTTCAATCTGCCTATACTTGCGTCAAGAATATGTTCAGTTCTGGGTTCTTCTTTCAAAATTCTAAGAGTGATGTGTTTTTCTGTAAAATAGTCGTTTGAAGGTAGTTAAGAAGTATCAAATGAAATCACTTACTTTCTGCATACATAGTATAGATCACATTGCGTACTTCCATTTTCAAATTATCATCCAGATATACTGTCTTGGGGTTTTTTAGTCCTAGATTCTCCTGGCGTACTCAATCGTTTCTCTCAGAACGTACTTTGATACTCGAAACTGTCCGCACAATAATATTGAGGGCATCAGCGACACGCTGAAATTATGTACATCATGATGGTATTCTTGAAATAAGGTCTGACTTTTTTTATTATTGATCAGGAAGAATTATGATTTACCTGTTGTATGGAAGTAAACGGGATTAAAGGACCATTATTATCTTTCTCTCTCGTGAAATATTGTAACAAATTCGATACAAGACTTCGAATTCAAACGTCTTCCTGGCATGTTGAATATTTGACAATGGCCACGCAAAACGATGTCATTTCAGCACCTACTGCACGCCTCTGAATTAGCTGATTCAAATGTGTCTCGACATACGAACACCTCTTTATCAAGCTTTTATCCCGTTGAGTTCAAAAACGGTGTCGTTACTTATGTCAACAAACGTCATGATAGACATTGCTGCTCTATATGCAAGTCTGAAGAGGATAGCAAGTTGCGCGTTGGTCTATGCTAATTTCAGTCACACGCAAAGAAATATTATACAGACTGTACTTTCCTGGCTATATGCCATGCAGAACATTGAATTGCATCCTCCCGAAATCTATGCAATAATTCGTACAGACGAATAAAATTGCAAGTGTTTCCTTCCTAAACGCCGAGCTGCGCCTAAGTGGTTCAGGAACGTGTGACTACCTGCAGACCGGTTTCGAGCTATTGGCTCTCATCAGTACAGGGCTGTCCCAGATAGCTTCTTGACCGCTATCTGGTGCGAACCTGACCCAACGTAAACGCATCTCAGCATTTATTCCACACGAGACATTCAACGTCCGCGAAATGAAAACGCGAACGCCGAACGCCACCTGGCAAGGAAAGAAACACTCCAAAACAAGATCCCATTTCAGGTGAAATAAGAGTGGCTGATTGCCCGACTGGCGTATTTTCAACTAGGAAAAAGCCAAATACTCAAAGTGGAATGCAATTTTCGTTCATTTTATGAACTAGTGTGGTAATGACTTTGAATTTCTCTCTATTTGTGAGTCTAATTTATGTCAAACGCCAAATGCTGCCAGCGATCTTTTTCAAATAAAATGGAAACATCTTTGATATTTGTAGGCTCTCAGCTGCTGAGCAAATAATGACAGAAATTCAAGGTATGGACTCGAAAACTGTACCCACACAAGCGCTGGTAAAGTTCATAGCTAAACGACCTGGCCTGAAAGACACGAATTTCCAAGTGCTGAAAGCCAAATTAGACATCGTGAAATATCTTGCAGAGAATTGCAAATTCACATCGACGACAGCTAATTGTTGCGTTACCGAAGTTGCTGAGAAATTTTCGGACGCCAAAAATGGGGCCGCGGCAGCTGAAACGTTGTCTGCCATTGCTGAAGCCACGAGTCTTGGACAAGTTGCAGATATAGTTTTGGAGTTTGCTTTCGGGCAGAGAAGTCCCAAGGTGCAACAAGAGGCGCTTGTGTGGTTGTCTGGTGCCATCAAGGAATTCGGATTTGGGTAGGTCAAATTTTCATAAAGATATTTTCTGCATCTGCCTTTGAAAGATGAAAAAAAGTATGGTTAAAAGTTGGATGATACTTATAGAACAGTTGAGTCGTGTCAATCAATTAGTAGAATCATTCATTTTACTGTGACCACTTTGGAATGTTTTTTTTTTAGAAATATGAATGTCAAACTCCTGATCGATATGTGCAAAAAAGCCCTATCTTCAACGAATCCAGGAGTAAGACAGACAGTCATCACTCTTCTGGGCATCATGTACCTCTATATGGGAGCTACCCTGAATGTGTTTTTTGAAAATGAGAAACCTGCCTTGAGAGACCAAATCAATGCTGAATGCGATAAGTACGAGGGGCAGAAACCTCCTGCACCTACCAGAGGTAAGTAATGTTCCGGTGGCTATTTCAGTTTGTGAATCAGTTTGTCAAAAATCTTTTCAATTGAATCGGCTCTATCATTTATTGCTTTTTGTTGTTATATTGTTGTTGTTGGTGTGTTGTCTGCATGTAGTATGTGTATATGCACTACTACTTGAAATATTTATTGTATCCCCTTCTCTTGCTATTTCAAGCTGCGTGGCTATATAAATTCCACTAATCCACTCTGTTCCGGGAATTTTAGAATATGAGGTGTGTTTAGGTTAGTCCTCTTGTTCATTTTTGTACCTCTCGGTGTGTTGCTTTTGGGTTCTTAGACCGGCAGGTAATGACATATTAGTCGCGTTTGTTTGTGATTCTCTGGTGTAAGAACTGTGTAGGAACGAATAAAACGTCAATGGCAATGACAATGACATTGATGTGATAACAACCGTGTGATAACCACATGCAATCAAAATAATAAAAATAATAATCATCGATAAAAAACATCAAAAGTTTAGATTCGATCAATTTGTGGATCTTTGGAGTGAATCCATGGATTGATGATACATATTAAATATTGGTTTTGGTATATACGTGCGGGCTGTGGGGTAGGTACGTGGGAATTTCTGATTATGACTAATCAATTATCATTCCCTAGACATTGGTGTTATTCGATATTATCAAATTTCGATAGTGCATATATATGAATAGGGAATATTGTAGTGAATCATGCAGTGGGCACCATATTATGGAAATGGAAAGTGCACTGAAACTTTATATTTGTTACCTACCTAGCGACATTCTTCATGAAATTATGGATTCATAAGATGACATAATTGAATCCAGGATGATGAATTGTAAAAAAATTTTCTAAAATTGTTCTATCCGTCATTCGGTTGCCCCTCAGAAGTCTTTGAGGGTCTTCTGCGAACAAGGAATGACGGGGGCCTGTAATTTTAACTTGTGATCCCAAACACTTCTTTGGGTCATCAGAAAAATTTCTGCAGTCGCTAGGAATTGAACCCACGACCGGCAAGCGAATGCGGATTAGAATACTGACACTCTGTCCGCAAAATATGTAATGAAGAAGTCCAAAAAATTGAATTTTTTTTTGAGATTGTAATACCAAAATTCGATACAAAGAGCTTTCAGAGCCAGTTTTCGTCTTTTCCATCATTAGGTACCTCCCTATTCCTTATCTACTATTTTTATTCTACAAAAGTTTTTGATAAAAAAATTATTATGATGCATGTCAAATACCCTCATTTGTCAAACATTCCACCACACATTCAATGTTCTGAGACCGAATGGCCAGTGCCACCAGGATGATAAGACATTCCACAGAATAGTCAATAAAACGGTGATTCTGTCCCACTGGTGACACTAGCAATGCCAATAAAACGCAACTATTGTCGGACGTTATTTCAACCAGTATGCCTCTTGGAGGGTATCATTATGTATATATTTTGAAGTTGAAAAATGATACATGAAAGAAAAAATGATACATGAAAGAATCCTCCCGGGTTATTCATGCATTTAAGCATGTTTTCAAGGTTTAGGTATACTTGCACATGCGCAAACGGTATGTAATTTTTTCCGTAGCATATGTATAAATGTATACCACAAACATGTATACTTCTTGAAGGCTGCCTGTGTGAAAACGAGGAAAAATTACTCTAAATGCAACTAGATCTGACGCATATCACTTATATTCCATTTTGGAACACATCCAGCTAGAGTGAAATCGTATTGAAACGCCTAATTTGCGAACAAATAATGTTAATTAACTTTAGTGCATCAAGGACCTGGGAGAATTCTTTCCTATATCATTTTTTAACATCAAAATATATTATGATACCCTCCAAAAGGCATACTGGGTGGAATCACGTCCGAACATCTGTCACTACCTGCCGGTGTATTTTTCAGCTCGCAATGCCCCGTTAGGATTCATTTCAATGGCCATTTCTCATCGATTTCATGCTTTGCGTGCCGAAATATGAAACAAACATCCTTGAAAGCCAGTGAATGGATCAGGAAACAACTCCCTAATTGAACTTGGCCTACTCAGTATTCTAACAACAAGTTTCTTATATAACGTGACTCACTGTGACCAATACGGGAATATAAACTACTCAACACTAATTTCGTCGCACACCAAAATGTCGCCCCTGTTATAATGTGAATAACTTTTTCCAGTTTAGAACAATTTGAATTTGGTTCACACTGTTCGATAGCTCAGTCCTTCAGCTATAATCTCGTACTTCATTGAAACATAAGGGTATTCACATAAAATCTCTACATGGTGTTTTCCGACACTGTGCGAAATTTCGGAATATTCAAAAGGCTCTCAAATGGTGCAAAAAAATGTATTCTCAACTTCGACAACAGAGGCATGAAGATGATCTCATTACCTCGACATATTTCGCGAATCAACATCCTACCTCTATTATTTACAGAGTGATCTCAAAAAATCAACTTTTTGGTTTTGCAGCCATAACTTTTTTCGACGTCAACCGATTTTGGAAATCTTAGGCTCATTTTGAAGATAAAACTTCAGATGAAGAGATCTGAATATCAGAATCGACTCAAGATGGCTATCAAAGTTCTAGAGTTTTCTTGAAAGTGACCCAAATCTGAAACAGCCTTCGAATCTCGGTTGGGAGGAGAATTGAATGAAAATCAACTTGTTCTCGGAAAAAGAATTCATTCTGGATGCGTCCATATTTTCCTCGCTCTCAGTAGTCAAGAATTGTGCGTGAGAAAACACAATTGAAACAATCATGTTCCTGCAAAAACATTAGATCATTTCTCCTCTGTAATGCTTGGCCCGCCGTAACCAACGTTTCAAGAATCACAATGAGTGACTGACAAACCCGACCAGCTGAGGCTCATCATAAATGGTGTACCAACAAGAGCAACAGATTTTGATTTTTTGAATAAAGTGATTTTTTCAACAGTAAGTTGTCACGTACATAACATGCGATTTAAGAATATGGAAGAGTATTCAAACGAACAACGTTTATTTATTGTAAAAACGCATTTCAAAAATGGTGAAAGTTTCACGAAAACAGTCGCAGTAATGCGCCGAACGAATCGACAGTAATAACCAAAGAATTCGTTTCGGAGATTAGCCCTTTGAATGGATCGGAATGTCGTGTTTAGCCGTTACCACCGAATCGGTGGTAACGGTTTAGCAGATCCGCGATTTGGAGGGAAGATAACCCTTGTTCCCTCATTTGTGGAATCAGTTCCAACTGGTCAGGCGTCAGATGCGGCATCGAAACTATCAAAATCTGTTTATGATTCGAAAACGACGTCTAACCTGACTTGTCAGTCAATTACTGTGATTCTTGTAACGTTGGTTACGGGCCATGCATTACAGAGGAGAAATGGTCTGATGTTTTTGCAAGAACATGTTTCAATTGTGTTTTCTCACGCACATTCTTGAGTACTGAGAGCGAGGAAAATATGGACGCATTCAGAATGAATTGTTTTTCCGAGAACAAGTTGATTTTCATTCAATTCTCCTCCCAACCAAGATTCGGAGGGCGTTCCAGATTTGGGTCACTTTCAAGAAAACTCTAGATCTTTGATAGCTATCTTGAGTCAATTCTGATATTCAGATCTCTTCATCTGAAGTTTTATCTTCAAAACGAGCCTAAGATTTTCAAAATCGGTTGACGTGGAAAAAAGTTATGGCTGCAAAACCAAAAAGTTGATTTTTTGAGATCACTCTGTAAATAAGAGAGATAGGAAGTTGATTCGCGAAATATCTCGAGGTTATAAGATCATCTTCATGCCTCTGTTGTCGAAATTGAGAAAACATTTTTTTTCACCATTTGAGAGCCTTTTGAATATTCCGAAATTTTGCACAGTGTCGGAAAACACCATGTAGAGATTTTATGTAAATACCCTCATGTTTCAGTGAAGTACCAGATTATAGTTGAAGGACTGGGCTATCGAACAGTGTGAACCAAATTCAAATTGTTCTAAACTGAAAAAAGTTATTCACATTATAACAGGGGCGACATTTTGGTGTGCGACGAAATTAGTGTTGAGTAGTTTATTAAGCGATTTTGTCTCTCCTATGGTCAGATCTTCTCTTATATCAATCTGAAATGCATTTGAATAAAACAAATACTTGTTCAATACATTCAGTGATCAATATCAGCAAACATCAATCGAATGATATAACAAATTCATTAAAATGACATTGAGGCCATTGAGCTATCTTTTCTGTACCATCTTTTTCCAACTGTCTTATAGAAGTTTTCTAGTTCTATAAAGGCGTTTGATAGCCTCTACTGGCGAGTTTGTTCATATGCAGTCATTCGGCTAGCTGGGCTATCTCGTTCAGTTATCCCGAGTATTCTCAAACCATCTAACAGTTCAACGCTTTTATAGCCACTCGGCTATCAAACAGGACTATAATGTTTTGTTATTGATACTTTTTCTCCAAACTGTCCTGTTTATGAGTTTGGTGAGGCATTCGGAGTACCGACTTGGTCCGTAAACTTCTATTCTAGTTCCATCTGTTTTTTTCTTGGTTCCTATCAGGTGTTGTGAAATCTGCTAGCAGGGATAGTTTAGATGTAATAGAAGACGATGCTGAACCAGAGCCGATCAACATTCAAGATCTCATTCCAAGGGTAGACATTAGCGGTCAAATCACCGAAACGTTAATCAATGAATTGGCTGACAGAGATTGGAAAGTGCGACACGAGGCTCTCAACAAGCTGATGGCGATCATACAAGAAGTGAAATTCATCAAATCGAATCTGGGCGATTTGCCGCAACCTTTAGCCACCAGGCTCACAGACAGTAATGTCAAAGTAGCCCAGACGGCCCTAGGTCTTTGCGAGAGCATTGCCAAAGCGATGGGTGCTCCGAGCAAGCAGTATATTCGAACGTTCTTTCCTGGAATGTTGCAAGGTAATGGTTCCATTATAATTTTATAATCAATTGGCGCAGTCGGTAGGATATGGTAGTAATTACTGACAGACAGTCATAGGCTGCTAACCCTGATATTGGATATCAAAATATTCCTATTACATATCACTATCATTTATTCGGAAGTTGATGTTGGCTACTTATTCGTGAAACTTGCGAAGCCTCCAACAAAATTTTCGTGAATATTGGTAAATTTTGAATGTTGGTAAAATTGAAACTAGTATGTGAAGAGACACTGAATCAGCAATGAAGTAAATATAAAAATGTGTGATATGGAAGTATTGCCACATACAGTGTGACCCACTTCTAATGGAAACACCCCTGTATCTTACGTAATCGTTGGGTAAGGATCCTGAAATTTGCTGGAGCGAGAGATATACCAAGGATGCACTCTATGACCAAGTGGGGTCATCTTCAGTGATATACACTGCTCGCCAACAGCCATGGAACCACCCCAATTTCCGCAAAATGATATTAGGAGTCAAAATAGGTCGAACATCCCTTCAGATTCGGGATCAGGACGCCCAATTCACTAACTATTCATACTTCTCCTGGAAAATATTCAGTTCTGAAAAATTAAATGTTGTCGCACTTTTTACGGAAGTACCCCCGTATCTCACGTAATTGGCTTTATCTCTGGATGCTCCCTTCCTCCTGCAAATTTCAGAACCCTACCTCAATAATTACGTGAGATACGGGGGTGCTTCCATGAAAAGTGGGACAAAATTTAATTTTTCTGAACTGAAAATTCTCTAGGGAAACTATGAATACCTAGTTAGTTAATTGGGCGTCCTGATTCCGAATCCAAAGTGATGTTCAACCTATTTTGATTTCTAATATCATTTTCCGGAAATAGGGGTGGTTCCTCGGCTGTTGGCGATCAGTTTATATCACTGAAGATGACCCCACTTGGTCATAGAATGCATTTTTGGTATACTTCTCGCTCCAGCATATTTCAGGATCCTTATATACCCAACGATCACGTAGGATACACTGGTGTTTCCATTAGAAGTGGGTCACACTGTATATAAGGGCCATCAGTTAGAAACTTACATCTCGAAATCCGGGTTACGCTTGGGTCCGTTTTTCTCGGAAATTTTGACAAAAATGATGAGGATCATTTTTGTTGGTAATAAACTACTCTTCTTTTGTGTTCAGACACAAATTGCCTCAGTGTCATATTTTGGCCGATATAGGGGGAAAATAGTCGGGAAAATCGCATTTTGGGTCAGAGTCCCTCCGGTGGACATATTTCTAGAGAGTAGTCTACCCTACAAATTAAGAAAAAAAAAGTATGGAATCTATCTGATGTCATGGTTGGTACCTTCGTTCATTGGACTAACTGGAAGGGATTTAAAACTGAATGTCATGAATATCTGCACTGTAATTCAATACAAAATGAAAGTTCACTCACAATTTTGAATAATCCACCAAAAGAAATCAACCATCTGACCATGATGAAAATAGACTGGTGTAACCACTTGTCAATTGTTTCTTTCCAAAACGTGTAGACCGCGAAACACCGTAGCAAGGCCGCACCGGATTGACTGTAGATGGCGTAGGGAACATCGTGTCACATATACTTCACAGATATAATGAAAATTTCACGTCTTTTTCATTAAATCAATCACTTTTTCTCAATGTTTTTGAATTACGAATTAATATACGTAAATGTAAACAACAAAACAATACAACCATTGTGTAGCAAGATCACTTCGATAACAGCGCCATCTAGCGTTAGTTTTGCGCGGCCTTACTACGGTGATAGAATTCGACATAATCAAGTAGGCCAGAGGTCTACAAAAATTTCTAGGGTTTTCTAAGAGGGAGCTATTTCACCATATATATATCCACCTTTCATCTGACTAATTATGCAATGCAATTTTTCAGACCACTAATTTTCAGATAGGTAGGTAGGTATTATTGAGCCCAAATTGGCATCATTGTCAAGTCCATTGTGCATTTTATTGGCACTCGCGAGTAGGTGGGTCTGGTAGGAGCTTTACCAATCCAAATTGCTCGCGCACTAACATCACTCGTCTCGCGGCCATGTCTGATCGAATTCGCTCGTTTATTTTAGCATGTTCAATAATTTTTTACATGATGAATTGATTGAAAAAATCTCAAAAAATTATCTTAAGGTATTTATATATTTCGAGAGATATTTTTCCTAGAAATGACTGGAAAGGCTCATTGTTATGCATTTTTGAAAAGCAAAGCATCGATATTTTAAATATGAAAAAATATACAGACTTCCAGCTTTAATTAAAATTTAGTTCAAATTACCGCACAGGAAAATGGCATTTTTCAATCATTTTGCTCAGGATAGTGATCAGCACAGGTACCCTTTGATAAAATAAAATGTTTTAACATGCCTTCGGGAAATAATTCATTTTGTTATCAGATAACGGTCGGAATTTGCAGCCAGCTCCAGCTGTCATACAGGGGGTCCTGAAATGCAACATTTTCAATTTTGCCCTGTATCTCTATCTCTATCATGAATTTCTTTGTGATATCGTGAGTTTCACACAAAAGTATCCAACGTTCGCGAAAACCTCAAATCTGTATATTTAAAAATAAGTGAGATATCCCATAAGGACATAAAAAATGGGACAGTCTTTATAATACTATATGGAATTCCTAACATATTCATTTATTTATTCACGGAAATATCCATTACAACACTGTACAAGAACAAAATCTTGAAACAATAATAATAATTGCAGTCTTTAAAATATTCCTACAAATGCTCACTAGAAGGACATAACACACCTACTTCAAAACTGTATCAGTATCACTGAGCCAAATATTTTTTTAGTTCAAGTCTAAAAGTAGGTAAGGGTATGCCGAAGTAGTTAAAATCTACATCATTTGCATTCTTTACCGTTCTTGTTAGAGGGCTGTGGAACCCATAGTATCTGTAATGATGCTTGATATGAAAGGTGTCATTTGACCTAGTGCTAGAATTATTAATTTCAAACTCAATATGACATAGGAGATCTGTAGAGCAGACTTCACCAGCTAGCAGCTTGAACAGAAAACATAAGTCGGCTTCAATTCTCCTGTTTTCTATGGTAGCTATTTTTAATAATGAGCATAGGGATGGATAATCATAGTCATAGCTGTCAACCTGAATTCCTAGTTTATTAGCTGAAGCTCTTAAGAATTTGTGTTGGATGGTTTCCAGTATGTTGATGTAAGGCTGATAATAGGTGTTCCACACCACCAACACATACTCCAAGTTTGGACGTATGTGCATGAAAATTGATGTGTGTTTTACATATTTATATTTATATTTAAACTTCAAGGTTTGAGTGATAGTAAGGCTACATTGAGGGCATCTTCAAGAGAAGCTATAAACACTTTCAGCGAGCAGTGTGGATATAAAGAGTTTTTCGATAATGAGATGGTTTCCGAGGCACTAAAATCTGGTTCTCCAACTCTCAGAATTGAAATGTGGAACTGGCTTGCTGAAATTTTACCAAAAAGTAAGTTTCAACATTATGCTGATTTTCATTTAGTTTGTAATCACAATGTATTGAAATGTCAAGACCCTCAAAGAAATGAATTAGAATTTGTTAGGTCAATGTATCTTTTGTTCACAGTTCCTCCTAAAGGAGTCCCGAGAGAAGAACTTATAGTATGCGTCCCTTATTTGTATAGTAATCTGGAAGACAGGAATGCCGAAATAAGAAGAAATGCGACTGATGCGATCTTGGGCATAATGATACATGTTGGTTACGAGAACATGGCGAAACAAACCGAAAAACTGAAACCCGGATCTAAGACTGTGGTCTTGACCGCCTTGGAAAAGGTCAGACCAAATTTACCAGCAAAACCGTTACCAAAGAAGGCTCCAGAAAAGGAAGAAAAAGCTCTCAGGGGGACCAAACCAGTGGCTAACGCCAAAACTGCTGTTAAGCCAAAGGTATACAAATTCATTTTAAAATGATGGCAATCGTATTGAATTGTGTTGTCACAATTTAGCGATTTATTTAATCTTTTAATTCTTCCCTATGTGCATACAGGGTCATACAAAATTCGGGAACCTCTGATTACCAACATAGTTTGAATGTGTTTGTATTTAAGAATATAAGTTATCTGTAATTTTATTCATTTTCTGTCTCACCATCTTCTTTTTTGTGATGAAAAGCTGTCTGACAAAAGAGCTAGATATAAGTTGAATATAACTGTTGTAGAATTTCGTCTACACTCACCTGCGAAAAAAAACCGGCCTGCAAAAAATTTATCCAAACCGATATCCCTGTAATTTTTTCAATACTTGTCCGATTATGGTGAAATTCCGACTAAATCGTAAACTAATGTTTCGTAATATTAACCGTAATAATTATAGTTTCCAAAAAATCTGATGGCTTGGTCGTTGTACAGGGAAAAACAAAAGTTACTATTTCATGAAGTGTGATCTCACCATAATTTTTTCTGATCAACATCAAAATCTTCTTTTCAGGATGAGATACAAGTATTTTTAAGAAAGTATGAATTTTCTTGAATTTGCAGAAGCTACATGAACTTAATTCCACCCCATTTCAGCACTCACCAGCAAAGGGAGTAGTAGCGACAAATTCCCTAATATTTTCAAATATTCAAGAAGTAGTTCCTATTCTTGAAAAGGGTTATATTTCGGAAGTGGATAATTTTCAGACAATTTCTATCATCTGCATATTTTCTAAAACTGTTGAAATCTTTTGAAAAATCAAATTCAGAATTACTTTGGATCCAATAACTTTCCGAATAATATTAAATTTCTCAAGAATAAATCGACATCACAGGCTATGATGATTTTTGTGAGAGAGATAGTCGAGGGTCTTGAAATGGGAAATCATACTGCTATCGCCTTGTGTGACCTAACCAAGGCAATTGATGGTGGCTCATAATATTCTTCTGAAAAATTCTTCCTACTATGGTTTGAGAGTAGTAGTTTCATCAGTTAATGAATCATATTTAGAAACACGTTTCCAAGGTTAGTTTCAAGAACACTTCCTGTTGTACATAGTGGACCCCAAGGTTCGGTCCTCGGGCCACTACTGTTCATAATTTATTTAAATGATATATTTGAGTTCATGCAACCCACCAAGCGTGCCTTGTTTGCTGACGATATACTTATTTGTTCTGGAAGTAATTATCAAGATATCATCACCGAAACAGATATAATCGAAAAAAGAGTTGAGGAGCTATTAGAATATATTGAATTGAAATTTTGCAGGTGAGTGTATATAAAAAATCATACGGTCACATGATTAACGAATGAAAATGATTTATTCATATTCATATTATAGCCTAATATGATAACAAATGCAACCATAAAAATGACGAAAGTATGTATATTGGTCATATTTGAGATAAAAAAATCCTCTATTGACTTAGGCACATCTGGAACCCACAACTACCAATCGAGGTCCGGCATGTTCTACATATTTCAAACACGAAAGGAAAGAAATGTATACTGTGCTCCATTTGAAAAAATCATTTTGACTCTAAAACCACGTGAACAATTGGGGCAACTATGCTCATGGTAGTATCCAAAGAAAGTATAGATCAAACCCTACAATTTTTTTGTTCAAATTCTTTTTTTAGCTCTTTCAACAAACCAGTTGAAGGGAGTCCTAAATGTGTGACCCTGTACCGGGTGATACGTTATAAAGTACCACCCCCAGTATCTCAGTATTAGTATCTTCTATTCTTGACAGTTGAAAAAAAAAAGAGCCTCGCAGGGTATTGATTTTTTTCCTTCCGATCAAAAGATAAGTTTTCACACTCTAGTTTTCACTATCTCAGAATATATACAGGAAGCAGCAAATAACAAAAAGTTTATGAATTTCAAATAGATCACCCTACATATTTCTTCATAATTGGAAAGGCCTTTCAAAGAACTTTCTAAAACTGCCCCACTCAATAGAGTTTGAAGTGATTCGAAAGCTCTTACAGTAAATGAAGAACCTTTCAGTGAAAAATCATTCAAATTTTGCCAAATCAAGCAAAACAAAACTTTATTATCTTTCCTGTGATACCAGAATCAACTGCTGTTTCCAAAAACAAGATCTTCAGGAGATTGAGAAAGTAACAATAAAAAACATCATGCTGAAAAGAATTCACAAAGAAAAAGAAAATCAGGTGAATATTGAAAATGAATATCTTGAACAGCATGAAGTGCTAGAAAAAATCAGCATTCTATTGATAAAAAGTGCAATATCTAGAGAAGACGGAAAACATCGATGATAAAAAAATGCTAGACATAGACAAGGACAAAACAACCGATTCCACGAATTATACAAAAAAGTCTAGCACGGATACAAATCGCAGTTCACTCATTCACAACGAGATGGCACCAGTGAGATCTAATCTTCCAGGCAATGATCAGAGTCGATCCACGGTAATTAGTTCATGTTCTCTGTTCCGAGAACCAAGGAGAACTGACAGTGACAGCTGCCAATACTGTCATACACCAAAACATAAACAAAGGTAACCAAAATAATACGGCTAATGTAATCCAACGTGAAATTACTGAGAACAGTGATGATGATGGGGAATGTATCACTCAAAAACGCAGAAGAAGACTTTTTCGAAGAAACCTCGGGACAGCTGAAACCACAGAGGAAGACAACGATTTTCCGGCGCCGATAAATAAGTATGACTATATCAGTCTATATCTTTACCGGGTGAAGCGAGTTGCAAAAGGGGCGAAAATTCAAGAATATATGAAAAGAAATCAGGCTTCCAAAACGATGAAGTAAGAGTGAAAGAAATTACGACAGATACACAGCGGAATAAATGTTTCGTTGTCACAGCATCATTTAACAAAAAAGTTATATTGTTTATTGAATAACTAGCTTCCAGTCAGAAATAAAATTCAGGCATGAGAAGTTGATTACAAACAACAATAATAAAATAAAATAAGGTGACAACAACAACAAAAAAAATCTAAAAATGCTAAATCGATCAAGTCATAAAAATAGCCAGAGGGACGAATCAGTAGATGGCAAAGTATCAATTTTATCCATTTCGTAATGAAATCAGGTGTTTTTTAATTCAATTTTGAATTTTGAAATATGTCGTAGGCCGTATCTGCGCTTTGTAGATCATGAGAAGCTGTTGAGGTGTAAAGTAGCTTTTCGCTCGGAACAAGAATCCGAGTTTTTGTGAAGCAGCTTTTGCGATGGATCTGACATGATTATCCCATGAAAGAGTGTTGCTGATGGAAATACCGAGCATAGATATGGTGGGCTTCAAGAGAATCTATTTTATATAATTCATCCAATGAAATTTTTTCTGTTATAGCATACAGATCATTTGTTGGGATATCAAATGAGAGGCGATACAATACTTTCAGTGCTTTCTTATAAAGTGCAGATATTTTACGGAAATAATTTTTTGAACAATATCCCCAAACGTTTATCTTATAAGTAATACATCTGAGTATATGAGAATGAAGTACTATGTTTATGACTTTTTTGTCAAGTTAAGGACATCTTCGCAAAGCTCCAATGATTGTAGATATTTTTTGTATCAGAACTTCTATATGCTTGTCGTATTTCAATTTTTCATCAATCCACATACCAAGATACTTTATTTGTCTACTTCTTTTCGATACTTTATTTTTAATTTGGAGATTGAGACTAATATAATGTTTGTAACCTGAATTTTGGCAAAAATTTGTTGGAATCAAACGGTTCGACTTTAACAAACACAGGGAGATCCGCAATCAGCAAAGGGGCGGTGATTTTTTCTAAATAATTCACATGTGATCACAGATTTCATTGCAGAAGATCTCAACTCGGATTTTAATGAAAACTCGGTAAATTCAGATTACAAATGAATGAAACAAACGAAATAAAACTAAATAGTACAAATTCTTTCCAAGCTGTAATAAATGAATCTGAAAATTCATCAAATGTCAACACAAAGAATGTAAACCTATTGAATGACTATAAAAGTTACAAGTTTATTTGCTACTACCAGAACATTCGTGGCCTGAGACCTAAATTACATGACCTTAATAGAGTCTTGCAAGCATGTTATCATGATGTCATCAATTAAAAAGTAAATTACACAAGAAGTTCGAAAACTGGTTCTGTAGAGGATTATTTAGAATTATCCAAACTGCGGGAATAAACTAAATACCATAGTGATATGTGCTATTTACTTAATTTATCAAATACTGAACATATGATGACCAACAATATCAAGCAGTTTTGGTATTAAATTCTTTGAACAAAGAACATGGTTTGCCAAAAATATGGGAATATGATGGTAACTGTCTGGAAACCCCGCAGGAAATAGCGAATGCTTTCACTGAACACTTCCAATCGTGTTTCAAAATAACTGAACCTCAAAACATGGAAAATGTATACTAGTCAACACGCTTTCTCACTACATGACCATACTTTTAATGATAACGAAATTCAAAACAAATTGAAAAATTTAGATAAAAATAAAAGTGCTGGTCCTGACGGGGTTCCACCTATTGTACTGATCAACTGTTGCCAATCTCTATCTCATCCACTAAAAAATAGTTTTCAGAAATCATTCAATAGGAAAGACTCCCAACACTTGGAAAAATTCAGTTCTCTCTCCTATTTTCAAATCAGGGGGTAAAAATTATATAAAAAAATATAGAGGCAATTTCCAAAATTGCATGTATCCCAAAAGTGTACGGCTCGGTGGTCGAGAGCGTGAAGGCGCTGAGTTCGTATGGGGACTCCCACCGAGACATAGGTTCGAATCCTAGTTAGGCCATGGATGTTTGTGTTTGTCTGCTTACCTAACCCCGCACAAGTTTCGACTTATGGGGCGTTTGGTCTCAGTGCTGGGACCAACGAGGTAATGCAATTGCAAATATACTCACGGATGAAATATTTGAAACTTCTAAACATATTATATCAGAACAACAACATGGTTTCTTTAAAGGTCGATTAACCGCTACCAATCTAGGTGTTTTCCAAAAACGGTATGTTATAAATTCGGTAGGGGTTACCAGGTGGATGTCATTTATACAGATCTTGCCATGGCTTCTGACTTTTCTCTTATTTGAGCAGTAGGACACAGTACGTAAAAACAGTATATCAAATCCAATTTATTTGACTTCTGGAGTCCCCCAAGGGTCTCAAATTGATCCTATACTGTTCTTATTATTCATAAATGGTGTTACTGATTTATTTCAAAATTCCATAGTATCACTCATTGCTGACGATCTCAAATTTTATAAAGAGGTAACTCGTTTGAATGACTGCCAGATTATTCAACAAGACTTAGAGAAGTTTTGTAACGTTTGTGAACTGAATTTACTGGATATAAATGTTGAAAAATGCAAGGTGATGCATTTTTATAAAATACAAAATCCAATTGTATGCGAATATTTAATTTCAATTTGCGGTCTGTTGATTATATAAGTGATTTAGGTGTTGTGTTTGACAAAAACCTTAGTTTCAAACACCACATAAATAGTATATGCAATAAGGCCTTGAGAATGCTTGGATTTGTGAAGAGACATACTCAAAATATATCCAATATTGAATCGAAAAAAACATTATATCTATCGTTGGTACGTAGTGTTCTGGAATACAACAGTATAATCTTGTCGCCACTTTATCTTTCTCACAAGGAAAGACTTGAAAGAGTCCAGAATCGCTTTACAAAATTGATAATCTACAAAATGAGAATGTCTTTTCATGGATTCGATGCTACTATGAGGCTCACAATAGTGAACATTCCATCTCTTGATGACATACGCAAACTTGCTCTGATCTTGTTTCTGCACAAAATTTTAAATAACTCCATTGATTGCTCTGATATCCTGAAAAAATTGTTCATCAATGAAAATCCTAGGAATACTAGAAATTAGACAGTTTTTCTACTTGCAAAATCACCGAACTAATTATGGCAGCACTGCATTCACATCTAAACTTCAGAAGAATTACAATGATCATTTTTCTCATCTTGATATTTTCAATATTTCACTGAGTCGCCTTAAATCGCAAGCAATCGGGGATTTGAACCCACGATCATCAAGCGAACGCGATAGAATACTAACGCTTCAACCACGCGGCTGCCTGACCTGTATACAATTTTTGCTGCTCCATATATATTTTTTCCAGATGATCAAAATGTATCTATTGCTTCGAAAAGAAAAAAAACACTGAGGCTTTTTTAATTTGTTCTCTACCGTCAAGAATAACAGTAGGGGGTGGTACTTTATATCGTGTAACTCGGTACATACTTTTTTCAGGGTGCTGCCGTTTCAAAATCTGCTCCTCCAGCAACGGGCAGAAAGAAGGACGACGATATTGATACGTCTCCTCTGCTGGTCGTGAACAATTTGAAGCAGCAACGCTCAATAGATGAGGCAAAGTTGAAAGTACTCAAATGGAACTTCACACAACCCAGAGAGGAGTTTGTGGACTTGTTGAAGGATCAAATGATAACGGCGAATGTGAACAAGAATCTGATGTTCAATATGTTTCATTCAGATTTCAGGTTAGTTTTCATACAAAAAGGGCATTCTGAGTCTTCGTATTTCTCTTCGGATATTAGCGAAAATGACTTTGTACGAATATTATCTAATTGTAAAAACTTCACAAACGATAAGATTCACACAAAATTTTGTTGAAATCTTATCGCTCAGTCTACATTGCATGTGAAATGTCAACTCCATAAGTACTTATACAAAAGGATATGCGAGGGATCGGGAGTACCACTAGTATATATATTAATTTACAATAAATTATTGCTTGAAACATTTATACTATACACCAATGGTAAGGGTCATATTCAGAACATGAGAATTTTGAGACAAAATTGCATCCAAATGACTTGAAATTGCTGCTGAAAGTGTAGCCTCATTACTCTTAACTCCTTGTATCAATTAATTCTGATTGAACTGTTTCTCCTTCATTGTATTGCATATTTGATTTTATTTTTTTTTGTTTCCCTCTATAAACATTGTATGTTTCTTGGGATCAATAAATGTTATTATTAATTCATTAAAAAATTTGATCTTCGATACTCATTATTAGGTGTTGCAGTTCAGATGATCTGTTATTTTCCAAAATATCATGTTCATTTCTGGTAACCCTAACCCTGATTTGCTGGCGTCTGTCATCTTTATAAATAATAGTAATAATAATAATCCAGGTTTGTTTATCCCGTTTACCCACATGTGACGTCATCAGAAAGGAATTAAAAAATAATATGTATTATAAAAACCCTGGTATCTACCTATTATTCATGATTTGAAAAATAATAATTTATTTATAGGTTCCATATTAAAGCCTTGGAAGCACTTAACGACGATTTGGCAGATAACAGCCAAGCGTTGATTTCCAACCTGGACCTAATACTCAAATGGCTAACATTGCGTTTTTTCGATACAAATCCATCAGTTTTACTCAAGGGGTTGGAATATCTCCAGTCCGTTTTCAGCACGTTGATGGACACTAAGTATCGAATGCTGGAAAACGAAGCTTCATCGTTTATACCCTACTTGATCAACAAAGTAAGATACGCTAAATTTTGGAGATCCATGAAATTGAAAATAACATTGTTTTTTATTAATTACTGTGAACCGCTTGGTGGAAACTCGACTTGATTTCATGTATTTGCACTCAAGATACTGTGCTGTGCTATAAGACACAATTTATTGAGATTGCTCGATAATTAATTAATATAATTTTGAAATTTTGAGGATTTGTCAATTACCGACCAGACTAAATTTTGCAATTATTATGTATAAGTTCACACGAACTTGTAGTCCTAAAATGAGTCAATATGTATAGTATGTAACAGTTATAACAACCGATAGAATGGGCTTATATCACAAAAAAAATTTATTTCATAATTCGATAGAACTCACCCAAACTAGCTCACCACCGCAAACCGTTTCTTGCTGTGAGCTCCCTACATTTTATAAAAAATTATTGAAATCCCCGATTTTTCGGACCTCTGGAAACGAGGCGATGATGTGACGTCAAAACCCTAATACTGAAACAAGACAATTCCAGACAGAGATGAATGATACATGATTTCTGACATAGTGAATTAGCACGAGATCACAGTTGAAAGACTTGATATATCAGTTGCCTCAGTCTACGTCATAAGAGGGTCCGTTTTCAGAAGGTACTATTATTTATGCCCAAAAATAAAATATTCCAGTTAATTTTTCGATCGAATTATGTCGTCAATCATTATTTATGTATAAAAGGATCATTATAAACATGGTTTGAGTGGAAAGTTCTACTAAGGTGTACACACCCATTGAATGTATCGTTTCTTAGAAGTCGGTGTGTTTTTTTATAGATTGGGGATCCAAAAGATTCAGTCCGTAATGGAGTAAAAGCCCTGTTGAATTTGATAACTAGGCTGTTTCCTGTTAGTAAATTATTCACGTACGTTATGGAAGGTCTAAAATCGAAAAATGCAAGACAGAGGGCCGAGTGCCTCGAAGTCATGGGATCTATACTTGAGGATTATGGTACTTTTACCCATTCCAATTACGTTATTCTTCACATATAATATTTTTTGTATTTTAAGGTATAACAGTTTGCATGCCAACACCATCTGCATGTTTGAAAGAAGTCGCAAAACAAATTTCTGACAGAGATAATTCTGTGAGAAATGCAGCATTGAATTGTGTGGTGCAGGCTTTCAATATCGTCGGAGAAAAGGTTTACCGACTGGTTGGCAATGTGAGTACCCAGTACTTGGTTGAGAGATACTAATGCTTCGTCGAATGCTTGCTAAAATTAATTTGAAATTATTTTTTAATGAATTTTGTAATATTTATACAGGGTGACATAGAAAAAAGTACATTGCATAGTGCCACAAATGAGAAAAAAAGTTCACGGGTCCGCAAGACCTTCGGTTAACACGTTGAGCGCCATGAGCATCCCAAGGGACCGTCAGCTCATGGTTCACTCAGACCGCGTAGGGCCACACGGACCTACACTATTACCATTTGTTATATTAATTTTGGACCGTTGGGACTCTTCGATAAAGTGTTTGATGGTATCGGTGGACCGTCACGGTCTCTTAGGATAATAATTTCTACACGGACAACGAAATTGTTGTTTACATGTGAATGAAAAACACTGTCGAAATATAAATAAATATTTTCTTTATCAAATTTTTAGTAATAAAAAGAGGAGAATTGAACTATGAAATGAAATGAAAGTATAAAGATAATTTCACATTTATACGTCAAAAAACAGTTTTTAGTGTAATAGATTGAAACAATCTAGGCAAAGTGCTGGCTTTCCCTCGCAATCATCACAATACTTAGTCCACACAGTGAAACAAGGACGAACAACACGTTGGCAGTCGACTCGGTGTCTATTGTTGCGTCGCAGTGGTTTTTACGGCGAAAACGGCCGTTTACTTCATTGAACAGTGGGACCAACGGTCCAGTAACAGCATTTCATAGTATGGTGGACCGCGTAGGTCCTATGGGACCTACACCTCATGAGCTTACATGATATTTTTGTTTTGAAGAATATCACAAAATGGTTCACACACCACTTATATGCTCAATATCTATCAAAAAATCATTTCGGCCCATAACGACTTTTTTTAAAATTTGGTGTTGAATTTTATTATTTTTTATTTATTTGATATGATATGATAAATTCTTCAACAATTACATGTTGATACCTCTAACAATTATTACATTAGTTTGACAAGTGGCATTATGACACATTGTTCGATTTTTATTTATCATTGTTTTTGCAAAGGTTACTTTGCCGCTTTTTGAAAAATTTGCGTGCATTGTCGACTTTTAGATGCATTTGTACTGGAACCATTGCTTCTAGCGACTTGGACAAGGTATACCTGTCTTAAGTATAAAAGAAGGGATAACAAATTCTTTCAGTCGAAAATGACATACAGTGTATAGCAAAAAAGTTACGACCGATTCAATAGAGATGGAACCCTGTATGTAGCCCTCTACTAGTAATCACAAAACTAAGACTATATTTGAATTTACCATGATGAAGAACCCCTGTATACCACACTTTATCCATTTCTTGTGTCTCTGGCTAAAGATATTTTCAGGCGTGTTTACCATTTCTTCAAAATACATACATAATATCAATAATATCAGGGTTCTGCTAATTTAACCCAAATATCTCCGTGAAACTGAATCAAAAACACCCCAGCTTTTGCGAAAATAATTTGTCTGTAATATATCTGAAGGTCATCTCTGTTATTTATACATGTCCTGTTATTGAAACTTACCTCGAATACTATAAACAAAAATCTTTTTATTTCCAGCTGTTTCAGATTTATATAAGATAATATGAGATTAAGATATTTCATCAATAGAAATTTTTTATTTATTATTTATTGAACAAATAACTTCCAGACAGAATAGGCTCTGGTATAAGGAAGTACATAATTATATACCTATAGGTAAACATATTATTCAAAATATATCATCAACTGTAAATTGACAAACAAAGAATAATATTTGTAAAAAAAAATGGCATGATTAATTTTATCCAGTTCGCTCAGAAATAATCAGTTTTTTCACTTCATTTTTGAATGTACCTATATTTCTGCAATTTTTTATATTGTCAGGTAGTTTATTGAATTCAGCTAAGGCTGAATGAGTGAATCTTTTTTGTCCGATTATGGAGCTAGCGGCGTCAAGATGAAACAAGTTATATTGTCTAGTTTCATGATTATTAATTTCAGAATTCCGTATCAAAATAAAATTCGACTTCAATTTTTTATTTATGATATTATATGATATTTTAAGAGTTTCAATTCTATATATTTCATCTGAAGAAAACGTATTTGTTATTTCAAACAATTGATTGGTTGGTGCATCAAATGGGAGACGATACAATACTTTTAACGATTTTCTATATAATGTTGATATTTTATTTATTTTTCGAACAAGATCCCCAAACATTTATTAAATAGTTGATACGACTCAGTATATGAGAGTAGAGAATCATGTTTGCAATTTTAATATCAAGTTTGGGACATCTTCTCAATGCACCAATAATTATTGGAGATATTTTTTTTGTCAAAACATCAATATGTTTGTCCCACTTCAACCTGTCATCAAACCAAATACCAAGATATTTTATCTGGTCAGTTTGTTTTAAGAGTTCATTTTTCATTTCAAGGTTGAGGTAAATTTTTTGTTTATTTTTTGGTGAAAAATCATATATTCTGTTTTGTTAGTATTTATCGATAAAAGGTTAGAGTGGGGCCATTTTTCAAATATATTCAAGTCTTCATTTATCATATTTTCTAAATTTGAAGGATTCTTGCCTTCATATAAAAGTACTGTATCATCTGCATACATGGTATATTTACTCGTGAGACCAATTTCACTGATATTTTGAACATAAAGTAAATATAGTATAGGTCCTAAAACAGAGCCCTGTGGGACACCCTTATTGATTAATAGTTTAATCGACACAGAATTGGTTGATTTTGTATTGATTGCCCTATTTTCAAGATATGAATTCAAAATATTTCTCACAGTGCCTCTGAGTATTCTAAAGTGTTGTATGATCAACTGTGTCAAAAGCCTTTTTGAGATCAATGAAAACAGCTACCACATAATTTCATGAATCAAGTCCTCTCTGGATTGATTCTATCACTTGTAATACTGCTGCTTGTGGCCCACTGTTTTCTTGAAAACCAAATTGGAAAATTCACATTCAAGGAACTCCTTTTGTGGTTCTTCTCATTTATTCCCTGTTTAACGAATATTCTGTATCTTCATTGCAATCATTCTCTTTTTTCTGGTGAATAATTATTATTTTATTATTATTATATTATTATTATTATTATTTAATTTCAGATTTCTGACAAAGACATGTCCCTTCTCGAGGAACGAATCAAACGTTCAAGTAGAAAGACAATCGCTCCTCCTAGAGCTGAACACAATTCTACCACTGTTGTCACAACGGTTATTTCACCTCAGAAGGAAAATACTCCACCGAATAAAACTTTCCATGATGTCACCTCAGTCGTCAATAATGATTCAAACAATCACAATGATCAAGATGATTACATGGAGGAGGAAAGTTTGCCTCCAGTAGCGTGAGTATATTGAGCATTGATCGACATGGATTTTTAACTAATTCGCGGTTTTCAAGGTCATCATGTGAAATTGCGATAACGTCAAAACTGGATGAATACATTCCTAACTCCTGGCAAAGATTAAAAGTTAGCCATGTTTTCCCCCAGTTTTAACGTCAGGTGATGACCTTGAAAACCGCGAATACCGATAATGTATGTTTTGTTGTTTCTTATGATATTCTCTAAACCAAAACATGTTTCGCTAACACAGTAGCTTTTCAAGTGAAATTCTAATACAATAAACTAACGGAACAGTTACTAATATGTATACATATACTTCACGAACCTAAAGGATTAAAATTATCTGTGGGTACGCTACCTAATGCTTCATTTCCGGAAGTATCCACAATATTCTACATCAAAACTAGATGTGACGGATTAATTTTTTCATTCATCCATTGTGACAACGCGTTGCCACCAAATTACTTCCCCTCTCTCTTTATTAGACTTTGAATTTATGGCAAAGATGGTGATGTTAGAAGTAACTTCCTGCTTTAGTCACAACAAAATAGCAAAAATAAATCAATATTTTAGCGAACACAAAACAACAAAAATCGAAGCATATGGGAATCCCTCTCCCAGAATTATTGGTACTGACTCTCAGCATTGGCGCACCCAGGACTCAGGCCTGGGAGGGGCACAATGTGTCTAAAAGACTTGCATTTTGACCCTAATAAAAAAAGGGGTAAATAAGCAAACTGTCGAAAATTTAACGAACATTTTTTATTTTTCAACTATACAAACTAGGTAGGTAATAAAACGGGAATTTACAAAACAAAATCCAGCCTCCTAGGTCCTCTCTCTGTCAAAATATTCAATACCTCATTCGTATCTACATGTACCTCTCTATGGATATTCAAATTGGCAAGGCCATTCAGCCTATTTTCTCCCATAGTATTTCTTAAATATGATTTAAGCCTTCGTAAAGTCGAAAATGTTCTTTCTGCTGTAGCTGTTGATACTGGCAATGTTGAAAATATTTTGAGTAATATAAAAATATATCACGCTTTGCGGATTTTTTTTCTAATCTCAATTGTGAAAAAAAATCTTAAAAACCGAAAGTATTTTACTATAATTTGGTAAATTACTGAATAATTTTCGGTATACGCTGATCTTCATGTTGATAGGAATACCGAAAAATTGGTGGTTCCACTTTGGCAATGGTTGTGTGTGTTCGCGGGCAGTTCTTTGGGGGGGGGGGCACGTGCCCCCCTTGTGTGCGCCACTGACTCTCAGAAACTAAGTGTAATATTTTTATTAGATTTACATTTTCTACAGTAAATTAGTCTTGTCTGTTTGTGAGATTACCATATTATAATCATAGAAAATAACGTTGTTTGTACTATGAACCAGTCAATGCAATAATTGTAGAGTTGCTGACTGTTGGAAATTCAATTTCTGCAATGGGCGAGTGGACAGATAATGAATTATTGACATTCAATTACTCCACTGTGTCGTAAGGGACATGAATTAGTTTTTTTGGAACACTTCTCACGCTTCTTTTTATGTAAATAATGAGTCTATGCGTTGTTCGAAATTGTTGAATTTCAGAGCTCATTTCAAACGTACCGTCATGGCCGCCATTTGGCCATGTTCTGCGATACGTCGAATAAATGGTGACGTCAGTTTTAATGCTGTTTTGTTATTGGTCAGATGATCTTCCATTCCCACTGATGAAGCGTCAAGTCACCAATTATTATCAAGTTATCAAAAAGATTTTAGAGTACTGTCGTTGAATAAAACATGATAGGAGGAAACCATGATAGGAGGAAACCATGATATTATAGTTCATTTTTGACTCTTTCGAGCAACCAGCAATACCAGCATGTCAAAATATTTCTTATACTCCATGACAAAATATCATTTGATTGTTGGAAAGACAATATTGAACAACGCCCACAATTCTTGCGCCGTGTTGTCACGTTTACTGGTTCAAATGTCCTCTAGTGTTTAAAAAAAAAGTGTTTTTAACCGCCAGCTTAGTTGCAAAGCAACCCTCGAAAGTCAGAGACTTGTGTGAGTTAAGAAGACGGGGACCTTAGCTTTTTAAGTGTCATCCGAAGCACTACTCGGCTGGTAACCGTGGACAGTCCAAAGGATTGATATCTAGGTACCAAGAATGTTGGGTTGGCCACCTATCTCCTCCCGCCCAACGAAACTACCGAAAATTAATTCAGTGCTCGCGCCGGGGATCGAACCCGGACCGCCTGGGCAACAGCCAGCGACTCTACGCTCACGGCCACCAGCCCAGCCCAGTGTGAATCAATATATCAATTATTATTCACACAAATTTATTATACAGGGTGGCCCTTTGAAAACGGAACAGAGGCTCTGTAAGTCGCCAAAACCGGATAATAAAAAAACTCTGAAACTACATTTTCGAAGGGGACATCGTTCTAAAATATTTTCAGCCCTGCGGCGTTGTCGCTTCTAACGAAAAGAAGCAACAACTTTGTTATTTCAAATGGAACACCTTGTATTTATCCCCGAAGAGCTGATTTCATCAATGCATCACACTTGGGTACTAGCGGCAATCATTAGAGAGCTATAGGGTGTTTAAAATCGATATTTTTCGATTTTCATCATTGGTCATAGCGGCTCATATAACCATATCCCAATTTTCGATTCACTATCTACTGACATTTATTTGAAACAAATACAGGTTGGTTCAAGATTCAGAATTCTGATCACCCTGTATCTGTTCCAATTAAATGCCAGTAGATAGTAAATCAAAATTTGAGATAGGGACATAAAAGCCGTTTTGACCAATAATGAATAGTTTCGACACAAAAAAATCCTAAAGTTGAAAAATCTCGATTTTAAACACCCTAAATCTCTGTAATCATTCCCGCTAGACCCCAAGTGTGATGTATTGATGAAATCAGCTCTTCAAGAAGAATCTAAAAATACAATGAAATACAGGGTGTTCTATTTGAAAAAATCAAGTAGTACTCAAATCATCAAATCAAATCAAAATATACTTTATTATCGGAAGATTTTCATCTCATTGATAAAGTCATGATGAATATAAAATAAAATAATTGAATAAGTATATATAAATAAATAGTATAGAGCAGGTACTATAGCATTGTCACAATTATAATAAATACATATTTACGTAAACACAAGAAAAAATAAAAGAGAACAGACAGATACAAAATGAATTGAGCATTAGAATACAATTTCTAAATGTTAAAATAGACTTATATTTTAACTATTCCAATCTAAGAAACTCTTGAACATTATAAAAAACCTCATCGATAAGTAAGCGCTTGACAGATCTCCTGAAATGAGACGGCAAAACTATGTTTTTGAAGGCGGGAGGGAGGTGATTGTATAGTTTAATCGCACTATAGATCAGAGAGTTTTTCGTTAAATTTGAAGACGGAATAGGTAATCGCAAATTGTTACTTTGTCTAGTGATACCAACTGTTACCTCGTATGATGATTTGTTTTTATGTACTAGACACACTGTTTCGAGAATAAATAACGACGGAAGGGTGAGGATTTTTATTTGACCGAACAGCGGTTTACAAGATACTCTTGGCCCAACTTTGCAAAGCTATCGGACTGCACGCTTTTGAAGAACAAAGATACTTTTGAAGTTTTGTTGGCTGCAGATACCCCAAAAAGGTATTCCATACCTGATATGTGATTCTATCAGAGCGTGGTATACTACCATCGCAGTGGCTATACCCAGTTCTTTCGCCACCATTCGCAAAGCATAACACCCACTTGCTAGTTTTGTATTCAAAGACTTCACATGGTTCTCAAAATTTAAATTGTTGTCTAGATGGATTTCAAGGAATTTGCTCGTATACGTTTGATAGATGGGTTTTATTTATATTTAAAGAGAGCAAATTTGAGCTAAACCACCTTTCTACAGAGGGGATATTATTTACAATTCTCCTGTGTAATCTATTTATGTCGGTCTCATGCCACAAGATGGTCGTGTCGTCTGCAAATATAGTAAAACTACCATCGATCTTGAGTCTAGCCAAATCGTTAAAATACAATAAGAACAGGATAGGTCCTAGTACAGAGCCCTGTGGTACACCATGTTTAACTGATCTGGTTTCTGAGTTAGTATTTGTTTTAACGAATTGGGTACGTTCACTCAGATAAGACTCGATCCAACTAAGGCTCTGATTCCTGAAACCATAACGTTGGAGCTTGCGCAAGAGTATTCCATGATTTACACAATCGAAAGCTTTCGACAGGTCACAAAATGCTGATGCGCAAACCTCTTTGAGATTGACTCTACTATATAATTCTTTTAGAAATGAGAAAACAGCGTCTCCTGTGCTTTTTTTGTGGTTGGAACCCAAATTGTTGAGGATTCAGAACATTTCGAGCTGATAAAAACTTCATCAATTTAGTTTTAACCAATCTCTCAATAATAATTTGCAGTTCGTTTGTTGAAACAGAGATTATACACTCCCCTAGATAGGCAACGCCCGTGTTAAAACTGGCCGCGCTCGGAATGGAGCCACAAATCCAGTTTCGTTCCCTCTATTTGGAGCCCTTCGAAATTCATTCATGAAAATCGTCGCGTATCTACCGAACACTACCGAGTCCCCGACCAGTCCCGACTCACAAAATGCGTGTATGCCAAATCTTCTTTGGAACTCTCGACGTGGTGCTCGAACCAAATACAACTACCGCTCGACCGTCCCTTCCCCCTCGCTCGACCATCTCTTCCCCCTTGCCACCCTTGCTCGACCTTTCGCCACTTCGCACACGTGCCGCCTATCCCTTCATCTCTAGAGCAGGTATAATTTTTAAATCTGGAGTCTGGAGGTGCCTGGAGGCTGGACATATCTTGCCATTTTATTACTTATTAATGAATTATTGTTGTTGTATGTGATTTCGATGCGATTGTTCTCTTTTATTTCTCATTATTGTGTTTACCTATCTGGTTATTACTGTATTGTACTCTGTGACCAGATATTCTCTGCTTT